ATTATCCGTCCGCGATAAGAGTGTTTGACAAACGCGCGCTCGTGAGCGCGCCAAGAAAACGGCCACGGCCTTCCCGAACCAGTTGGTCGACTTGCTTCCAGCAAGCGACGCGACCGGCCAGCCGGCTCTCTCGGCCATATATACGGCTGAGAATCGTCGCACGACGGGATATTGCTCGTCGCTGGACCATTTTTAGCGGCATTCGCCGCGCAAGACGTGTCGCTCGACGCCGGCTGCTTCGTCTCCGCGGCAGCTTTCATAGTTGCGGTGTTCTCGCCTCGAAGGGGTTGCAGTTGTGTTATTGTGGAGAACATACTATCAGGGGAAAGTCTTTTCGTATTTTAAAGCCTTCAATTTCTGTGGTTATAGCCACGGGTTCTTGATTTTAATTCAGAATTAATTTAAATTCCAGGTTAGTTGACAACATTTCTTCGTTGTGTGTATCAACTTTCGTTAAGATTGAACTTTGTTATTTTTATGCAAAGTTTTGTATAATAAAAACGAAAAGACACTTCCCGGTACCCTTAATAATAATAATATGTGTCGCGTTCAATTCTTTCCGTCGGATTCCGAGCGAAGAGGCACGGCCGGAGATCAAAGCTGAACACGCTTTTCGGAAGCGCAGAACTAGCGCTGTGAGAGGAGACGAAATTATTTCGCCCTCTTCATACATACGTGTGTATTTTTCAACTTCGGAAGGGAGAATTCCGCTTCAGCGTGTCTTTGAGTTTATGCGTCTTTTAACAGATCCGCAGGATCCGGCGGAGGATCTCAGGGATATCGACGGTGCTTATCTCTCTCGCGAGTTCTGCCGTGTCGCGCCGTCTCGCTCCGGAATGTGTAACTTTGTGTAATCTTAATGAAGCGCGAGATTCCCTTCTCTGCCGTACGCGGAAGGCCAACTTCTTGCCTTACGCGCAGACACGCCCGTTCCTACGGCGAATTGCGCGCGAACGCACCTGGAATTCGCGCTCGATGTCCCCCGACGACGGATTAAAGCCGGAAGCTGAATTACGCGCGCGCGCGCGTTAAATTCAGCCGCGTTTAATGTCCTATTTAATAGGTGTGTGCAAACACGGTTTACGGCATAAATAACGGCATTGTGCACCGCCGACGTAATACGAATGTTCCGAACGCACAATGCCATCCCGCTGCTTCGTATGCATCCATACGCGGATATTTCTGCCCCCGCGTGCGCTAATTCACCGGGACGCACCGTGTCGTTATGCGCGACGATTCGTCAAGTTTTTCCGACCACCCTCCCCCCTCCTGCGCAATCTTTCCCTCGTGTGTGCAACATGTACGCAGCGCGAAACGAAATCGAGTCTTTTTGCTGTTAGACATCGATTTGCCGCTTTAATATGCGCGGGAGAGGAACGTCACGGGAAAATCTGAAAATCGCCGGGCGTGTATTATCGGATCCCGTTTGTCTGGCGGGGGAGGATAATTGTTTTGTCTGAATTAACAATGGCCGGGGACTGCGATGTACGGTGTGGCGGTAATAATCGCCGATGATGAGCCGATGATTTACGAGAGCGTAATTTATAACAGAGAGGCGTTACGTTACATTACGCACGCGCGCGCGTGTGACGGTATTGCAGAATCGTGCGTGGTTACAGGTGATGTTATCTCAAGTGATGTATATCAATGTTTCGCGAAAATTTTGCCTTGTCGCGCTTTGCTTCAGAGAAAGGAGAGAAGAACAGGGGAGAAAACGATCCTCTTCGACAATCAACACCGATTAAAAATTGAGAAATCGCGCTGTCCAATCGATTAGCGGATCGACATTAGCGGACAACGCCGGCAACGGAGGACATTGACATCGGACGTGAAAACGCGGCGCGGCGCGACGCGTTTCTCGTCGTGCACGATTTTGCACGGCGCGCGGTCTCGCTCGAGCCGTCTCCGAGACGGTGTCTGTCTCTCACGTTGCAACGCGTTGTCGCGTTGCACAGATGCATACACGCGTAATTGAGTTACGTAACAATCGGCACGGTGAATGACTCCTGAATCACGAAGCGTTATTAATAGCCCATTGAAGAAACGGGAAATGCGTCGCTCGCCATTTGGCCTGCCTACGTGAAATGATTGTAACTTATGAATGAAACCCGCGCAACTGCGAGCGTATCGCGACGGCCCGGCGCGAAAAACGTAAATCGCGTTTGTGTAGAGGCGGCGGCGGCGGCGGCGGCGGCGGTAGCGACGGTAAACGCGCCGTTCGCCGTTCGCCCGGACAATCGCCGGCCTGACTGTGCACTTTGCAGTTCTGCCGAATTAGCGGCCGCTGCGAGATAATAGGCGGCTTATAATACCGATAAACCGGCGAATGCCGGCCGCTGTGAGGCCTCCATTTGTTCAATTTTACAGTCGCCCGTGCGACGGACAGGTTCCGTCCGCGCGAATAACGAGCGACGCCATATATTGGCGGTGCGCTCGCATTTGCGGGGCCGCTCCGACGTGTGTGTTTGATAAATTTTGCGCGTACGCTCATTTACACTCACGCAAACACGGGCGCGTGCCCCGCAATCGTTACTCGTTATTCGGCCGCGAGCTCTCCGCCCACATCGCGAAAAGTCATTTGCGCGAAAAAGCGGCCGCATGCGCGCGTTTCTCCACGGCGCGGCGGCTGCTAACAGCGGCGAGACACGGGCGAGATCCGCGCGCGGTAATCTGAAATTCCTCACTATCAAAGTCACCGCGCGAGCAATCTCGATCGCGAGCTTTATGAGGAAGCTCGCGATCCGATTCGCGAGACTTTCCTCCGCCCTCTCAATTAAACTGCGACCACTACCCCAGAAAACATCGCGCGCGGCCTTATCCGCGAATGACGAACGAATAATAATTTGCCGGACCCTCGTCGACGTTATTATTTCCCGCCCGGCGGGAAATACATCGAGAGTCGGCGCGCTTGCTCGCGTTTGCCCGTCGCTATCGAAAGCAGGTCGTTGATAGAAAGCAATACATTTTGTACACCGCGCGAGCGGCTATCTCCGCATCTTTCATTATCGGCCGCGACTGCGAGCGCGCGATGTTCCTCGTGGCTCTCGCGGCTGTTTCGGTGGCCGACGACGAGCATCGTCGTCGGCTTCTCGTTAGCTCGGCCCGGGGCTCGTCAGTCGCGACACTCGTTTGATCGCTGTCCGGCCGGGCTGAGCCTGAGCCGAACTGACAGCGTCTCGCGCGGTGCGTCAGCAACGGCGCTCAGCAACGCTCTTGCGAGCCAGCTCGCTCATTGATCGATATTCGCTAGACCGTGAAACGATCTCGATGAGGCTTTTGCCATTCACGGTGACATCGCCTCCGTCTGCGGGGTTTGTCCACAATGCGCCATTCGTTCCGATTAAATGCACACGCGATAAGTCGGCCCGTTCTCGCAGTCGTCGCCGTAATAGAGATATAATCGCGCTTCTTAGCGGAAGCGGCGCGCGCGGAAGTCGATTTTCCCGTCGTCGTGCGCTTCATACGCCGCTGCACAATGCACTTTGTAAGCGGCCCCGCTCGATATACATGTATTATGTATATGGCGAGAGCCCGAGCTCTCGCGACGCTTTTCGAGAGATCGAAGCGTGAGCGAGAACCGGCCGGTCCCAATTTCCAGCGGGATCGGAGCGCGCCTTCGCTCGTACGCGAGTGCGCTCTCGGTACTTTCTAATTAGTTACACGCGCGGGCCATTAGTCGAACCGGTAATCTCGCTCGCCGGTACCTCTCGCGCTCGCGACAAATATTTCGCGCGAACCTCTCGACTTTCAGCGCGCCGCGCGGGAACATACCGCCGACGGCGATCGCAGCCGTCAAATCATCGCGAGATTTATACATTGTATCGCGTCGCGATAAAAAGATCTTCCGCTGGAGCTATTCCATTAGAGCCGCGTGAGAGCAAAAGGGGAAGAGAGAGAGAGAGAGAGAGGGAGAGAGAGAGAGAGAGAGAGAGAGAGAGAGAGAGAGAGAGAGAGAGAGGAGGCCGATGAGGAGGAGAGCGATAAATCCCTTGATATCGAGTGCAAATAATAAATTAACATATCGCGGTTCGCGTAACGCGTCGCGCGAGAGCTTTCCGCTTCCCTAGAATTAAAAATAGATTAATTCGAAGGTGAAAGAGAGAGAGAGAGAGGGGGGGGGGAAGGAACCGACTCTCTCGATTCGATGGACGTTACAAGTCAGCATTGACAGTGATTAGCTTCGATGCTTCGATATGTCAGAGAGAGAAAGAGGTAAAGAGGAAACAGTGAGAGGGAGAGAGGAGAGACGCGCGTGCGATCTCTCCCTCTCTCTCTCTCTCTCTCTCTCTCTCTCTCTCTCTCTCTCTCTCTCTCTCTCTCTCTCTCTCTCTCTCTCTCTCTCTACGTCCTCGAACCAATTCCGAGCATTGAATATGCATGTCAGCGGCATCCCCACAGCAGAGCTATTCCAAACACATATACAGGCATCGATAATAAATGTCACACGGCTCATGCCTCTTAATTGAACGCGCGTCTACAGGTAATGCCGGAATAAACGGTCGTGGTCTTTGGCGTGATCGCGACACGCTCAAGCATACATGAGGCATCATTTTTTACGAGCGAGGACAGCGCAAGAGCGATGTCAATCGGCTGTCACGGCACTTGATCGACCACTGGACCGGTCGTAGCGCTTTAACGTCTACCGCTCGGTCCTGTCTGTATCTGCGGTTATTTATCCCGGAATTGCCAGGACATTCGCGAAAAATTTCCGCGAATTCCGGAACGAGGTGTCTCTTTTCTCGTCGCGTCGGTCCGCTTGACGCGCTTGACTTGTCCCAATTGTCGGGAATACATTCGAGAAAGAAAGAGAGAATCACTTTCGTCGTGGCCTCCATGACGTCGGCATTTTAGATTCCGTCCCCGACGCGACCAAGCAAGATCAAGAATTCACACGTCGCTAGCCGCGAGAGACGACAGAACGCCACTTGCGCAATCCTCGCGAGGACAAGGTGTGACGCACACCCGCGAAGTGTCTCAGTTCTTCGATTACGGCTTTGCAGCGAGATAAAGATCGACGACGACGACGGTGGCTCGTAATGCAACGGATCGTGATATGCGCCGAGTTTCTGCCTCTACCGTGAGAGACCATCGCGTCAAGTGAGATCGTGTGACGAGCCTTTTACGCGCGCGCGCGCGCGCGCGCGACTGCACAAAGCTGGACAGACAGGAAAATGGTGAACAACAAGTGGGAACAACAACGAGCAGTCGCGACGAGACGAGGCAAGGCTACGCCGAAGTCGTGACCGTCGTGCGCGCTTCAGCCTAAGGTCATGGCCAAAGGCATCGTCAAGAACAACGCTGGATGTCCTCTGCACTGGGTCGACGATTCCGCCGGGCAGCCCAGGCATCTTTTCCAAGCGGCCGCCCTCTACCTGACAGTGCTAGCCGCCTTATGGTGCATCCCCACATGCCTCTATCACCGGTGAGACGAAAGCGCTGTAACAGGATTGTCTACCTGCGTTAGATTACTCGGCATGGAGCTCCGGAGGATCGCGCGCTCAACAATTAGCGCGCTCGCCTCTTGGACGAATATCAATTCTCTTCTTCCTTTCCGTGACGCTTAAACGCGTCCTCGCGAAATTGAAGTCTCTTTCAAAGTCTCGATCGAATTTGTCTTCGAAGAAGGGTCTTCGCTGAAGAGAGAATGCTTCTCTCGGTTGAAAGCGGGGAGAAAGATGATTATGCGCTGGATCGAAGCGTATTCACGCGTGCCGATGTACCACTCGATGAATAGGGAAACCCAATGAAGATAATTATTGATATTAATCGACATTAATTATTTGGATCGAGATATCGCTTCGTTAACTGATACGCGATATATTCCGGACGAGCACGTTAGTATTTGCAGTAATAATTATTACCGCGTTTGCATATTTCGCGTATTCGATGCACTTGGCGAGAGGGGTGGAGGGAAGGGGGCTGCAGCCGAGAATTCTCCAGCGTATACGTGCGCGTCGGGATTCCTCCCGATGTTGATCCGATCCTCTCTCGTCAGTGTACATCAGATATTATTGATGAAATACACGCGCATTGCATTACGGTTCAGTAGTTGATCCTGAAAAATCCGAAGCACTCGGAGGCCGCCGGAGCGCCTGTTTCGTTTCGTTTCGCTACACCGCTACGAACTACATTGCAGTGCCGTCGCAGGCTGTTGTGCGCAGCGCGCGAGCTAGTTACGATACAACTCGTTCCACAGGATTGCCAAACGGAACGAGTCGAGGTGTTGTCGCCAGCTCGTCGGCAAACTTCTCGCGAGGAGACGTCACGGTCGAGCTACGACGAGCCGACAATTCTCTTTCTGTTGACAGAATCTCCGAGACCGGGCAAGCGGTGGTGCTGACGCTGGTAGACACCGCGGCGGCGGAGCTGCAGAGCCTGGCTGAGCCGAAGATCAACCGCGAGTTGTCTTCGAGCCCATCCGCGAAGAATTCGACCTTGCTGAGCGGACAGCCCGAGCTGAAGGAGCAGTTGCCGACGACGCAGATCCCGCCGCCGCCGACCGTTGAGGACACCACCGAACGGCCGAACGACACCGAGGTCGAGCACGAGGACGAGGTGCTGCTGCTGAAGAAGATCTCCGACGAGCCGCCGGAAGTCGTGGTGATCGTCCGGGCCGAGCAGAAGATCAACGCCAACGACGTAGAGCTGAGGGAGGACGATGAGATCGGCCATGTGATACTCGAAGAGCCGGTGCCCAAGGTTGACGACACCTTCACCACGGCGCCGGAATTGAACGACACGGCAGCCCGGGCGCAATTGGTCGGCGGCAGCAGGGACGAGACCGCAGCCGTCATATTGGACGGCCTCGTCTCCTCGGGCCCTACCGATCCGCACGAGGATATACCGTCCTTCAGCGAGTGGGCGCAGAAGCGCCTCGAGGAGGCGGAGAAGAAGAAGAGTGAGCGTCTTCTCATGTTCTCATTAGAATACTTGTGGAAATATTTGCCCAATCCTCTGTGACCTCGAGGAGGACCTGTCGTTTGCATGTTCTTCGCAACTCCAAGTCGGGCTCGGTTCTCTCCGCATTCTCGGGAGATTCAACTTGATTGTTAATTTAAAGTCCAAATGTCCGGTTTGATTGTCAGTTAGCACACATGTCACGCCAGCGACAATGCTGTTTTTCATGCTGACAAAGTTACTGATAAATAGTTTCTAGAATCGTTACAATAGGTGGGATTGCTCGCGAAAGAGTCTTCTTCTACGGAAAATCTCTTCTTGACAATAGCCAACGTCGTACTTTTTACAGCTCATCCAAACGCCTCCGTGCAGACACCGGGTGGCCCAGGGCGAGGTGTGAGCGGCATGAAGGTACGTTCCAAAAACTACGCCTCGCCCGACTGCGGTGCCAAGATCGTGGCGGTGAATCCTGAGGCGCGCGGTGCCAAAAACGTTCTAGTGTCCACCAGGGACGAGTATATGCTGAACGCATGTACGTCGCGCGTCTGGTTCGTGGTGGAGCTCTGCGAAGCGATCCAGGCGAAGAAAATCGAACTGGCGAACTTCGAACTCTTCAGCTCGTCGCCGAAGGACTTCTCCGTTTACGTGAGCGACCGCTTCCCCACGAGAGACTGGAGTCCGGTCGGTCAGTTCACGGCTAAGGATGTGAAGGACGTTCAGAGCTTCGCGCTGCACCCTCACTTCTTCGGCAAGTTCATCAAGGTCGAGCTGCAATCGCATTACGGCTCCGAGCACTTCTGTCCCGTCTCGTTGTTTCGGGCTTACGGCACCAGCGAGTTCGAAGTGTTGGAAACCGAGACGGAGGATCAGATCCTGCAAGAAGCGAACGCGAACGAGGACGACGATGACGACAGCGACGAGGAGGAGCCATTGGATACCGAAGGTGGCGATCCGTCGAGGAATCTCTTCGGTAGCGCGAGGGATGCCGTGCTGAGTATCGTGAAGAAGGCTGCGGAGGTCCTGGTGAAATCCAGCGATCTCAGCGGAAACAATATTACGGAAATTCAGCATAGCATCGATGGTGGTAACATCTTGGACAATTCGTACACGAGTTGTATGACGCCCAGGTACACGATCCTCTGCGGCAACTGCACTGACCAGAAGTTCGCCAGCGTTTTCCAGCTGGTCAGCTGCAGGGATCGCCATTTGGACGGTTTACTGAAGATTGACCTGGTGAACAGAACTTTGAGGCGGGGCAAGCTCTGCGGCCTTCACGGTGTAGAGATAGACTCGTTCTGTCAGAAGCAAGAGGAAAAGTTCGCAGGAGACGATCGAGGGAAACGCGACGACGCAACGCATTTCGACCTGGCGCAAGATCTTCAAACATCCTTTTTAGCGTCCGTCTTCAAGCCGGAGTACATCGTGGCGTTGTGCAACGTTCTGGCGACGAAGGAGCGCAAAGTGGTGATGAACACGAGCTACGAGATCTCGGCGAACGCTTCCGAGGACGTCGTCAAGGAGGACATTCATCTGTCCACCAAGGACACCGATCAGAGCAACGAGGGCATCTCGCATCATCAAGTGTCCGCCACATGCACTCTGGACGCGAACTCAGCCGTGTGCAAGACGGCGCCTTCCAGAGATAACCGACGGCGCGCCGCGCAGGACATCAACGAGGAAACGGAGAACATCAGCATGACGACTATAGAGTCCACCATCAGCACGGAGAGCTTGGCCTCGCAGATCAAGCCTACGAAGACGCTTAGCAAGGAGGACCTGCGCAAGGAGTCTTCCGTGCCGATTCTCGAGCCTAGCAAAGAACCCACGGAAGAGACGTTGCAGGCGGAAGCATTGACGACCGTCGCCCCGTCATTGAATCTACCTACACCGACCTTGAAGATCGCCGAGGACCTGCCGCCGATCACCGGTACTTCCGTCGAGATAGTGTCGCAAACCGTGACCAACATCCCGCCGATTAACGTTGATGGTCAAGAGACCGGCGACATTCCCGTGGCCGACACGGACAGCGCCGAGATGGGTGCGCAGGTTAAAACGGAGAGGTCGGAGAATGGCGAGCAAGACGGAAAACAGCCGAAAGATCTGAGCGAGCAGGAAGTGAAATTGTCGTCGCAGGATCACCTCACGCTGGATACGCTGTTTTCCGACCTGAAGGATTTCGAAGGCGACGCGGCTAATATGCAGAACGGCGCGTCCAGCGCGTCGTCGATGACTCAGCCTACGGCGAGCACAGCCCCTCAAAAGGAGTCTGTCTTTCTCAGATTGTCCAATAGAATCAAGGTGAGCGATGTCTCGTCGAGATATGCGTTTCCACCTGCCGAGAGCATTCTCGCGAAGCGCAATATCTTTTAAAATAATCTTTGCTCTCTTGATGAAGATCTTAATTCAATTGAGGTAAAAGATTTTCATAGGTAATTCTTCTTTCTTCCCCAGAGAATGGAAAATGTTAATTTTGATCATCAGCTCTTACAGTGTAGGGGCGGTTTTCGGGGCACGTCTCTCACAGTCCTCGACCGAGAATTTGTTCGTACATGTGAAAACGTAGATTAATAAAAAACGCCGCCGCCACAGTGGATTGTAAGAGTTGATGTTGTTCTTTTCATTTTTCGCAATCAATGTTTTAGTAACGCTGATTATCCTCTCTCGCAGGCTCTGGAAAGAAACATGTCGCTCAGCGGACAGTACCTGGAAGAATTGAGTCGTCGTTACAAGAAGCAAGTCGAGGAGATGCAGCGCTCGTTCGAGCGCGCGGTGTCCGCGATGAGCGAGGAGTCTCGGAAGGGTGAGGAACGCGAGGCGAAGAGAGTGGAGGAGATTGCCGTTTTGCGGGAGGAAATCGCCGTGTTGTCCAAGTCGGTCCAGACTCTCCTCCACGATCAGGACAGCTGGCAGAGCCGGATATCGGCGGTCGGCCAGCACGCCTTGTTGATATGGTTCGAAGTCGTAGTTATTACTCTGTTTCTCTCCTACTGCCGCCGGACAAGCGACTTGGACGAGGACGAGAAGGTCCAGTCGAAGGACGCGAAAACGGAAGGCACACGTCGGAAGAGCGCAGAGAACTTCGGTTCCCACGACGCGGCGAAGAAGACGAAGAAACGGCGATCTAGCGAGATCGCGTCTCACATCAACAGCACGTACCATGAGCTGATGATCGACGAGCGATGCCATGAGACGAAGAAAGAGCGCAAGAAGAAGCGCAAGAGGGAAGCAGTCGCCGCCGGAGCTAGACTAACAGCGAACGCCGACACGAGGCCAGAAGCGACACGCCAGAAGAGCGTGTTGAACGTTATGCCCGGCGGCACGACGTTACCGTCGAGAAGAGCATCGTCCATCGATCCTCCGCGCTCCAAGGAGTCGCAGGAAGCGTCTGGCAAGAGGCCAGAGTCCGCGCCTGAGACCAGCAGCAGCTGGTTCGACGATCAGATGGAGAGTATAATAGAACGAACCGCGCAACCTGCGATGCGTCTTAGGATGGAGCCCAACCGGAACGGCAGTTCCGAACTCAGCCACCATGGCGACGAGTTCAGCGAGTCAAACTCGTCGTCAGGGGCTGTGGATCGGTCCCTCGAAGGCTCGGTCACGAGCGAGCGAAGGATCGACGTGCCGAAGAACAGCTCGTTCAGGACCGGCGGCATTCTCAAGAGCGCCAAGCTCAGTTCGCCCTCCTTCATGAAGACTGCCTTGGGTACGAGGAGTAAACGGAGACTGTTGTCGAACAGAGAACGCTGGGATTGGAACCAAGACTCGGAACATTCGAACAACATATCTGCCCCATCCACACCGACGGGCCCGTCGCCGCGGATCAACGACAGCGCGAACGGTAGCGCCGCGCACGGCTTGATCGAGGAGAGCGACGAGTCGAGGAGCAGCAGCGCGACACGCACGTCCAGCAAAAAAGAGAAGAAGAGTACCGGTCTAAGGAAAATGGTGAGAAAGTTTTTCTGATTGAAGTAGACCCGCCAGAAATACAGGCTCAACTGGACCACCGATATTCATATCGAATCGGTCGCCATGTAGACTGCGCAATTAGGCTTTACTCATTGAGCTGAGGCGATCGATTCGAGCGAGAAACGCCAAGTTAGAAGGTCGAGCACAAAGCGCGGAGCTCAAGCCGGAGGGAAAGATCAGCTCAGTCGAGTAAGTAAACGCGTAAGCGGACGCATGAATGCTCGCGCTCAGTGGAATCCAAAGCTCCCGACGAATGGAGCTGACGTAAACTTTCTCGTGAAACGACGAGTTATGATTATATAAGGTCGAAGGCTACATATAACATGAAGAGAGGACGGGGCTCGAATCTTGGAGAATCGCGGAGAAGCGTGTCTCTTGAGATCCGCTTGCGTTTTCCTGCATCCTCAACCGAAAGTAATGTACGTAAAATTGCCAAACGTTGCAAATAATGACGGAGACAATTCGTGTGGCCTCCAAACTCTCGAGAGACCAGTCCCGTCGTGTTTATTTTACTAGAATATACGGAACGCGCACGCGATCTTTTGCCTCGTAGCTGATATGTTCCTCTCTCTTCCCAGTGTTCATTTCTCAATATATCCCGATAGCATCGTGCAGATCTGTAGATGTTTATTTACACATACCTACACACATCACACACAGAGTTCCATGAGTAGAAACAGAGAGGTAGAGAGGTCCTTGGTAATGGGAAGGACGACACGATAGTGAATGCAAACGAGAAGACTGCGGAGACTATAACGGCGTGTGCGACAATGATGCCTGTATGATTAAATGCGTCCCCGTATCACATAACTACGTTTCACTTGTTAGCAACAAAGATATCAATTCGGCGTACGCACGGAATGCGGATTTTGCTACGGAGAGTGCGTTAATCATAAGCGTGAAATTGCGGTGATCGTTTACGAGAGTATCCCACCGTTGCGAGAGGAGCGAGAGTGAAAGATTATTTATAAAAACGTAGATTAGAGTCATGTAGGATGTATCTATATATTTAATTACGAGAGAGATCGGTCTTGATCGGTGGACGCAACGGCAGTGACTACAATGGTCTAAAAGAACGTTTCTACGTTTTCGTCAGATCATCCGGATTAACTAATTTTTACCTGTTACACCATCGCCAAAGAGAAAGAGAGGGAGAGAGAGAGAGAATGAGTGAGTGAGACGTCGCGAGTAAAATGTTGGAGCATCGGTAGTAGCTGTTGTAGTCACATCCATTACACTGTATGTCCAAGTACGATCTATTCGAGGCTCCATTAGCGACTTCATTTCATCGTCGTCAGCGTGCATGAGTGTGAAAATCTGTGAAGCGAACCTACAGAGCGCTCCGATTCCTTCGTTAGTTAGCGGTCAGTCCATTAGGCGTTCTTCCGGTCTTTATATCGTGGCAATAATTACGATGCAAGGGTTGTAGGGGAAACGTTTGATCAACTAGTCCCACTTGATTGTCGCAAATTACGTATCACGAAGGAATCGGTCACGCGAGAAGTCCCCTCCTCCCGTTCTCCGAGAATGGGAAGAGTGAAAGGATTAAATCCCGATTTCCTATGTGCGAAGAGTCGTTCCTTCGAACTCAAAGTTATTACTTCGAACTCAAAGTTATTACTTCGGTTTCCAATATTCGGAGTGTTGGCATGGTACTTCATAACGAACACGCTACACATCGAGATATAAATGAAGAGCGCTTTACATACTTAATCTGTATGTACTTGCGCTTGTGTGTAATGTTTGGTTTCCCATCTTGATTCGTATCTTGCCTGTCTTTATGTTAACTCCCCAGTTTATGAAGTGTGCAAACATTATGCTTTATGAAGTATAACTTAGATCTAAGTCCATATTTAGAAAAGAAATCAGAAGAGCTCGGCAACAAAAATTATATCAATTTAACATGCCTAATAAATTAATTGCTCGCTCTTTTTAACGTACAATACGAAACGTTAATTAACTTGTCGCGGTTCCAATTTGGCTGCAAAAGAAAATTATTTTTAAGTGCGCCTAGTAACTTTCTTTTACAACAGAAATGTATTGTTACTATAAAAGAGACAACATTCTTTTACGTCATGTATTGTTTTGATGAAATGTTTAGATATATCCTTCTTAGTTTTCCTTTTTTCTTCGTGAAGCAAATGTGATCGTAGTAACGTTATACGTAACGTTGTTGTTCTTTCTCGGCGTAAATTTGTTATTACCGCTATAAACCGAAATATTTCCTTTCTCGTTATTCTCGATGTAACAACTTTGTTGAGAACATTTGCCGCGAAGATATTCCGAATATTAACAACGATCGTGCCAGCATTTTGTATTTGATAAAAGAATGCGCTGTGATAAACCCTCCTGAAATATACTAAGTGCAGTGAGACGGAAATGGTGTGTGGGAAATTTTGAAGAAGAAGAGAAGAGGAATGCAGAACGGACGAAAAAGTAGAGAATGAAAAGGAGGAGCAAACATTCAGAATGACTTAAACTTTAATAGAAAACGTGTCCTATTACTTAACGTGCATTTAAAGACTATATATATATATATATATAAAATAGCTGATGATGTATGCGCATGGTGTATATCATATATGCTTGGATAAAGCTCGAGCTTTTTTCGAGCTTTCCGTGGATATATTTTCTAGGTTTTAAGTAATTGTTAAACGCGCATATCGTTAAATTAGCAATTATTTATACGCAATGTGATGAAATACACTCTAGCAATTTTATCAGAACTATCATTCTCGTGAGTGAAATCGTCATTGCCATTGTCATGAGCGTAGCGCAGTAATTTTTGTATAGCTTTTATGGAGCGATGCGAATCATAATTAACGAAAATGCGAAGCTCGTTTGCCAAATTATTGCTCATATCTTTAATAACAATGTATTTGTCCGTTCGCGTAATCTAATGTAAAAGTATATGTGTCGCATTTTAGTTATATAAATAACATTCTGTTATGACTTGATATTACGTTTATTAACAGAGTATATTTATTAAAGTGATATTTAAGAAGACACGTTTGAGATCTAAAGTATTACGTGGTACATGTTTACCCTTACGCTAAAATCAATAACATTGTTGATCTGATAGAGTCCTAAGAGAAAATGTATGATAAAGTGTCGCGCGTTCGTATCTGCGAAGGGAATTCTTTTAAGAGTTCGAATCACTACGATATAAGTCGTAAAACAATCGAGGTAAACGAGCTACGTTATTTTCATGCAACTATTTTGCTAGTCTGTAACCGCAAGGCACATGTCATTTGTATCATAACGCATTAATTTCCTTTAGAAAACAATTCGAGGTGAATATGTGACGTTTTAGGATGTTACGGATAATTAGAAGCTAAATATCACGTATGTTCGAACGAATATCCTTTAAATAGACGTGTACAGATAAATGTGTAAATATGTTACAGAGAGGAAGTGAAGTGATAATTAGCATCGCGATACGATGATATCCCTACAATCGCATATGTATACATAAAACATATTATTTCGCGTTGTTGACAAATTGGCATCGTTGTCGCAAGAGAACTGCAACAACATCTGATAAAGTAAAACTCTTTTTATTTTAGCAAGTATTTTCATTGAATAAGCACACGTATTTATTAATGATCTTCATTTTCTCTGATTTTCCTACATTTTCCGTATATCAGAACGAAAAGAAACGTAGTCGTATCGTTACAAATCGTTGCCATCGTGAGCATTAGAATGTTAGTCAGTGTTGAGCAAAATGTATTTACGAATATCGGACAAGCATTTTGAATATGCACATATTCAAGGTTGTATGCATGAGTTATATTTTATAACGTATGTTTTATTTGCACTATACCATATATGTATATATCATTCGATATCGTCACTCGTATGTACATTTTGATCCCGTGAAAAAGTAAGATCTTGATACAAATGATATTAGATAGAGAAAATTTATTCTCTCGCCCGCAGGTCGACTTCACTTGTTTACGTCGTCAACGTTAACTTATTAAGCGCGCATGTTGTATGTATCGGTGTTATAGAATGAAAATTGTTAATTTTGTACTTGAACGTTTATAAATATTTATTTCTTTTTTGTTGTAAAAGAGTTCCCCTTATACTTTCGATACAAATTTACAGTACAGTAAATTTACAGTATATCCGGATGAATATTCGAAAGAGAGTATCTCCGGATGATCATTGAAATTTTATATTAGAATGAGTGTAAGAGAAAACGAGGAGAGGAGAGAGTATGCGTGCGTGTGTGTTTGTGTGTATATATGCGTGCTTAGTAAAAGAGAATATATTTAAGATCGTTTGCGCCTATTGTTGAGTGTTTAGTCAATTATTGTAACGATTGTTACTCATGCGTCTGGATTTTAATCATCGCTTGTAATTAAATTGTACGTCTGTAAATATATAAAAAGTAATGCACGTTGCGCGTATATAATGAATTGATGAAAAAATAAAGTTGCCAAAAGACTCCTCGTATAATATATACTATGTACGATTTCTATGGTTTTTCTTCTTAACCCATCTGTACGCGTGACTGATTTTATCTTCTTCGCTTTAATCTCAAATATTCCATACGAGACTGAACTCGACTGAAAAATTCTCTCATTAACCAATGAGTCGCTATAGCACATTAATAAAGTATGTGTCAAGGCATATAAAACATTACGTTTGTAATTTTCATTATTTATTACGGCATTTATACAGAACGATCAGGACTCCGCAGACAGACTTTCCAAAAATGCGGAGACGTCGAAGGCTTCTCTGAAAGAGGACAATTTTCTCGCAGTTGCTTGTTTGCTTAAGTCGGTAATGGCGACTTTCAGTCTATTCGCCCATTCTTTTGGATCACTCTTCTCCATGGAACATATGACGATCTCATTTACTTTGTCCTGAATGGCGTAACATGCAATCGACTGAAACACCGACTTCAGATCGTCCTTCGCTTTCTGTTTCAAGCTCTTGTCCCTGCTGACCAGGTTCAAGATAAAAATGCCGTTTCTCGTCAAACACATCGCGACCGCTTTCAGCACTGACATCTCGAGAAACTGCTTGGGCGGACAACTCATTCCAACAGTGGTATCTTTGCTATCGATATCGAAGAGTATAGCCTTGTATTTTTTCTCGTGTGTCGCGGCATCTTTGATAAACCGGATCCCATCCGCGATCTCCACTTTCATCCTATCGTCGAGAACGAGATTGAAGTACTCGGTGGCCACTTTCAGCATCGCATTGTCGATTTCAACTGCAGTAATTCTCAGCTAAAACAGAGAAAACAAACTCTCTATTGATCGTGCATGTTCGTGGTAGCATTGGATCCAAGACAAAATGTTACGATGATGATATATATACCTTGGGAAAACATTGATGCAAGAACATGCAGAGCCCGCCACCCCCGAGCCCTATAATCATAATCTCTTCCGGCTCTTTGGTATCTATCACTGCGTTCACACCAACGCTCATGTGAATGTGATGTTCGCAAGCTAAAAATCCAGGATCAGCGACCTTTTTCATCTTGCCACGTCTGGATTTCGCTGTAAAAACAAAAAAATCCCAATATCAATTGCAATCGTCCATCAAACTCCTCATGTACCGATGCGCACCTTGCTTCAACCTAGCCTCACTCTGAATGACGTACGGATTATTTAAGAACAGAAGCCGCCTGAACTCGTGACCGTCTTTCTTCACCTCTTCAACTACGAATGGCCCACTGATGTCGCTCTTTCCCTCATAACAAGTAGTTCCATCTCCAACATCGGATCCCAAGGAGAGAAAGGGAATATTGGTCTTGCCGCATAAACCGGCCGGTGCTAGATTGCGGACGCAATCCTCCAACTCAGCTTTCAAAGCATCCCATTTCTCGAATTTGTGCTCTCTGCGTAAGGTGACGATCGCGAGCCTGTCTCGCTGCGCGCTCTTCAAAACCTGCTGTCGTCCTTCCTTCGTACTGAATAACCAGTCCGTCTCTCTGGAGAACCGAAAAGGAACATGCATCTCTGTGATTCATAGCTCGATTAAATCAAATTCAGCCACAGTGAGTGAATGAAAGAGTTGTTGTATGTACTTTCCCTGTGGGACTAAGAAAGCTCCGTATGTTTTCGCTCCACGTGCGCGTGGTTGATCAAGAACATAGACAGTATAACGTGGATACTTGTCTCCCGGCCGATGCAAGTCCAACGATATCTCGCCAACATCAGCGACGCTTCTTTTATGAAGACTGTTGCAAATGAGCACGGACTGTTGCGCAGACAATATGGCTGAGATCATGTTGTCCATAGAAGACAATCTTTCAGGCGGGCCGTCGACCAACGCTACCTCGAGAACCTATCGGAATTACAATCTACAAAAATAAGTTGCACAAACTTGCTTACCTGGTCAATTATCTAAGTAACATAAAGGTTCTAGAGGTTTTCTCAAAAGACATACAGTCTGTAATAATTTAGTGAATTTTGTAGCGATAACCACAAAAACTGGAACCGAACTGCCTTCCTCCATTCGTGCCTTCGATTCTGCCTCATGGCATCGTGATATACGAAACATGAAACCTGAAGTGGGAAAATAAGACAAGAGCTTTCGAAGAATGTGCTCCTGGAGCAACGATATGCAGATATATCTGCCACCATTGCGTAACACTCGTGTGATTTCCTAAAACATATTTTGCCAGTTATTAGAATTGACCAAATAAAGCAGTCATTTGCATAATAAATAGCATCTTTACCTTAAAATATCTATCCACTGTTGATACTGTGGCCTCTTTGCTGTCTGGCATTAAAGCATCTAATGTACCCTTGTCCAGAACTACACTAAATTTTTCATTAGGATATGACATTTGCGTAGCATCCATGTGTTCATATACCAAGTCTGGTCTTGCTCCATTATTTATGTCTTGCATTTGTTTAATGACAATATGTGATATATCAATATTGATGATATTTCTGAAGAGGTAATTTTACTGTTTATTGATTAGAAATAATATTGTTATTGGTAATTGCCTACCGATTGTCTTTGTAATTAATTCCAATTGTCAATGTAAGCATAGCAAAAGATGAAAAAAATTACATACCTATAACCAACATCATACAGTGACATACTCAGTGTAGAATTTCCACAACCAACAATTAAAATGTCATCCTTGATTTTGATATATTTTAAAAGTATCTCACACAGTTCTGGGTATTCACCATACCTACGTCCAATACGAAATAATTAGCAATATGTTGTAACAATTCTAAAAGTTGTCTTAAAACTGATAACAATACCAGAACAACTTCTATACCATTCAAAGGCTTTTTTACCACGTTTTTTGAAAAACGTGTTCCAGTACTCTGCATGACTGAATTCTTCATGTGTTTTCGGTAGGAGATTCATGTTTTATACAGTATAAAAACACCCAATGCTTAAGATTGTTATATTAGGTTAGTTTTCAGCATTACATTACCGTGTGCAAAAATTGAGAATATGTAGAACATTGGCTATGTAAAAATTTGGCACATAAACTAGTAACATCCGTTGTATGAATTTAAAAATCACAAATATACTTAGTATGGAATATTTTATTCACGTTTCCGAATGAACAGAACACACTTTTTGTATTTGTCCACTTGAAGTGTGGATCAGTACGGATAGGCGATATCACTTCGATTAGTTTAACATCGATTATTTTCACTTTACACAAACGATTATCGTGCAATGTTTTTCCGTTTCGAATATTCCCTAAACAATAGCTTGTTGTTTATTCAGTTCAGTTCGGTATCTGGCTTTAGGTAGAAGGGTGTACCCATACGCCATTCTCCGCTTGTTGTTTATAAAGCCAGCGGCACACGGTGCTTGTTTTCGTGCTGGATTGCTTGCTGGATGAAAATACTGCGTTCTGATTGGTGCATTTCCATCCATCTTCGGAAATGTACCAATCACAACGCAATATTTTCATCCAGCAAGCAATCCAGCATGAAAACAAGCACCGTGTGCCGCTGGCTTTAGGTGCAGAGAGAAACCTGAGAGCGGCCAACACGACATTTTCTGGGACACCGACTTTCCGCATTGGGAAAGGACGCCATCTGCATCCATTTTGAGAGGAGAACTACGATGGTACATTCACTTTCAGGTCTCGGTGGTAAAATCTGCATGTGGTGAAAGTTTTGTGCTACATCCATTTTCAAGAGGTTTATGTCCGTGCTGCAACTACAATTGCCATCTCTATACCAGACTATGTCCGGTAGTCTAAAAAGAGCGGGGGGGGGGGGAGGGGAGAAGCAGGAAAAATAAAAGTACGTATTAAATATTAAATCTTCGAATGTTGCCGTATCAAAGTCTTCTATATAATAAACAATTTAACACATCTGGAGACGCATGATGTATCGTTTCCCTTCGTCCTGCTTCTCAATTCAGCATCCCGTCCGCTCCGGACATTCGCTTGTGGCACTGACAGTGGCCGTCGGTGAGCATTCGATCCGCTCGAAGGAGCACGCGTTAATTAACGACTCCGATTATAAATATCCCGTGAGTCGACGAAATATCTGAACTTTTAAAAAAAAGCATCAAAGAAAATCACGTTGATGTTGTCATGGGTGAAATCTCACCCTAGTATATATTTTTTTATTTTCGAAACAAAAAAGTCAAACGAACGCAATTAAATGTTATTTATCATCATTGAATATTAGATGAAAAGTAGAAGAGTTATTGTCCGCAGCGGATAATCTAACATTTAATAAGAACGAGACAAAATTCGCATGGAATGAAATTCCACTCTTTAACGCTTAACCATGACCTTTAATTATTCTCCGAAAACGGCGTCACAACAACTTTGACACTCTGTACAATTAGTTGCTAACACATTTTCTAATCGTACACATTCCTCTTTAATTAACATAAAGCTAATAAATGTCCGATACTTCGACAGAGTAATTTTATTTATTTTCAGTAATCAATAAATAGAGTGCATCAATGTCGCGTACAGTTGAAAGGCCTCCTAGCATTCCCTTTGTCGTTTCGGAATCTTCGAGAAAAGAAGAGACGCCCAAAGGCAAGTCTCTCTTGCTTCAACCGCCGTTGAGGCCAGCAATATTTACATCGCGCCGATTGTGTTGATCGGCTCGCGAGCGACGACACTTTTTGTCCTTTGTATTATAATACTCGCGCAATTCGTGTTTTCGACTTCATTCTATCAACAGCAGCCGTGCGCGACGCGCTCGTCACTTCCGTCTCGTGTAATTGAAAGAAATGTATCTCGTCGGTCCTCGAGATACTCAATCGGCATCGCGTCGGCATCGCGTTGATTAACCACACAGTCGAATCGCGAGTATCGACATTAGAAGCGTGAGCGAGTGAAATCTGGAGGACTCCAGCAGCCGGGAAGCAGGACGCCGGCAGCAATACGTCACGTTTCCAAGTATGTGGAATCATTTATTATGCGGGAGGTCTCCGATAACGAGAGCGGACGTTTGACGAATTTTCCGGGAATAAGAAGCCGGAATTTCGCGCTCGGCATTCACAATCCGTCATCATCCGACTAGTAATCATGACTTTATGAATCTGCAATTACTCTCATCAATCTCTGTCTGTCTAATTATTTATTGCGTTGTTGTATACAAGAGATATTGATCCAGACAGAGATGGATAACGGTCCATGAACGCGGATCTCTAATTCATCATGTTCTCAATCAAACATTCTGAATAATTCTCAACTGTGTGAGTATACCGGTCTTGTGCAGAATATTCAACGTCATATCGCTTCTTAGACAGCGACCCTTTTTGTTTTCGGTCAGCGCTTCTTTCAAGTCTGTTTACTCTCGTTACGGGATCTAAATTTAAATGTCCATTCGTAAAAGAATATTTTCGAGAGCACACAACTGTTGTCTCCGCTTCTTGTTGTCATTTTTTTTCTTCAGCTCTTTCAAGAGCTCCTATTTAGACATTCAATGTCAATAAAAAAAAAAATCGTAGCGAATATTCTCCACTCATCCCGACCAAACATTCTTTCTCTACCGCAGTTTACTAACCAAGAACGCTAAATTTTTGTTCCAGACGTTGCGGGAAACAAGTCCGGCAGACGCGGATGCCGCACCGAAAGATTCGGTTCGGGCAGAGCAGGGTCGGCCGGAAGGTAAAGTTTACAAGTTTCCTACACATCTGTGTTCAACTCTTTACGATCTTTGCCTTTGTAACTTGTTCCTCATTAGCTCTCTTGAAAGCTTCAAGTCCCATTTAAATTTTCGATATTGGAACAAAAATATAAAGATAGAAATTCCGTCAAAATATATCCGTATTTTCGATTCGTCCCGATCAAAGATATTCTCTCTCTACCGCAGGTTATTAACCGGGAAAATTATTTTTCTGTTTCAGTTGTTGCGGAAAGCAACAGCAATCTGGTGGACGCGGATGCCGCACCGGAGGATCCGGTTCGGGCGAAGCAGAGTCGGCTCGAAGGTAAGTTTACAAGTTTACTATAGTCCTCTGTTTGACCTTTGGCGATCTAGAGCTGGGATATAATTTCCGGCTCGACTTGAATTACGATCGCAGAGGATAAACTACTTTTTTACTCACCCGCACTCGTTGGTCTGATCTGATTAGCAAATGTGAATTTTTTGTTACAGAGTTGAAGCGGAACGTGGCCGGCTCTGACTGCAAGTCGTTTCGGTGAGTCAAAATGAAAAGAGAAACGAAATTCTGCATGACGGATGTGGGACTAAAAAATATTGTTCGAGTCAATGCGAATTGCAAATAGATTCTTCCATGTGTGTATTTGTGACGTTGAATAAAATACATTGCTCGAAACAATCAGGGGATTACTTGATCGATAGCCTGCATTACATACGAGATTTAAAATACTGAATGATTCTCTTTTGATGTTCAGTCATCTGAATAAGAGATATTCATATGTATGTACACGCTATAATTGTGTTTCCAAAGTTTGCATCGGAAATGTCTAAATATTTCAGACATCTAAATTTTACTTTAAGTAATCCAAATGCTTGCTCTATAATCGAGCGAATAGAACTTATTCTGATATTATAGCGAATGTGAACTGCAGGAAGATGCCCATTATCTCGAAATGGGGTCATTAAATTATACATTAACGGATATGCGCTGTCTCCAATTAAATGCTCGTGTGTAAGAAGTGGGTTCTCTCTATCCGTCAACTTTTGAAACAAGCTACTATTTCTGAATACGCGTGCGTCGTGCATTCTTCCTGGCATTCCAATGAACACGTCGATAAATCGTGCAGAATGATCGCAAACTCCTATAAGAAATTGATTTCCTAATTTATTAATAAATTTACTTTTTATAGATTGCGTAAAATTTGAAAATAATACTTTTTCTTTGTACCTTGTAATATTATTGAATGGAATTGTTTTCTGTTGAAATAATCGTTTGCATTTCTAAGTGGCTGCTTTATTGGTATATGGCATCCATCAATTGCCCCCACGACATTTCGTATGCCATGTGAACGTTCTGCGAATATCTAGAATATATACAAAAATAAATCTAAATGAAATTTAACTTGTGTAAAACACGTTATTAAAAACTTGTGTAAAACACGTTATTAAAAACTTGTGTAAAACACGTTATTAAAAACTTGTGTAAAACACGTTATTAAAATTCTCACTTGCGATAAAATAGCTCGTTGTACAGCATTTGACCACCGAACATACTGTGGTATTAATTCTGCTAAAACAAATACTATTGATTTAAATATGCCATGTCCCGTGCTGGTTGGAATATCAAATCGATCACCAACAGCCAGAAAAGACTCAGACTTACTTAACAACCATATAGTAAATAATAACTTCTTATTCAGAGGGAGATTGGCATTCAGTTGATCATTTTGCATATGATTTCCAACTACGTTCAGCAATACCTAAATAAAAACAGCAAAAAGAAAGAATAATTGTGTACTGCATTATATATACATATATATTATTCGTACCTCAAAAGTTCTTCGAGTCATTCGAAAGTGTTCTTTAAGTTGATCGTCCGTATATGTCGGAATTGTTAACTCAAAATATTCCACATTGCGCGTTTTTGCAGCTCGACGTTGTCTAGGGTATAAGTTATTTTCGGGCAACGGTTGGATAACATTATCGACAATATTACGTACAATATTCATATTCAGCCCATCATCAGCCGCAATTTGAAACATTATATTAATATTATTCATATTTGTCACGTTCTGTTTTATGTTGAGTAGTAGGTCTATTTGTGTTGCATGCACTTTTTGAACTTTTGCACTAAGTGTACACTATCATCGAGTGCTCACTCAGCAAAATATTCAGCGGAAAAGAGCGCTGAGGAAGGGAGCGACCCTGCAACAGTTTTGTGCGTTAAATGCGGCTATTTATTTATTCTCTTATGCGTTATGTATTATGTGTTATGCAAGAACCTGTGCTCTTGACCTATCAGTTGCAGCGTCAACCATATCTTGAATATATAACAAAATATAAATAATATATATACAGTGGCGTGCAAAAATTTCGAGCCATAATGTCTTTTTAAGATGCATGACAATATATTGATTTGCTCTAAAAATTAATTATATAAAATAGTTGACATAACATTCTTACAAATAATAGTACAGTTACAAAATTTTGAAATTACATAGTTTCTAATTATTTAGTCATATATTGGGTGAGTGCAAAAGTTCGTGCGGAGTTTGTGAGTAAAAGTCACACAGTGATTAGGCAAACAAAAATCTTTATTCAATCAATGATATATTCTCCATCGTTTTCTATAATCTTTTCCCAACGTTCTGGCAGCATACGGATGCCTCGATCATAAAAACTGCGCGGTTTAGATTCGAAGAACGAAGAGACGCCGTTTTTTAAGGCCTCCAAAGAGTCAAAGTTTTTTCCATTTAAATAATTTTGCAATGACCGGAACAAGTGATAGTCAGATGGTGCGATATCAGGAGAATACGGTGGATGCGTTAAGACATCCCATTTCAGGCTCTTCAGTTTGCGCAGCGTCTTTCTCGAAACGTGTGGTCTGGCGTTGTCGTGATGAAAGACGACTCCCTTGCGATTTGACAAAATCGGACGTTTCTCTTTTATTTCTCGACTCAGATTGGTTAATTGGCGACAGTACTTGTCCGAATCAATCGTTTCGCCAGCGGGGAGAAGCTCGAAATAGATTATGCCCTTGCAATCCCACCAAACAGAGAGCATCACCTTCATCGGGTGCAAACTGGCCTTTGGCATTGCGTCACCATGCTCACCTGATTGTTTCCACGTCCGTTTGCGCTGAACATTGTTGTAGAGGACCCATTTCTCATCGCCCGTCACTAGTCGATCCAAAAACGACTCGTTATTGAGCCGCCCGAGTAAAGAAACGGCTGCAGAAATTCGCTTGATTTTGTTCTTCTCGGTCAGCAAATAGGGCACCCATATATCGAGCTTCAAATCGAATCCCATCTTTTTTAAACGCCGAAAAGCGGTTGATCGGTCAACGTTTAGTGCTGTAGCAACTTCTTCTGTTGAAATTCGCGGATTATTGAGCACTAAAGTACGCGAAACATCGTCACCAATGTCAGAAGGTCGACCAGAGCGTGGCTCGTCTTCAAGGTTAAATTCTCCGCGCCGAAATTTAGCAAACCATTTTTCCACAGTTCGTTTAGCTGGTGCTTCATCCTGATAAACATCCTGAATGTTTTTACGGCTGCGGCAACGTTTATTCCCTTCCGAAACTCGTAAAGCATAACATGCCGTAAATGCACCTTATCGATACTCATTTTTAAAGTGATATTTCTCGAAGCAGTTTGTATGAAAACAAAATGATTTTTTTTTAATAACAGCTGAAGACGTCACCTTTCCAACGTTATATAATATGTAGATGGAAGTATTAATGACAACACTTTACGACGCTTATAACTCCATCTATTGAAACTCCGCACGAATTTTTGCACTCACCCAATAATACCCTGACAACACCGGACATCCAATGGATGTACAATTTATCTCACGTCCAATTTATGTCCGTACGTCCGATATACGTCCATCGGATGTCTTATGTCCGAAGTTGTGACAAACGTACGTCCTATGAACATCTTTTGTAAAAAAGATGGACGTATAACGGAGGTCCAATGGACATCCGTGTGCTATCTGGATATTTACATGTGTTCAAAAGTAGTGAGCCATATTCTTGTTGTAACTTTATAACCCGGTTTATTTACGTTTTTTATGAAACTCCTTCGTAAATATTTGCTTTAACTAAGTTTCAATCTATTGTCTACCGCAATACCGAAACATACAAGCCTTCAGTTACGCAAAGCCGTGATTAATCTTTCTCAACAAGGAAAGGTTTCTCGCGAAATTGCTAATTGCTTATTAATTGATAAAAGTACTGTAAATAGGATTATTGCTAAATATAAGTTGACGAACTCTCTAGCTGATAAACCACAAAACGGTAGACCTCGCAAAACTGTAAAGCGCGTCGATAAAATGACATATTATTGAATTCATCGACGTAATACCAAAAAACGTTTATAGGTATTTATATCCAATATTATTTTTCAATAATATATTTTTCTTATGCATAAGAAAAATTTTTGGCGCAATACGTTTGCACTGTTTGTAATAAGACATTGTGTAAAAATAAAGTATTTAGAATTATTAAGAATTTGTAAAGTTTATATATTGTAGGACAAATAAATACATTTTGTTTATATATATGTGTAAAGTTTTTAGCGCTCATTATGAAATAAATATATAATAATAATTGTGTGGCTCAAAAGTTTTGTACGCCACTGTACTTCTGAAATCACGAAACAGATAATTTTCAATTCAAATGTAATGAATAATAATAATATGTAAATAATAATGTATTTCTAAAACATTTCGCAGTAAGCAATTCGTATGTAATGAATAATAATAACAAAGTATATATAACAATGTGTTTCTAGAACATTTCAGAAATGTGAAAGTAAAAAGAAGCATATCTTAGATCTGGTTTAGACATATTATTGAATTCATCGACGTAATACCAAGAAACTTTTATAGGTATTTATATCCAATATGTGATAATGGGTAACTTCATATACAATAATAACCCAATTAGCAATTTTTTAGCAGTCTACCGACCAAAGTCGGCAACAGATTCAATCAAAATCTATCGAAAAGTCCTTAAACATCCGTGTTCGCATTCGATTCTTGTTATATCGACACAATTTGCTAATAGAATGACAAATGTGACGACAAATTGACGGCAAGAAACGCGCGAGCAGAATCTGCAATAATCTTTCATTTAAATATATTGAAACAGCAGATCCTGCTTAGTTTTTACCATCAATACGTCATCATACTCTGCCATCAGATCCTGTTGTATATCTGACGAAGGTAAGAAACTGCCGAGTAGTAGACACAACACAAAATCTTCTTTTGCAAATTTGGCTACCTGGATACTTTTGCAAAAATAAAATGTATAATTAGATCTACAGTTAGCAACAAATAAAGTAATTGAGTCTCTTTTTTTCTTTCTCTCTCTCGGCGGGCATGCAATAAACAATTTGTTTCTTGTGTTAATTGAGCCGTTTATTTTGAAAATGAATTGGATATAAATTCGTTTCCTCCTTTTCTTTAAGATGTTAGAACAGATACATAAAAATCTAGATAGTTTATGTATCCAAATTTAAATTAACTTACAATGTCAATGAAATGTGCCTGAATAATGTGCCCGAAAAAATAAAACTTAAGTCAACTATTCAATTTTTTTTCACTTGAAACATTTCTTGTTTGAAAATTATTACAGACTTGGTCATTCTATGTTGGAATTTTCGTCTTCAATTGGACTTAAGAATCTGTCCAGCAAATAAGGTGACTAAAACTCGGATACACTTGTATATATATATATATGTTTGTGCATATAATCTCTCGTTTACACAATTAAAAACAAATAGGATTAATTGTTATATTGAGATACCAAGCGATGCCAGAAATACCAAAGATATTAGAGATAAAAGGCTCTATGTGAAATGCATAGTTGAGAGCGAATAATAGTCATAATCATCGTCGCACGATATGACTTTCAGATAAATATCTCGAGATAAAAATCAAGTTTTTCAATTGAATTGTGATTACGAATGTATAATGTTACAGATATCAAAAATCGAACACGTCTAATTTAACGGCGAAATTCTAACAAATAATTCTTTGTCGTTACGTTACAGATAAAAAAATATCACAATTCACGATGTTAATTGAAATGATCGGGACTTTCGTCGTTATTCTCACCGCAGTATATATTTATTACAAGTATGTACTATTCAATTTCTGGCGCAAGAAAGGCGTATTTTATGTTGAGCCTGTTATACCAACTGGCAATATGACTGGTTTCATAACTGGACGAAAGACAATAAGCAAGTATCGTTGCATATCAGTAATATTTTTATTTGTTAAGAATATGATTAAAATCGGAATTTTAAAATCATCCTTTTTTCTTCACGAAAGTATAATTTAAGTATAATTTGTTGTCTTAAAATTTATTATATTTATATAGATGCTACTATATTCCGCTACTAAACTCAAACAAAAATTTTATGAACAGCCAGTATTCTTCAAGATGCCTATGTGAAATATAAGGATCATCGTTTCTTCGGGATGTACACATTTTACCAGCCGAATCTGGTGATCGTTGATCCCGACATCATTCAAATGGTGTTAACGAAGGAATTCTGGAGTTTCAACAGTCGTGGAACGTTCTGTAATGAAAAAATCGATCCACTGTCTGCCCACTTGTTTTCGTTGCCCGGGAAAAAATGGTGGAATCTACGAGTTAAATTAACACCCACCTTTACTTCGGGAAAGATGAAGCAAATGTTTCCGATCATGATGCAGTGCAGCGAAAATTTATTGAAGAATTTAACGAATATTATTCACACGAACAATGTTGTCGACATAAAAGAAGTATTTGCAAAGTGAGTTCTTTTTAATGCGAACTTTATTTGAAGGAAAATTTTTTTCCGGGTCAATAAAATATATGCTATGTTTTGAAAAAAATGTTATTATTTACTTTCTTTAGCGACATACGTCACATAACAATGACGTCTGTTATTAAGAATGATATAAATTCGGTCAAGTCAGATTTCTCATCTTTCTCCGCCAAACATGTATAATGCTTATAAACACAATTACATCTAATTTACTGATTAATGGCAGCTTTACGACGGATACAATTATGTCCGTTGCATTCGGAATAGAATCCAACTGTCTGAGGGAACGGAATAATGAGTTTCGACATTGGAGGAAGAAAATCATGGAGACGTCGGGCTTCTGGAATACTCTGTACATGTTTGTACCGCAAGTTTTGGATTTCTTTTCCATTTCCAATACGAACCGCGGTGTCGAGAAGTTCTTCATAAAATTATTTCGAGACAATATAGAGTACAGAGAAGATTACAACGTCGTCAGGCACGATTTTATGAATCTACTTATTCAACTCATGGAGAAGGGCTATGTTGAACCTGACGATGAGAAGGACAAAGTCAATATATCCTGTAATTATATATTTTACTTGTATTTCCAAAAGCATACATTGTAGAAAATCTCGTGTCCGTTTTAAAATCATGCTAAATCGAGTGAACGCACTTTCGGTATTTTTCAATATTTTCAACATCGCAAAATCAATACACACTTCTAATATTTCATTTGAATGCAGCTAATACGAATAAACTCACCATGCTGCAAGCGACCGCGCAAGCCTTCGTCTTCTTCATAGCCGGCTTCGAGACATCATCGTCGACAGCGACGTACTGTCTGTATGAATTAGCTCAAAATCAGGATATACAAGACAAGGTCCGCCAGGAGATCGACGAGACGTTAAAAAAGTACGGTGAATTGACCCACGATGCCATGAACGAGATGACATATCTTCACAAAATAATCAAAGGCGAGTACAGCATATTTTCTCAGCATATGACGCCGGAAATATTCTCCCGGAGAACCGCAAACGTCACGCGACAACAACCGGTTGGTACCTTTCAAAGCGCATCCTCATGCTTTTTTACATGCGCAGAAACCACGCGGAAATATCCATCCTTGCCTAGCTTGAACCGTGTCGTTACCGAGGACATTGTTCTTCCAATGACAAACGTTCACCTACCGAAGGGCACCTCGATCACCATACCAGTGTTCGCAATGCATCGAGACCCCGCATTATTCCCGGATCCGGACAAATTTGATCCTGAACGTTTCAATCCGGATCAAGTGAAGGCGAGGCGCACTTACACATACATGCCGTTTGGGGGAGGACCGCGACAATGTATCGGTGAGAGCACATGGATCTATTTGTATTGTATTTCCGCACCTTTTGGAAGAAGAATCGACACATTGATTTATCTTAATCAACAAGCTGATTTAATTGATAAGCATCGGAATTTGTAACAGATGAGGAGAAGCTTAAAGATAATCGATTAATCGATGAGATTTTAGCTACACGTTGTATAGTTCGTTCCTTTGGTCTTTACGGTTCGGCAAAGATTTCTTTGAATCTGAACATTATTAAACCTCATCGATATTATTAATTCCCAGGTTCAAGGTTTGGTTATATGCAGACAAAAATTGGAGTTATAAACGTCATATCAAACTTCAAGTTCAAGTTGCATCCCCGGACTCCGATACCGCTTGTTTTTGATCCAAATGTATTTTTACTCATTGTCAAGGATGGTGTACACTTCATTTTAGAACCTCGATAAGATAATCGGGCTTGTACCTTTCGCAATAAATTCTAACATTATATATAATTAATATTCTATTAAAAGATATATATATATATATATAACCAAATATGTAATTCTACAATATAATACTTTGCAAGACGACTTCAAGCTACATTTTTTTACACAGCCGTCATTTCGCGTGTAAGCCGGAGTGCCAGTACGAAGATTCATCGGCGAGAGAATGAAAATGAAAAGAAGATGAAAAAGAGGATAAAAGAGAAATAGGAGTTGGGACGGAGGAGAGAGACGAGATGAGAATAAAACTAAGCACGACACGCGTACGGTTCAAGATGGCAACATTTTATTGTGCGTTTTGGCACGTGAGCTGGCAGTGACGTGTGATCGCTGAGTCTCACGGAAGTAAAAAAGAAGAGAAGAGACGGCTTAAAGAGAGAAGCGCCGCTTCGTTGCTCATTAGCGAGTGCGTACACTTGCGAAGGGGCGGAACACAAGATCGCGGATACTCGAGGCGTTTATAACTTCGAAAACAGCTCAATCTTCTAGAAAAAAAAAAAAAAAAAAAAGAAAAAAGTAAAGCCCAAGGTTGCTCCCGCCGTCACCGAGAGATGTCATCACGATGGGTGCACTCAATGATGCCGGCACAGGAGAAGCTTGCATTTCCTACACAACCGGTCTCGATCGTCGCGGAAAATGGACGCCTCGTCTCTCTCGCTCTGCCGCTCAATAATAACCTTTGTACTCGTAGCCGTCCACGGGCAGAGCGTTCGCCAAGCTGAGCGTCGGCTCGATCTCGATGACGTGGCCGGCGTGCAGCGAGGACGGATGGTGGCCCGCGGAGGTCGCGGCCGCGGTTTTGGCCGCGTGCGCGGCTGCGGCCGCAGCATTGCCCTGCGCGGCTTGGGCAGCATTGGCGGCCTTCTGCGCCGCCGCCTGCGTGGTCTCGAAGTCGAGGCGCGCTGCGGCGAGCTGCTCGGCGATCGCCTCGGCGCGCGCCTTCGCCTGGCCCACCATCGTCGTCTGAGCGGCCAGCTCGGCCGCGGCTTCGGCGGCCGCCTGCGCGGCATGCTCCGCGGTCGCCTGCGCGGCGTTCAGCGCCGTCGTGATCACCTGCACCTGGTGCATCGCCTGCTGCGCAGCGTTCTTCGCGGCCGCGGCCGCGCGCTGAGCCTGCTGCAGCTGCTGCTTCTCGCCGTCGACGGCGACGTGCGCGTCGCGCGACTGCTGCTCCAGGCCCATCACGATGATCTGCTTGCCGGCTAAAGCCGCAGCGGCCGTTGCCGCGGATTGCGCCGCAGCCTGGGCCAGGGTGTTCTTGGCTACGTAGGCCGCTTGCCCGGCCGCCGACGGCTGTTGGTTCAGTTGGGTGTGAGCCTGCTCAGCGGCGCCTGCAAAGGGGAGTTGGTACATTCGATGCAAAGGCCGCTTGTTTCTCTCGCGGCAGACTTTCGACACTTCGCCAACCACCCGAGTTATTACAGTTCATCAAGCACCTCGGCGCTGCCGAGTTCTTGCGAGCGGTGTACAATTTTATCCTTTTATCTTAAAGTTTTATCTTAAAATTTTGCCACTCTAGTAACATAAAGTTGAAGAATATGATATCTGACCTTTAGGCGCTTATACCCGTCTACTTAGGGTTGTTCACTGATGAATCATGACACATGGTTAGATCTCCAATTCGAGCAGTTGGCGAACAATGAGTTGAAAGAGCAAGTTCTATGCGTGTAAAACATTCACATTCGCTGTATCGTGGAAGCATAAAAAGAGCGACTAACCCTTAGCGATACTGGCCAAAGGACCACCCACGCTGTAACCAGGTCGAGCAAGGTGGCTATGGCTTGAATGATGAGAGCTCGCAGCAACCGCCACGGCGGGCGCAACATCCACATAATGGGGATTGGACTCGATCAAGCTCAACGCAGACGCGTCCGGTGCCGCGTATTCGAACTCATAACCGTCGATTATGTGTTGCTGATCGAGAATCTGCTTCTTGGTCTTGCCGCAGTACGCGAGAGTCACGCAAGCCAGGAGTACCAAGGTCTTCATGTCGGATTTTTGTTCGATTTCGATCGTGGATTGATGCCTGCGAAGAGAGAACAAGTTACAACTTGGCTCACCGACCGATTTTCGTCAGTCGTACAGAAATATAACTGATGATTGAATTGGTAAAGATGCGATAAATAAGTATAATTGGAGATGCTACATCAGTTTTAGCTCATTTTACTGACTTTCTTGGTTGCACACCGATGGAAAGTTTACCCGCTATAATTTGAATAAATTTCACCTGTTTATCTTATTCAATGACAGAATTTGTTTTCCAGTGAGAGAATTGTTCCATTGGACAAGACAAATCCGAAACTCCCCAAAAAACTAGCAAAATTAATTTTCCTGTCCAAAATCAATTAATATTTAAAAATATGACTTAATAATAAGTTACTTAATATATTATGATATAATATGACATATGTAACTTGATGAAATTTTTCGGCGCTTTGAGTAAAAATATTTCTTTACTTCACGATAACATTACAATTCGACAACAGGCAGTTTGCATTTATTTCAACATTTAACAAGCGCAATAATATTTTTAGCGTATATTTGCAGCGCAACAGTCTGTATAATATATCAATTGTACTGATAACAAAGAAAAAAGTTTATTTTTTGAGAACTAGAACGGAACATAATGTCGAGATGGACTCAACGTAGAAGCATAAAGAGATTTGAAAGGCTAATTCTCCCCCGAAAAAAGGGCTTTGTCTCTCCCGCATTTCGACGTCTCCAGCTCGCAAGAATTGCGAGCGGCTCGCGCATTGTTCCAGTACAGAATCGCTTTCGCATTACGACTGAGGAGAAGTAAAAGTGGAACTCTCGGGTTCAGCTTATTTTTGTCGCAGAAGCGGATATGCGAGACGGTACTCGGACTTTTTCCTAGGATCCGCGATTATCTCGCGGTACACTGTTTTATCTCACTGACTACGCAGGCGTGAATTCGTTGACCGATCTCGATAGGCCAGGATCGAGTCACGTTTTCGATTACGTAAAACGTAACGGGACACCTTCTAAGGCATTGGTAGCAATGACGGCTCTGCGATACGAATTTAGAATCACCCGAGCGTTCGTGCAACTACGTCAGTATGAAGGCGAAATGAATTCTGCTTGAGTCTCGCACGGCTGTACATTCGTTGTATTTTTGGACAATAGATAATGTCGATAAGTGCGATAACATGCACATTTTCTTGTAAGTCGCAAGCAAAAGGCCTACCTTCAATGGCGCTGTATTCCTTCAGAGACTTTATCTTTTCGTAAGAAACGCTTTCGTAAGAAAATGATATAAGCAGAAAAAGAAAAAAAGAAACAGAAAAAGCCAATTAAAATGCCGTCCTCGAGTTTTAGTTTTTTCTTTACCTTCTTCAAGTCGACGCGAAGTAATAATTTACCTTTATTTTAAGATCGGGAGAATTACCTTTGAATTGCAGCGCGTTATCATTATCGTTACGCAAGAAGTGTGAATCACTAAATTACTGAAAAAAAAATACTAAATTTTGAAAATCTTTTCTTAAAAAAAAAAAAATAATAATAACGCGTTACTTCTCAACTCTGTTTGTCGTTACACTTGCTGTTCTCACAACTCATGATTCAACTTTACTTTTAACAATAATTGACGTTCGCGAATATATAATCTAATTTCGTAACGCAATGCGTCGCACCCTCGAAAGCCATTGAAGACTTCAAAAGCGTCGGCGCGTTTCAGCTATTATCTATGCCGATCGGGTTTCGTAATTGTTTCTTTCCAGCCTCGCGGTCGGTCATATCTACCGTTTCCAACTTCCGAGCCACCGTCGACGACGTGCACGATTGCACAATGAGCCCGATTTTCGAATCGAATCGAGCGTGAAGAATATGGACCATCGTTGCGGCGATGACACGGTGTATCGCGTACTTTGCTACGAATCGATCGTGCCGTAGCTTCGCTCGAATCGAACGAGCTGCCGGAGAAAGTGACACGTAAAAAGCGTGATACAACCGCAAAAGCGATCGATATCTCGCGGATGACACAGTGTCGATACGATTAGCGGATTTTGAAGCGGCCGTTGCAGGTTGCAGGGGAATCGAATTCGCTGAATTTTGCATCTTACATCGTTTATTTGTGCACTCATTTCGAATATATCTCGTTATACGTGTCTCTTTTGTCACGATCAATTATTCTTATGCAGGATATCCTAAACTTTGCAACGTCGAGCTATTGTAAGCGATCGGTGAGAGAACTTCTTACCGAATCGATAAGCACTGGACTGAGGCAAATGAAATCTTATTACCATCATTAAAGAAACATGTATTAATTAGTATGAACTGTAACAACCCTGTCAACTGCCGCCTGTGTTGAGAATATAAACCGAAGAAATCAGACGCGCATATAGGTTTGAGAAGATAATGTCAATGTATAAACATTGTACACAAAAATCTCAGAATTGTTGATCGACTTTTTTCTTCTTTTGAGAAAACGGTGCTGGGAAATTCGTAGGTTTGATCAAATTGACGGGGAGCAACCTTGGCCGCTGAGAACATCCAACGTTTCACGGGCCAGCTCCCACAGCGTGCATTTCGTGTTTGGCGAAGAATCGAGTGCAAGCTGCACCGTCCCGCGCAGACAACGCGCCAAACACGCGTGACGCACACGTCGCCTTTCGAAATGTCGCAATTGCAGGTCGCGATCGCAAACTTAAAATTGAAAACTCGTTTCCGTCTCGCTCTGAAAAGCATGCACACGCGTTAGCCCGTATCGCGGTACCTTATCTAATACGAAATTAACGACGAGCGGGCAAACGTATTAATTTCGCGGTATCATAATTAGAATTATCGCTGACCATGACGGGAATCTAAATTTACGTTCATTCTGCTCCGGCGAAAAGAAGGGCGATGCCCATCTGTTCGGTTTTTAATCGTGATAGTTTTAGAATCTCACGTAGACCGTCACGGCAATTTGAACGTTCAAAAAGTGGAAACATAAATTCACGGTTAACCTCCCGGTGAACCTCTCGACGTTAAAATATCACAAACGCTCGTAGATTCGCCGAATCTTGTAGGTGTAGAATTCCGCGGACTTTCTCCCCCGTTGCAACTGTCAGTTTTGCCACGCCCTGTATTACGGAGGAGTTGCGTGATTGCGATACTAAAATTTGCATAAACTGAAGCACGATGCATTTTGTCGTAAATGAGCGCGTGCGAAGGCGTCAATTTTTTTTCTCCTCCGGCGGATAATAAAATTGGCTGTGTTCCATATTCATTTCTCTTCTCTCTTACATACGTCGCCAATTAAATATAGCGTGAGATTGATTTATGAGCAACCGATATTACGATCTGTGTCTGCAGTCAATAATAGCAACAACAACAATAGGAACAGCAACAACGATAAATCGACTGCAAATTTATTTTCAGATATACTATCAATATGAACATGTAACTCTTTTTGTAATTTGTCTATTTTATAATCTATGAAGTCGCAAGTTGCACAAGTTGCAGGCTACGAAGTAACAATCCCCTTAGGGATCTTTCAGTAACACTATTAACGACCTCGTCACATTAACGCTAACTGTTTGCGCAACTACGAGGATTGAATGCAAGAAAGAAATGTAAACGACGTCAATAACGCGTGTAGCCGACCTAGAAACCGCCTTAACCAGATAACTCTCGGAGAATTATTTAAAAGAGTAAAAAGAAAAGCAAGGAGTAAATTCCATTGAGTTTCACAAGAAGCGTGAATTTACCACGGACAATCGTTTATAAAGTGAACGACTTTTGCTCAACGTATCCGGTGAAATTTAACGATCTGTCACTACATTCGAAACATTCATCTGTCTGTTTAGAGAAGGAGAAAATTTTATAATATGAATTATTGTAGAATTTTGTATCGAAACTTATACTCGACACTTCGCCTTCAATCATCAACTTTCATCTTTCCATCTCATATGCTATTTATATGCTATTTATATTTTAGAAACTATTTGTTATGAAAAAATTTACCATATATATGTTTCTTAACAAAATAAATTCTACCGACAGTCTTTTCCTGTACTATTAGAAAATATAGTAAAATTGGAAAAAATGTATATGAAAAGAATTACAATATTATCTTTATGATCAGCATATACGCTGCAGCACGTGAGCGGAATGCGGTGCTACGGGTGTTTGTATTCCAGTAATTGTAGAATTAATCACACAGATAATTTTCTCTCGCGAAATATTCTCACCCGTCTACAAACCCTGAAACACTTGAACTTCTTTTCCAAAAGAAAATAAAATAAATAAATAAATAAAATTTTCAGACGTTTGACGTAACGTTTGACACGCAGCTTCCGGAATTTCGAAGAAAATTCCGCCATAACCGATCTCTCTATCACTGAGAATATTTTCATTTTTCTTGCTTATCATGTCTCTTGTTTCTTCGAGAGAAAGGATCGAAACTAAGGACTCACTTTTGTCGACTAACTTTGCACGCAAATATTCGTCCGATTACACAGGTATTTCTCTAGTCAAAACAACACTTCCGCCTACTTGAAATCACTTTTGCACTTTTGCTATTCGTTTTGAAATGTTACTAGAACAGATACTACTTCCGAGTGTGTCGCGTATCCCGCGTTCTTATGAATGGCGGCAGAACAGAAGACTAATGCGAAGAATTTCTATACTTACCGGGTAGGTGGTCCAGTCGAGCGCTAGAGCACAGGAGTTGTCCTTGCTCGAACACCGGAGCTAAGAACTGATACCAGTTACTTGTTCATCGGAGCTCTTATAGTCCTGTCTGGTCTGGCTAATCTATAGCTACGGAAGGGGTTGTGGACGTTCAAAACACAGTGCCTTGAGAGTATTCTTTTCCGCTTATTATGTTCCGCTCTCTCTTTCTCTCTCTTTCTCCCTTCCCCCTCTCTATCGTACTTAATTTTTATTCACATATACATGGATCGAGCGATTCTCAGGTTACTTGCAGTAACTAAAGTAATCTTCAAAATCTAGGCCGGTATTCATAAAGAGACAGTTATATTAATTATTTAATATAATTTCTTAATTGGTAATTAAAATATTATAAATTATATTAACACAATATATATATATATATATATTTAATTAAGTAATTATTTCATGTAAGCATCATTAATAATTAATTATTTAATATCTGCTTATCTCAAATGAGCCAATTTAATGATATTATTTACAACGATCATCATCCTGACTTGGATTTAAATTCGAATTCACTTTCGAATCCGAATCAAGTTTCAAATCCAGTATTAGTTTTAGTTTGAAATTGGATCTGAGGAAAGGCTAATTCTCACTATTCGTCTAAGTCGCTGTAGGCAGAAGTTTGCCATTCCTCCGACAAAACATACATGCAATATTTGTATTACAATATCATACTATTCGTCTCTCATCGTCGCACCTCAATCATTGGAAACAAAAATTTGATGGCGGATTGATAGAAGATGGAAATCAACCTTAACTCGATTTAACCGAGCAATACGGTTCTCAAATCAGAAATGCTTTCGGCATCCTCATGCATATATCGCTTGCAACTTCACGCAATAATTACCATGAACACCCTGAAGAGAGCGCGAATCGTTCATTCGTTTTCGTCGTTAAATCGACAACGTCAGCCACAAGTTTTTGACAGCTCGTTATGACTTTTGCGAATAGAAACGACGCACTCGCCTGGATCTGTCCTTGAAAATGAATATTTTCTATGTCACTTACATCAGTGAGTGCGACTATCGAATTATCAATTCACTTATATCTTGAACGCCACTAAATAACTTAAAGCTGCGTTACTGATGCACTTGTCCTAACCGTAAACGCTGCTCCTTAGTCATGCTGATGCTCGCGGAATCCGACTGCGGGGAAGCTCGTAAAGCTCTGATCAATGCCGTAAGTTCTTTCTGCTCGTTGAAACGTTATGCATCGTTACACTCAAAGGACACCGTTAACTGCCGCGTTGCTATACCATCAACAAATCAATAGAATCAACGAGATACTCGGCACGCCGAGGGTGCGAGCTGCCGCGGCTCTGCAGGGGTTTCCCCGAAGAAGATGATCGAAAAAAGCAGCAACATCGCGCAGAAGGCGGCGGCAGAAGCGAAGGCAGCATCCGAAGCTCAGAATATCGCTGGTCAGCAAGCAGCGCGTCAAGTACTAAAAAGAAATTACTTTATATATTACATACCGCCTCTCGAAGAGACATTTCACAGGCAGGCACAATCCTTCATGTGTGTGTGTGTGTGTGTGTGTGTGTGTATAAAAATGGGCCGTTAATCGTCGATGGTTCCAATGTTAAATACCATACAACGCGTGCCATAGATTTACGCCAATTACATCGTAATGCGCTTCAGCATTTTTTTCAGTTTATCAAACAGTTTATAAAACCTCTTCATAGAGGAATATTAAAATGCAAATCGTCGAGCTGTCCGTCCCAATCGGATGCTCGGAAAAGATGGGACCAGGAGACTAATCATCTACGACACAAACATTTCTCATGAACATTTCGTCATTTTTTTCGCTCATGCATGAATAATAACGTTTTTATAAATCTCGCTTTCTGATCCGGAAGAATCGATTATCGGCAGCATTATAGCGGCTAGGAATCCGGCTCTCTCTAATCGTTCAATTAAATCAACGAAGCAGCAGCGGAAAAATCATCATGGAATCAATGGCACGAGAGCGATCTGCACCGCCGATTACGTTCACACGTGCGCGTGTATGTGTACGTTGAGATTCGTATTGCCTTCGGCGAGTACACTAGCGTGCTGTACGTGATAGGTGAAGGCGCAATTGGCAGAGAAGGCGGCTCAAGCAGCAAAAGCCGCCGAGGCGGTCTTATCAGGCAAGGAAGCGGTAGTCGAGCAGCTGCGGGAAGAGGTGAAGGAGGCACGATCGGTGGTTCAGGAAGAGACGTCTTCCTTGCAGCAGGCGCAGACTAACGTCAACGCTGCGATCCAAGCGGCACGGCAATCTCAGGATCAGGTGCGCAAGATCTGATGATCAAGTCAAATCGAGATCTGCCAATCTAGTGTAATGACACATGAAAATACCTCAGAAGACACGCCTTCTCATAGCAGCTGAAATGTTTTGTGTATATATAGAAAAAACATTCCAGCTTGATCTTTCCTTCTTGCGTGACGTAATCTCTCAGTCCATCTGACAACCGAGAACGGTATTGAGTCAGTACTAAGCTCATGACTCTTAGATGTTAATAGTTCTATTTGAAACTTATTTCACACAAATGCAATACTCAAGATCGAGTACAGTCAGACGTGACTTTTTCAATTGATTCATGGGTACAGATATAATCTCGCACACATCGTGAGATTCAATCTGGAAAACTCAGGTCTAACTAAATCGAGATAACTTAGACTCAGGTCTAAGTTAAAGTCTGAATGCCTCATGTGAGGCATGTGTCAAGTAACAGCCATTAAGTCTGAAACGCAATAAGCTTTCAGCCTTTTGACGCAAGCTCTAAACATCAGTAAGCCCAAAAAGCTTAAGGATTGCGTTGCTAGATATTAAGTTACAGTTTCGGGCTTAGAGCCCGAAGGCTGAAGACTCGTTGAAAGCACCCCATTGAAGACACAATCAAAGGTGTCTCAGGTCTTAAACGACTTCATCTCGTTCACCGGCTCGATCGCTTCCTTTTCGGTGGGTCCAGTTGAGGACATTGACGGGCGCGATGCGCACGGCCAAGTCGAATGCGGCGAACGCGCAAGCGGCCGCAAGCGGAGCACAAAAATCGCTAAGAGAGAAGGAAGAGCTGCTGGAGGCGGCTAAGAGACGAGTGGACGAGCTGTCGAATCAACTGCAAACCGCTCGGCAGGATCTCGCCAACACCAATCGCGCGGTGGCCAAAGCAAGCGCCGCCGCGCACGAGGCAAAGGCTAACGCGGCTAGAAACAAGAGGAGATTGGCGAGCTTGAGGAGATTGCGGGCCGTGCGATCGAATGTGCCGCGGGTCACTCCTTGAGACCCACACGTGATACCAAGGGTCTCATTCTGGAAGCATGGCGAACGTTCAGTTCAGCGGTCATTACAGTGCTTGTAATTCCAAGTTACGTTTTTCTCATACGAGCAGATGTGTCACTGTAACGTTGATTCTCAGCTTGGGAATTGGAAAGGCATATCTGACGTCCGATACGCTTCCAGAATGGAGTCCAGGTTTGTGTGCGACTGAAGCGAACGAATCTGTCGTAAGAAATGTAGATTGCTTCTAAGTGTCTTTCGCAATCATCTGTATGTATCCTTTCATTCGCGCATTGCTCGATGTGTAACGAATCGACGGTCTTTGAAATCTATGCGGGTACATATCGCAAGTAAGTAAAAAAATACCGTACTGGCGAAACAACTTAGTCGCCGATGTCGGCTTAGACTCGCAACGCGGAAAGGATCGTATTTGTAAAAGAAAAGAAAAGTTGGCTTCTATATGTATGCAAAATTTAGTATGCACGGCACGCCTGCTATTTCAGAGTACATGTCAGCGTACACTCGTGAGTCAGCGTGAACAGCAATTAACAGCAACATTTTACATCAATGTTATAATTTCTCTCTGCACAATGTATGTCACGGCATTGTTGGGTGAGAAGTTGCAACATCGACAGGTTGGATTTTTATTTCACTTGGATTTGACAAATTGGAAATTATAGCATTTTCGTACGTTGGAGGTTACAGCACTGATTTAATGTGAAATTTGATGAATATTTATTGAACACGGTATGCGGTAAAGATTGAATAAAACGAGAACAACGAAGTCGGCAATATCATTCGGAAGGTCGCCCAAGTAGCGGCTTTTTCGACTCGGGTCTAGAGAGTTGGATTGCTGAACATATAAAAGTCATCCGTCAAGTAGCGTTCAGATGCGTGCGCGCAATGTATATGTACACTATATAATTATATAACTTCATGCACATGCTGACATTTACATTGAAATCGTGACTTAGCCCGCGAAGCAAAGGCGGGCGTCACGCCTCAGTAAGTCGCCTTTCTAGAACACCACGAATGCATCTCATCCGTGCCTGACTATGTAATACCGACGCAAAATTGCGTTCTCGTTACTTAACTCGGGAAAAAAGCACGCAGGAGTATCCAGCTTAAGTCATCAGGACTCGCGCGCTTGGTTGGATGGAGCGGCTAAAGCCACCGGTTTCTCTCTCAAGCCGCGGTTTTTTCTCACGCGCGGCAAAAGACTTTCTCTTCCAATCCTTGATTTGTATATCCTTGATTTATATTTAGCCCTTTCATGGCCGTGCCGATCGCTCCTCGCGCTCCTTTGTATCCTTATCATTCATAAAAGTTGTATGGAAACGGTGTAAATCGGAAGGACGACATCGCAAGGAAATTTGTAGTTTTGTAGCTGTTACAGTTGCTAGAGCTATTCATTGAAATTGAGATATGAATGGTCGAAATCGGTATATTTATATTATCACTTCGTCCTTAGAGCTTTATATATATATAACACGTCCTCAGAAACTAAAGACTACTGTCAAGAAATTATCGTATAAAATATTTACTTGCTCCTCAGCAGGATCAACTCTACCGACGATCCATTCCTGTGCCACTGGAGAACACAGTCGAATTAGAAAAAATTTTATATGGAAAATTACCGAAGCGATATACGAGTGCGATAGTGCAATATTTTTTCTGTCTGACGCGCTGAAATTGCAGCGCTGCGAGTATTTTGCAGAGAAAATTGATATCCGCGTAAAGTTACGTTCCGCTACACCCGCATATTCGACAGAATAGATCCCATGGCACAAGCAGCCACTGTGTCGTACACATAGTATAGTACATATGGTGTATGTACCATATGTATACAGCACGTGTACGCACTGTCTCCCTGGTCGCACGTCACGCAGTCCAACACGTGCATTGCAAAACTGGTTTATCGTTCGCTCTGTTTAGGTCAATGTTCATTTATGCGAGAACGATCAAACGATATCGATAACGATGTTTGCATCTCTGCAGTGTGTACGCACACAGAAAAGTATGAAAAACCGCTTGTGACGAAAACGCGCGGACACGGTCGTGCCGATTAATAAAGATTTCTCTCTTAATTAAGCAAGTAATTACTACGTTGGCCATGACTGTGCGGCTATTTCTGTGCGGCTGTGTCTGCGACAATACTGTAAAAACTTTCAAGAACCTCCGACTGAATGTTACATTTCACACGTAGCACATTTCAGAACTGGTTTGTCATATATTTCACCGAGGGACAACGGCCGCGATGAATTAATAAACAAAATATGTCCGGCAAATATGTTCGCGGTGAGTCATGGAATTTATCTTTCATCGCCGTTCAACCCTTCTCCGTCTATGCATCATGTATGACGCACTAATACCATTTTTGCACGGGTCGTGGGTGCATCGAATATGATTGCCTTGTTATATCAATGAAATAATTATCATAATTTATTATAATTATTTGTCAGGAATGAACATGTTCTTAAATGCCGACTTGTAAGCTGCATATCATAATGTGTGAAAAAAATAAAATGCATATATATATGAATATACGAATAAAGCGTATATACAATTGTACAGTGAAGTTCAATTACGCTTTTCATTTTCGGCTACGTTATTTTTCGCATCGTTTCTATACATTTCATGATTATTGATTTTCAGAAAAACCGGCAATCTAGTCACGTTAAATGTCAGAAAGATAGTAATATAAATACATATATTACAGCTACATTTAACATGAGTAATCTACTCTAGTTAAAAGTAAGAGCCATTATTGGAATTCACTGTCTACGTCCGTAAATGTAATTTACTCTCGCTCCTTTCGTCCAAATCGGAATGATTCGAGCGTCATTGATTCCAGCTATGATCCCGGACGAAAGAGGCGAATTTTTCATGACGCGCGACCTCTTTCATGTCTGGCAAGCACTTTCACTCGAAATCCTTCGATTATTTTTAAATATGATATTATTGCGCGAGTGTTAACACGCGGATATACTAGGCGTAACTTCATGATCCGCAAGGCCGGTTCGTCATTGCCTCGGGCAATCATGAATGAACGTGGCGATACTTTTAAAATGTACGAAATGCACGTACGGTCCATTACCTTAACTAGACATAACGCCCACTGCAATCATATATAATTGAAACACGTGAGCCGAAGTACGCTCAATCATATATATAGGACGATAAATCCAAAGTCGGATCTTATATTTATGACCGTCTTAAGTTTCCCTTCAGATGTTACGTAGCCAACAAGACGACCTGTACAGTGTCTGAAGGGAAACTTAAACATAAGATTTGTCTGTGACTTCCGTCCACAGAATCTAACAAACGAAATTAATGAACCAATTAATTTTAAGTCTTCATAATGATATTCGACATTTTTAGCTTGATGAATGTCAAAACGCATCTGTACCCAACAGGAAAATTTGCCTTTCGAGTATTTCTGAGGAACAATTTTTTCTGTTGGATACCAGATAACAAAATGAATCAGAGCGAAAACGTTGCAACATTTTTTAAGAATAAAAATCTAAATCTAGTTCGACTTTTCACACGACTGTTTACGAGTGCAACGCAAATAATGACTCGTAAGTTTATAGAAAAAAGCCCGATGCACAAGTCTTTGTTCGAAGCGCGGCAAGTGCGGTAACGAACGTTATCCACACATCGTCTAAAAATGGGCATTCTGAAAATGAGTTCCAGTCTTTTATGAAGTCCATGCATTAGTTCCGTCTTAAACAACCGCTCACTTTGCCGCCATTCAAAGCCATTCACCGCACCCGCGGGTATTTAGCGATTCCTTTAACTACGTCGGCACGGGCATAGGAGCGGGCACGAGCACGAGCATAATGCCAGTTTAACGTAATCATTTCATCCCTATAACTCAAAGCACGATCGCTATCAGCCGGTGCGCACGTAATCGCTGAAATTAATGATCGAAAGTCGGCGCGACTATTCTTACTCCTCGGGCGTCGCGCATGCGCGAGATAAACGCGAGATTTGGATAGGAATCCGGAAAATAAACTGATACTACATCAAGACGAGATAATCTCGCATTTTTCCTTCCCTGTCGCACAATCGCAAAAATATCGTCCTTTACTTAGAGAGGACGACGATGAACGATGATTATCCAACGAATATCGATGGATTTCCCTTCTATCTCAGCAAAGAAAACATCGAAATGTTTATCTTTGATATTTTCTCTTTAACAAATCATAAACTTTATTCTCCAACAATGTTCTAAGTAGAAGCGAGGGAGTATAACATAAAACTTTTATCCATTTGGAAATTCTTACCTGACCGTTTGAAAAAGGTTACTCGTCTTGAATATATTGAGGTAAGCCTTCAAGATGGGTATCAATTTTTATACAAACTATTATTTTTCTTAATGATGGGAGACTCACACATGTCTGAGGTTCAATGTAGTACGACAACTCGAATACCGAATAATTTCACTTTCTAGAGTAACTAGCAACATTTTTGCTTCTAGAGAACAAATTCTTATTGGATATCGAAACATCATACGTGTATGTCACGCGCAAATCTCCATTATATCCAAGTATTCATAGTCGGATCTTATATTTAAGACCGTCTCAAGTTCATCTTCAGATGCTGTACAAATTATGTCATTGGCTACGGGATATCTCAAGATGAACTTAAGGCGGTCTTAAATATAAGACCTGACTATGAATATCGGTCTAAGATTGTTTTAAATTCATTTTCAGATATATATCGTTTCATTGGCTATCTGCTGACAAACTTGAAGTGATCTTAAATGTAAGATATCATTATAGATGCTCTTATGGGCTTACAGTCCTTATGAAGAATTTACATTGCATCGACATGAAGCCGACATGACGACGATTCAATATCCAATAGGAGATTTTACTTTTTCGGGTTACTAGCTAGCAACATTTTTGTCTCCAGAAAACGAATTCTCCTATTGGATACAGTAACTTGCACGAAGAAAGAGGCAACGATACTTTTTATATTTTTTTATGTGATTGTAAATTTTCATTTGAATCACTTGCTACTCATATAATATAATACGTACTTTGTTTAAACCAATCTTTACTACTTTTCACAGACTTGGGCTGCGTTCCGAAATTCACTGCCAATGCTGAAAATCTATACTATACGTGACACAAACTATGTATTTTCAGTACCAGCAGTGAATTTCGGAACGCAGCCTTGATACACAGCGTTGCAATCGTTCAATGTAAACGCAGTCGAGTTGAACATATAGATTATTGCGTATTGTATGTAGTGTGAATTGTGAATCCTCCGTTACATTTGCAGTATGACAGAAACGAAGGTTAGGTTATGTGATAGGACTATTAAACATTTCAAAGTATTTTATAGCTATCGATAGACGTTATCAATCCCGTATATATAAAGAAAAGTCGCCTCTAAGTCTGCAAAGCGTCAGATGAATCGCGATCTGACAATAAGACGATAGGGTTAGGTTAGGTTGAGCAAGTCATTTAAAGGAACGTGGCAAAGGAGTGATTCGATCTTCGAGGTGGTGTATTGTGTGTGTGTGTGTGTGCGCGTGTACCAGAAGGAAGAGGAAAAGATCTGACAAAAACACATTTCCTTGTCGCATCGCAAAGGCATCGATCGTATCGCGAGTGCGCTTGCACGAGACGACAATCGTATCGATGATATCGCCAGGTATCGCTGGCACGCACATGCACCGTCAACTCGCAAATTGTTGCGAATCTCGCTGCAGCATGTTATAGCGCGTGCGCGCGCGTATACTCCGTGGCGTTTGTGCGCGTGCGACGGCAGTCACACAGTACGAATCTCTCCATGCGACGGTACTCCCCTACCTCCTTCGACGGGATTATCAAAATGGTGGCTGCTGCATAACGTGGGTGATGTGTAGACAGATATCGGCGACTCGCATTGTGATCGTTTCAGGGAAACGCGTGAAACGCGAGCGCTGTTACTACTACGCGAAACTGACAGCAACATGGGCGACCCGAAGAGCCAGCACGGCGCTCAGGAAATGAAAGGCTGGCTTTTCAAATGGACGAATTACCTGAAAGGTTACCAACGGCGATGGTTCGTCCTGTCAAATGGCCTCCTCTCGTATTACAGGTAGTTTCCTACGTGTCATCGGATCTCTGCTTCCGTTTTCTCTCTCTTCCTCTCTCTGTTTCTCTCTCTCTCTCTCTCCTTTTCTCTCACACACACACACTCTCTCTCTCTCTCTCTCTCTCTCTCTCTCTCTCTCTCTCTCTCTCTCTCTCTCTCTCTCTCTCTCTCCTTTTCTCTCACACACTCTCTCTCTCTCCCCCCCTTTCTCTCTCTCTCTCTCTCTCTCTCTCTCTCTCTCTCTCTCTCTCTCTCTCTCTCTCTCTCTCTCTCTCTGTGTGTGTGTGTGTTTTGAACGCCTTTTTCCCATTTTTCGATATATATAACATTTACTTGCGTCTCCGTGCGATAAAGGCACGACGATCGATCGCGCGACTGTCGAGATCGCGTTGCCAAGATCGCACAGACGACTCGGCTTCGCCGTCGCTGCTTCACGGCGATGGTCACCGTCAGCGCGAACAGCAAAAGAGTCCCTTGACACGTTGCGAATGCGCGCAATATGGAGCTGTTCCCGGTCGGTTGCGTCGCGACTAGGTTATGTGCTCGGTGATCGCTCGTTTCGATCATTCCCGGTCGAAAATAGCCCGGCAGCAGCTGCCATCATGCCGCGGATCATATGTATCTAAAGTGTCATGTATAGGCAGAAATGCGTGCTCGTTGTCACATGTTGTTCTTGGACGACGCGAAGTACCGCCCCTGCGATCGGTACGTCACGGACAATGCGTCTAATTGTTATTAATTTAAACGTGATATCTGTCAGGATCCGTCGGGCCGATCCTGGCAGTTTGCTACGATGCGCGCACACACAAACACCGTAAGGATGCAAAAAGATGCGGAGAGATTCGCCGCGAGTTATATTGTCACTTCTAATTTGTGCGATATGTCAAATGCGCCAGGAACAGCTTCTTATTTCGTCCATTTTTGAGAGAGAGCAAGACAGAGAGCTTATATAGCTATATCAATTATGTTAACGAGCTTGCGGTGAGCCACGTCTCAGCGATGATATTAAGCGAAAACTTCGGAAGACTACGTGTGCATACAGATAACTCCTCGATTTCGTTTTCAGATTATGTAACTTGATGATTCGGTTCGTTCAAACAAATGAGTAATGTAGAATCAGCCGTTTACCTTCGAGCCATTGCGTTTCGCCGGGATTCCATCCGCTTGTGTAATTTCAGCTGAATTCTTAGCATCTCGAAACGCGCGGGAGATACGATAATTCATAGGAAACAGTGAAAAGTATCGCGCGCGAAAGCATGACAGGGGATTTCTCTTATCTTAGATGGAACAGTCTCGACATCGCGCGTACCTATTTGCATTCGCATAGGCTGCGCTATAAAATGCAGGATATTTGGTAGTAGGAAGCTTTGCGACGTTAGTAAGCTGTATTCCGCCATAGATCTTGCCACTGAATTGCGAAATCGGTTGCAATTTAACGCGAGGCGTCCGCACGACGTCGCTCGTCGCTGCGAGAACTTTTCGTTTCGACGATTCTGTCTTCACGAGAAAGAAAGAGAAAAAAAAAGATACGAGTCTACTACGGATCCTCGCATGCGATGATGATACACTTTGTGTTCGTGCATCGGAGGGTATCTATCGCGCATAGACATATATCCTGCCTTGTATCTTTCTTTTATTTGTTAACCTTTGGAGTTCCTTGATTGACTTATTTAGCGCTTTGTTACACTTCGCAGCTCGAGATAGGCCTGTAATCGCTGCTGTAACAGCATCTACAACCTTGTTTACGATCTTATTTCGTTGTAAAAAGTTTTATTGAAAATTAACAGTGAGGAACGAAGGACATGTACAAACATTACGACACAAGCGCAAATAACGACAATACCTGGGTCTCGTTGTCTCCTTTGCGACAGAGAGGGTAGCCGTGATTTCTGACGTACGATTTTTAGCACCGGCTTTTATAGGATTTCTTTTCGTTTGACGTTTTCTGCTTGGCACAGTTTCTGTGTGATTTGAGTTTGCAATGCATCTTCGACAATTGTTCTGGAATGTATTTTTACGAACTCTCGTTGTATGAATAAGTAATTCTCGATTGTCTGCCGTGAGGCTTTTCGCACAAAACAAGACACGCGTGCACTCGAAATACGCAACTGCGTTCAACAGTCCAAGCGCAATTCTTCCCGCGTCACCTCTCGATATTACCGATCTTTGTTTTATCCTTTTTTCGAATTTCGAGCAACTTTAGAAGAGACACTACGCTTTTGTACTGTTTTGCGATAATAAGAAAAAAAAGATAAAGCAAGAAAAAGGGAAAAAGGAAAAGAAGAACATAATTTCGAGAAATAAATCTTGCCCATGTGTTGCACAATGTGAACGGGGTCTATTTGTTTTATGGATTGTTTAGGGCTGAACCAACAGGGGGGCCAAAGATATCAACGCGACGCAAGCGGAGGGCTGGCAGAGCCTCCGAGTAAGTAAAAAAACAAAAAAAAAAGAAAAAATTCGAAATCGCCAAAATTCCCCGACTCTCCTCTCAGCAAATCTTTGTAATTAAAAAGAAAAGAGAAAACAGAAAAAGCAACCGAGGACGTTCAGAGTTTTCATCTATCATTGTTTAATATTGTTTTATCCGTTTTTACATGTACACATGCGCGCACATAAGTATACACACATACACATACATCTAACACGTACACCATATAGCCATTCAGTTCTACATGTTCACGTGCAGTTTTGATTTGTCTCTCAATATCCTTCATGTAATTTCATCTGCTTTCTCTACCTGCCTATAACGTGTAAGCGATATGTTACATCTATGGTATACGTGTGTTATTTGAGAATTAAATACTCCCCCTCCCACCTCCTCGTCGTATGCTAAACATGCTAAACGTGACAACTGTACTCTTCATTTTTCTTTCTGTCTCTCTGTGTCTTTTTCTCTCTCTCTCTCTCTCTCTCTCTCTCTCTCTTCTGTGTTTCTGTACGTGCAGTCGCGTGCAGCAAACTGTGCCGCTTCTTTTTATCCTACATAGTTTGCCAATTTTCTTTGAATTTGCCAAGCCTTTGTTCAGGTCTGTTTCGTCACACTTTTGTTCATTTAATAGCTTCACGCAGTATACCGAACACAGACTGACGGAGATGCTGTTAGCCTACCTGTAACGGACAATTTTACTTTTCCACCTTCCTTTGGGACGGACGCTCAAAAATCGTACAGACCGCAAATGTGAGCTCATCCGTGAGATAACACGTTTTTTACGTCTCCTTTTTCTGGGCGGAATGGATGAACCGGAGGAGTTGTCGCGTAGTTGATGTTCAGGCGGCAGTTTCTTTTCGCTCGCCCTTTCCGATCAGATGTATCTTCTTGGTTTACTCTCCGTAAACTCACTTCCCTCAGCTGGATCTTTTTTCTTTTCTTTTTTTTACGTATTTAACTCTGCACCAAATTGTTATTAATGTAGAGAATATTCATCATCGTTACGCGCTCCCTCCCAGCCATGGACTCTCGCGTAAATTCGACGTTCATCTGTCATTGATAAGAGTTCAATCGAATCGTTCAAAATGTCAGCAGAGAAAGTCTGCTACGCATTCGCGAGAGAATCTGTGACTCGAAAACAAGCAGTACCGGGACACCCGGTGTAAATATTGAGTTTTGTAATGAGTTCAGATGATCAATATTGATACCACTTGTATATTGCTACCTTGAGAAAAAGAAATATACGAAATTCTGATACTAGATCTTGTTTTTTTCCTTTTCCATCGATAATACGATGTAATATATAAAGTGTCTCCAAAATGAGTCACCAAACTTCGTAAAGTGCGTTCTATTCATCTCGAAGATGAGGACAAATCGGGCGGCAATTTGATTACAGGGCTCTTTGATTACAGTCCTTTAATAAGAACCAAAGGACAATAGGAGCCGAATCGCAGATGTTAAATGTACACGGAGAAAGAAGTTTGGTTGAATTAATGTGACGATAAACGCGTTTAGTCGAATCGAAGGAAACGGAATTTCCGGTCCTAAAAATCAGAAATTGTTTATTCATCGTCACATTGATTCAATTAAAATTTTCTCTCCGTGCGTGCATTCAACTTCCTACGTACACACAGGAGTAATTCGTAAAACAACGGGCTAGCATTCTGGATTTTGAATCCGGTGATCCAAGTTCATGTTCTAGTGAGATCTTCCTGTGATTTACCGATCGTGCCGATGTGTGCGTAGAAATTTGAAAGATGCATCTCACACCTGTAATTCAACTCTTGACGACGAATCGTTGACACGTTGACCGGCACGGTGAGACATTGGGGAACTTCATTCCCCACAGCACTTCAAGAGCAGCGCATTATCATTATCATCCGGTAAAGCTCGCGAGAAAAAATCTGCGCGATTTGACTCGAAGTTTGGCAGTCAGTGTGTTAAGATCGCCAAACATCTGAGACAGAGTTTCACGGAGTGTTTTACAAACACTTCTCGCCCGCAAGAGGATGAATACTGCTTGCTCTCGAACACACGATCGCACTTGATCCTCGAGGCGAACAGAACGCGCTGCCAAAGCTCGGCGACCTGTTTCAGGAGCACCCTGTATATACGCGACACCGTGAGCGCTCAGCGCGCTAGCGTGAGTTCCTTTTTCACGTGGAACCGTGATTGTTGCGTGTTCGATTAACCCGAGCGACCTCACGTGCATGATCCGATTGAGAGAGCTCATCCTCTCCGTCCTTTGAGTTGTTGTTTCATACGACGGAATAACTCCCACAAGCGGGACGGATCGCGCTCTCTCGACGGATGACGAAACACGCCGCGCTCATTCAGACGTGCTGCAGGAGCGGGATGGTGGACAGGATCGCTTCCTAGAGCCGCGAGAGAGCGTGTATATATATATATATATATATATCCTTAGAGTATATAATATATATTACACTAATACATTCATACTCTTTAATACTCCCATAGACCGCTCCTCCTCCCCCGCCCGCCCGCCCTCCTGGCCCTGGCGAGTCGCATAAATATATGTATATTATATAACGGTGTCACAGATTAACGCAGACAATCGTTGGTTTTACATTGGTGTGTCAATTTTGGGAAGAGCCGCTTGTGGATGCAGATCCCCCGCTGTTCGCAAATCGTACAAGTCGTCAAAGGCACTCGAGTCTCCCGATTGCAAACTCACGTCTGTCTTTCTCTGTGTCATACGGCATTTTCTTTTTTTTTTTTTTTCCTTTTTTTTCCGGCGATCGGGGAATACGTTCCTCCTGGGATTGTCGCGCCTCCGCTCCTCTGTTCGCAGAAATCCCGCGGAGATGTCCCACACATGCCGTGGCACGATTTCCTTACACGGGGCCTTAATACACACAGTGGACGCCTGCACTTTCGTCGTTAGCAACGGCGGCACCCAAACCTTCCACATCAAAGCGGCGACCGAGGTGGAGCGGCAGCAGTGGGTCACAGCCCTCGAGCTGGCCAAAGCCAAGGCCATCAAAGCGATGGAATCTGGTTTGTATGACTGTCACCGCTTGTCCTTATGTCCCGTCAGCTCAATTGCGCGCGTCATCTGAAGCACCCATGATCATCTCAGCCGTGATATATATATATACACACACAATTAAAGATTTTGCTCGATCATCCGATTTTTCCTGCATGGAAGAATGTACAGTTCTACGTAGTTGTGAAGGTGCGCGCAAATTAAGACGAGTACACTTCTCGATGCATTCGTATAAAAGTAAATGAAAATAAAAAAGAGCGTAAACCTTAAAATACTTAAACTTTGGCCGATAACATTTGTTTCGTTGTATTTTGGGAGATATTTACCTGTCACACTTTATATGAGCGTGTGTGCTCTAAATTTAGATTTGTTACCAGCGACAAATCGTAATGTATCGATTTTCAGAACGATCTCGAGTTAAACTCGTGACACTGATTTTTAAGATTTTTAGCAATCGCTATATCATATCCATTAGTAAAATAATATATGATATTCCTGTGATATTTTATGTTGTATTATTTTTTTCTCTAAATTCTCTCGTCCGGCATTAATAATTTGACGAAGTCATGTGACGAAATTTCTTTTAGAAGAAGAGGAAGAAGAATATCAGGATAACGACAATCAAAAAGCGGAAACTGCGTCTGTGATTAAGGATCTAACGCGACGACTGGATGATCTGCAAGCGTGCAATGACTTGATATTTAAGCAGGGAACTATGCTGCAACGAGCTTTAAACGACTTGGAAACGCTCGAGTCTCCGTCCCCCGAATTAGCGGCGAAAATCAAGACCGTCAGCGAACGAGCCACGCTTTTCCGAATTGCGGCGAACGCTATGATCAGTGTAAGTGTGAACGGTAATTTTTCTATAAAATTGGGAAGGACATACTGCGAGTTTCCTCAATTCAGCAACATTGGATAATAATAATAATGATACACGACATTTTCAACGAGTATTTTTTGAAAAAATGACATACAAAGGAAATTTAACTAAAGAAAAATCTTCCTGAATTGTGGCATTAGCTGACGCAAGTGTCAACTCTCTGTATCGTCTTCGTGTTATTTACCAATTAATACAATCGCAAAGTATATCCTTGTATACATTCCGTAAATCTTATCGTGACGAGATACAAAGTACACAAGATCAAGCGTGACTCATCTTTGCAAAGAATCATATCTCTTTGAACGTCAGTAATTAATTCGTTCTTTATTGCAATGATTGACGGCGCGTTCAGAGGTCACGTAAAGATTTACAAGATTCAGGAGAGGTGGGGAGTTCGCTTTTCACGCCGATTAAGATCGTTTGGAAAACTTCATTTTCCGTTATGCGCAATCTCTGGAGACATCGACGCTTTGAAATCGTGTTAGATATTGGATTGATGTCGGATTGGATATATCGTTGCAGACGAGCAGCGATTATTTACAATTAGCCCAGCAGCAAGAACCTAAGTGGAAGAAGATGCTGCAGCATGAGCGTGACCAAAAGGAACGGATAGAGAAGATGGTCGAGCAGCTGGCCAGGCAACATTCGCATTTGGAGGAAGCGGCGCAACACGCGATTCCTTCAGCAACGCCCGCGGGAGGACACAGACCTTCACGTAAATATAAATTCATTCTTTTCTCTACATTCCGCCTGTGCCTATCAGCATGTTTATGTGTGCGCCTGTCTTATCTTCTTTTTCATTTCTCTTTTCCCCTACTTATCGTGTTACTGTGTTCTTCTGACACATTGAACGTCGCGCTGATTTCCGCGTCGACGTTGATCGCACAAAGGATTAATTAATAACCAAATTGTCCCTTATTCTTGGCTACTCTGTAATATATCCAAAATTTAACGGGATCGGCGAAGGGCGCTTTCCGCAACTTTCTTCGTAAAATATGCAACAGGATTGAGAAAGGGACTAGAAAGAAATCCATGTGTATGTGTGTGTGTGTGTGTGTGTTTAACAAATGTTACGTTATATATAACTCTTAAGTTGGTGTTCATGTCGGATATTTTTAGCGATGAGTGTTCCCGTTTCATATTACATTCGATTTCCGATCGTACAAAAGTCCCCCGTGCTACGTCGAGATCGTCGAGCACTATGCAGGACTTTGAGTCGAGAGTGAAACCATATTTAGCGCTAAATTTAGCGCCGCATGTCGCTTTCGGTCGATAGTCACGCGACTTCCGTGTGTGAGGCTGCTTGTCTTTACATAATACTTCTCATCGTCATCATAAAACGCTCGGGACATTCGAGTTTTAGCGCGTTTTCACTCGGTTATTAGCACTCGCGCTAGATGGCGGCACTCGCGAGGCTTGACACGGTGTTGCGCGAGTGATCGCTTCGCCCGTGGCTGTGTATGCACTGACATACATGATGTCGTTATAGATAGGCTTGTGTTCACGTCGTACCTGTATATGCGGTAACATAATGTACATAGCTACATATATATATATATGTATAATTTGTGTGTGTGTGTGTGTGTACCTATATATCACCGAGTGAGTGTGCTTACGTTCTGCCAAATGTGGCGCTTAACTGTTCCGTCTTCACCTAAAAATTGGTATTCGAACCTTCGCTCTTTCGTTGCGAACGTCTTATCTTTTATCTCGATACTCGGTTTCCAAATTCCAACGCGATAATCGTAACCCTCGCGAATCATCGGACCACTCTTCGAAGGCGAGCGACGGGACCGCGGACGTAAAGGTGTCAAAACAATAATTGGACGAATCTAAGGAAGGTATAGAATGTCGTCGCCTGTTTCGTAACTTCGCAATCCGGCTGAACGTTCGTGAGACTGAGTACACGAAAGTGGCGAGTCGTCCGAAAACTCGATCTCGGGAGTCCGTGTACGCGAACTGTGCAACGGTCGAACGAAAGTGCGATCGTCCCACCGCGCGACATCTTCCTCTCTCATGTTCTCTCTCTCTCTCTCACTCTCTCTCTCTCTCTCTCTCTCTCTCTCTCTCTTTCTCTCTTTCCCTCTCGAAAAATGCATCTGTTCTTCTCACCTAAGTTGTGTTGCACTTTTCGCACCTGATGGCGAAGTAAAACTTGTATTCCCGGATTTCCAGAGATTAGTCAGATGAAGAGAAAGTGAGGAAAGGGAAGAGTTGTACGGAAAGGTGCACGAGAGTGCAGCTAAAAGAAGCACATCCGCGATATCTCATGTGTTACAGGGCATTTTTTTTCTGTGACTCACACAATCTCGCGTTTCCTTTGTTTTTTCATCCTTTTTTTTCACTCGGTCAAGTGGAGCGCGGAAGTGAAGTGAGATTTTTCTTGCAGCAGTGCGGGCACGCTGTAAGGAAAAAAGAGAATCGACACGGCAGCGGCGCGACTCGCATGAAATCGCGATAAGAAGCGACGCGATTACAGACAATGAGAAAGGTTGGATCCTCCCCGGAACAGTAAAATTCATTCGGAGCGGTGGCATGAGTGCGGTCTTATAATGAGCTCACGAGCTATGTATCGATTCCTTATTAATGATACGATCTCGCTGCTAGAGCCGCTGCTAGAGCACGGACGATCGCGTGGCAGTAACGTGTGTATATTGTCAATCCACGTTTACATGTCTCCCTCTCTCCCTTTCTTTTTCATACGCATACCTTGATGTCTTATCGAAGACGATATCTTCACTGTTAACTTCTTTCAAGTCTTATTGATACACTTGAGCACTTGACGCGATATCAAATGACCTCTGTACAACGTGTTCGTGTTGCAACTCCGTTCAGCTTCCTGTCCGTCGTCTCTCCTGGCTCGGGTCCGCATGCGACACGAATTCCGTCGCATTCCTCAGCAACAAATGGAGAACTTTGACATTGTAGATCCTGCAGTGACCACGTCGCCGTCCGAGGACGAGGAAGATAATGCGGAGTTTTATGACGCGCAAGAATTGGACACCTTTACATTAACTATATCCGGAGTTGCCACGAGTAATTCGATTTCTCATACGAGAGATCGTACCGATTCGCAAGGTAGCGACGATGGTTCTAGCTCAGAAGGAGATCCAACGCCCTTGCCTGTTTCTGACTCCACCGGTGCTGACTCGTTTCTCATTGTGACCGATTCTACCGCAGCGCAGACTCCCTTATCTGTCACAAATATAGACGACCTGGATAACGTAAGCTATAAGAACACTCACATCTCGATTGACCTATGTATTTAAAGCAGGATGTAAAAGTAATTTCTGTGTGCAACAGACTGCTTGGCAGACTAACAATGGCAGTGGCAGCACCGGGGTGACTCCTGTTTCCAAGAGGAAGCGAAGGACTAGGGTACCTGATAAACCAAATTATCCTTTAAATTTATGGAGTATCATGAAAAATTGTATCGGCAAGGATTTATCGAAGATCCCTATGCCAGTTAATTTTTCCGAACCACTTAGTATGCTGCAACGACTGACAGAAGACTATGAATATGCGGACATTTTGGACAGGTATATCTTGTGCTGATATATAAAGTCCAATCTACAATAGATGAGGCAAACCTTTAGTCTTTTATTCTAAACTCTACACTGTGATAATTCCTAGCAAAAGGTATTTTATATGCTACCAGAAATTTCAATAAAGCTTAAGGAAATATTTGTCAGAAGTTATATTTAAACAAAAGGCTGAAGCATCTATTGTAGATCCGGCCCAAAACTGTCGCAGCTTCGTCATCTCACCAAAGAAATGTTTGTATTAATTCATGAATTGTCTTTTGAACAGGGCTGCGGAGTGTGCAGATAGCTATGAGCAGATGGCTTACGTAGCCGCGTTCACCATATCTAGTTATTCCACAACTGCTGCTAGAACAGGGAAGCCGTTCAATCCTCTATTGGGCGAAACCTATGAATGCGATCGTACGGACGACCTTGGATGGCGCGCGATTTCGGAACAAGTATCTCATCATCCACCTATGCTAGCTCAGCATTGTGAGGGGCAGAAATGGCGGTGTTGGCAGGAGTTCACGATGGCTTCTAAATTCCGTGGGAAATATTTGCAGGTGCGACGTTTTAACAATCTCTTTCCAATCCACTGATATATAAGTCATTTGGTAATCCTGCTTTCTTGGCGCCGATTCGATACTCCCTGTTTACGAATGTTTGGGCAGAGTTCGCTCGGCACTACAAATGTTTCAAAGTGTCAAATAAAACAATCTGATCTGTCCGTCGCTTTAAAGTATATGCAACATCAAACGTGTCCTGTTTCTTGTACACTGAGAATAGAATTTCTTTCGTTAGGTAATTCCTCTGGGCACTGCTCACTTAGAATTCGACAGTGGCCTGCAACACTACACATGGCGAAAAGTCACTACTACCGTACATAATATTATAGTCGGGAAATTGTGGGTCGATCAGAGCGGCGATATGGATATTGTGAATCACAAGGAGGGTATCAAGTGCCATTTGAAGTACATACCGTACTCGTACTTCTCACGAGATAGTCAACGCAAGGTGAAGGGAGTGGTAATGAATTCCAACAAGGAGGTCAAATGGGTGGTGCAGGGTACTTGGGACGCGAAGATAGAGATTGCTCCAGTGATCAGCACGTCCGGTACACCGGATAATCCGGTTTACAAGACGGGTCCCTACATCTTGGCCTGGAAACGACGTATGCCCCTGTGAGTATACGTGACCTTGGTATTAATCGACTGTATGTCTAAACGCTCTTGTTCAACACCTTACAGCGAAGACTGTGAGAAATATTATTCGTTCACGGAACTGGCGTGTCAATTGAACGAACCGGAAGAAGGCATAGCTCCAACGGACTCTCGCTTGAGGCCTGATCAACGGTTAATGGAGGACGGACGATGGGATGAGGCTAATGCGGAGAAATTGCGTTTGGAAGAGAAGCAAAGGGCTGTCAGACGGGCGCGTGAACACGACGCCGAGAAGGCCGCCGCGCAAGGTAAGTTTCGCATACAAATATCTCTGCGTCGCCTTCCGCAGAGCTCAAACAGTTCGAGTTCACCCGAGACTCTTCGTTCTTTTTCCCATAGGTTTTCCGTACGAATCGTACGAACCGCTGTGGTTTAAGAAGAAGCAGGATCCATACACGGACAGTCGTTGTTATGTATATAACGGCGAATATTGGGATTGTAAAAGTAAAGGTGATTGGTCGCGATGTCCGAACATATTTTAGTTTATTATTATAAATATATTCTATTATACACACAATGTGACTTGTCACACGTACATGCAGCGCGAGAACTTTTGGATTGTTTAGAATGGACGATAAACGGATGTTAGAAATTGCGATCATTACTCGAGAAGACCGAAACTTAATACTTACGAGATAATGTTGACGTGATAGTGGGGTTGTTACGGGATATGGTTTAGCGGTTAATTAATTCTTCCAATCAGATGGACGAAGTTGGCACTCGGATCATGTACAATGTGCAGTTTGTACTCGTGTGTCACCTTTCTTCGCTATCCTTTGGCCCTCCTATACTCTCCCATTCTTCTATATTTTCTTGCTACTTCACAGCGTCTTGAATCTTTTTATTTTCCAAAGTGATAAATATCAATGATTAGTAAGAATCTAATGTCGAATAAACGTGCGCTTTCGTGTTGATTTCTTTTTTATTAAATTTTGCGAAAATAACGAGAGACAGAAATATTAAAAAATTCTCTTCTGTCAAATACGACACATCCCATATATATATCAGTTGTATACGTATGAATACATGAGAAATCAACATTTAAGCAAAATACGAGTCGGACGTAAGATGCGAATATTTTATTACTTCAGCCTAAAACCGACAGATAGCAATAAGATTTGACCGCAATGAAAAAAAGTAGAAAGGGCTACTTCTTCTATCACCATTTATTGAAAGTTGGTCAAGCTCAATATTCCACTTTATAATAATATATTCAGTATTCTCTCACTGGATTTATTTTTTTAGACATATACAAATTTACTTTCTTAGAAACTAATTTGAATTTGAGTTCTTCTGAAATTGATCGTACTAGTGCTATATGTATAATCATATACATATACACACACACATGTAAGAAAAATTTTGTGCATTTTTTTCATCTATCGCTGGAAATATTTACGTAGGTGCAGAAATGTGCAGTGAGGAATAAGATTGAGCTCTCAAGACGAATTCTATGTAATATAAATCAAAATGTAGGCGTATATGTTATATAATTTATAATCTTTCCCAGTATTTTTTCTTTTAGAAATAAAAAAACAGGCTTTTGTAATCGAAAGACCAATTGAATTGCGACGCGTACCGAAGCATGGCCTCTTCGCTATAATTTTTCCCCTCATTGCGCATTCCAAACTGCGCGGAAATGACTTCCGCGGCAGTACTATGCAAATTCAAGGAAAATTGTATCCTATGGAACTGTGCGTGTGTTCGAAAGTTTACTCAACGATTTGAGATGCATATGCAAAACGACGATCACACTCGCCGATACTTTATGTAATGTAAATTGAGGACGATAATGCTTCCATGTTTGGTCAGTGTTCTCGTAAGGAAATCACGCCACACACATCTCACGTCTCGCAAATTTTCAGCCCACTAGATAAAAATGAGATACACTTGGAGCATTCGCCCGAGTCGTAACGCAAAATACTACTGATGTTATTGCCGAAAGAAATCGATGAAAGCAAGCGCTCGAGTACGAGATTCGAAGGCTCCTAAGTGCTGCTCCGCCCGATCGAGAGAAAGAAAATCAAAATCGGGTCTCGAGCGTTCACAATCGCGTTTCCTTTTTAAAACTACTCTATAGAATAGAGATATGCTCACAATTACACATAGGCACGCGCGACCGATTTATAGCGAATGTTATGCGTATGTCCGTATGTTTGTATGTGTGTTTTGTGTGCCTGCGCGGGCGTGTGTGTATGTGTGTGTCATCATGTACATATAACGATTAATTAATGAAATTAATGAAAAATTTATTGTATATCTCTTACAAGCTCGTGACGCTCATTAGATATTCATCTGCGTACACGAGTGTGTTTCAACGATAATTTGAACAGAGCGGTTAGCTGGCAATCAATATGATTATATATATATATATATGTACGTATGTATGTGTGTGTGTATATATATATATATATCATATTGATTCGTATAAATATAAGTATGTGTGTGTATATATATACATGTGTGTATGTTTATATATATATATATATATGTATACACATAACACATAAAACTTGTTTGTATGAAAACTTATTCATATAAATATAGGTGTGTATATATATGTATATATGTACATTTATATATACACACGTTTATGTGTTTTTATATATATAAACGTACACACTTACAACTTATTTATATGAAAGCCTCCGACTGTATTACAATTTTAATAGTTTATAATAATCAAGATTGGGGATATATACACATATATATGTATATATACATACATAAGTATGTGTATATATATGTACATTACACACACAACACATCTGTATACATATATAAATACAAATAATTACAAAATAAATAATTTAACAAGACGCAAGTCGAGTGTGAGTCAGGTAGTGAAGCTGTCTTCGGATTATTAGCGCTTGTAAATTAGCTGATTCGTGTGGAAAGAAACAAAAATACAATATGCTTCGCTACAAAAGGGACATTATATATATTTTGCAGCGTTCACGCGACTGCCTTTTCGACGTATCCTACTCAACCATCTATCGTCGACTATGAAAGGCCGTAATCGTTTGTATTATATATATATAATATATATGCGAAACTTTTTGTTCAAATAAATTTTATTGAACCAACGATGATATATATAGACATATATATATATGTGTGTGTGTATATATATATATATATATATATATATATATATAAATTAAACGCGGTTTGACCGTAGTAATTAAGCTCACAAAGTGCTTTATTTTATCTCATCTGATTTTCTTCGATCAAAAATAATCCTGCGCGCGAGTCGTATCCTCCCAATATCAATCTTCCTTTAATCTTTTCCTTCAGGTTTATATCATACCTGAAGTTATTTTTCCGCATACTTTTGAAAGAAAGAAATTGATGCAAGTGCTCATTTTTCAAGAAGTTTCGAGATTTTGCGGAAAAACCTGATGCCCTGACGACGAAATGAAAAGAATCACCCGTCGCAGCTATCGAATTTCTGTCGTGCCCGATTCGCTGGTTCGCGTTTCGGGCATTCCTCCCGTTCAAAAGCCGCGACGTTCTGCTATGCAATCGAGCGATCAAAAAACGAGGGTTACTGACAACAAAGACGACGAACGAGCGCCGGTGAATCTCCCAGGTCTTCAGGAATTCGCATTCCCGCGGCATGAAAACGAGGTTCAGGTCGAGACCGAGAGAAAATACTCGTCGGTCTGCCGGTTCGGCAGGAAACATGCGCATGTCGCCTTCGTCAGGATGGCGGCGGTGGCGGTGGCGGTGGCGGCGTCGGCGGCGGTGGCGATCGGATGACGTCACAGGCGTAGTAATACACGGGTGCGAACGCATGGCGAGAGCTGAGTCGAGCCGCAGAGCTGCTGCGCGAGAGAGACTGGGAACTGCTTTCGATTGTTGGCGGGCGCCGCCATCTTGGTCAGTGAGCTCGCGAGTGGCTGATAGGTTTTCGAGGAGGAGCGCAGCGCGGTGCAGCTTCGTGTTCGTGTTTCGGGCGGTCAGGCCGACAACGTCATATTTCGTGCGCGCGTTTCCCCTCGCGAGCGGAGCGTATTCTCCTCTGACAATACTGAGACCGGCGGAATCCGCGAGCATCCGAGATGTCGGAACGGGAGGACAACGTTTATAAGGCGAAACTGGCCGAGCAAGCGGAGCGCTATGACGGTGAGTGGATATCTCGCGCGAGGGCCCGTCGACGGCCGGCCGCGACTAGGTTCTCTGCCTCGTCGTCGTTGTCTACATCCGTGCTCTCTCTCTCTCTCTTTCTCTCTCTCTCTCTCTCTCTCTCTCTCGCGTGCGTGCCGTGCGTACGTACGTAGACGTAAGTGCGTGCATGCGTGCGTGCGTGGCCCGTGCCCCGCGCGAGGAGCACGCACGGTCGTGAGATTGCCCCGCGTGTGTACTACGCGTTAATTGGCCGCACACGCATCCTCTCGCGGAGCCGATCGATCGGCGATCGGCTTCGTCGACGGCGCGTCTCGGCGTCTCTCGCGTTCCGGGCAATCCGTCCGGCGCTCGGGAAGTCTCTGACGGGTAACCTTTCCCGTCCAAGGCAATGCCGAGTGGTGCTTGTCAAGTAGCCACGACGGCAAGAGCGTCGGGATCCTCGGCGACAGAGCGCTCGTGCTCCGGCCGCCGGCCGGAAAGGGCCGCGGGCGTTCCTTTGTGGTGGCGGCGCTCTGGGCGAAATCGCGATATCGACTCGTGTCATTCTCAGCGCGTCGAGGCCCGCCCTCGTCTCTATATCGGCCGACGACTCGTTCGCGAGCCCCGCTCGAAGCCGTCCTCGTCCGCACGATACTCACAGCCGACGCACCCCTCGCCCTCCGTACGTCGTGGTACGCGCGACGGGCACGTCGCTAAGGTGTGTGCTTTCGCTCGGGCCGACGGTCGCCTGACTCTTCGTCGCCAGATAAGCGACAAGTCGGTCTTTCATCGACGGCTGGCGTGACGCATTAAGTCTGTTCTCTGTCTTTCTCTCTCTCTCTCCCCCCTCTCTCCCTCCCTCCCTCTCTGTCTCTGTCTCTCGTCGACTGCATTTCCCCCGCGCTTCCTTTCTTTTCGATCGCTCTTCTCTTCTCTTCCCGTTCGTTTCCTTCGGAATATCTCGATATTACATTTATCTCGGTTTAATACTCTCTCTTTCTCTCTCATTCATACAAAGTCTGCTTATTTCAGTCCCGGCCGCGGTGCAGAAAGTGTAACCGTGGTGCAATTGAAAAGAACAGACCTATAGGCACGCACACGGCGTGGCGGCACGGCACAGCACGGCACGGCGCGGCTCGCCTTTGCTAATCGCCACCGGCTCATTATTTTACGGCCGACAAGAGTGGTGAGCGTCGCGTACACCGCCGTAGTATGCCGTCGCTCTTGATATTTCATCTGAAAAATGCCCACGCCGGGATAGACACGCCGAGCTGGCCCGATCGACCGATGAACGGAGAGAAAAAGAAAGAGACAGCAAGGGTGGGGGGAGGAAGGAAGAGAGAAAGAATGAGCGATGTTTCCCTCGAATCTTCGCCCCGGACTGTTCCAGCGATCCTTTAGGGCCTTTAGGTGCCGATTAACGCGCAGTCATAAAGAAGAAGGATCTCCTCGGATCATGGACTCATCCTGGTCCCTCCGCCAGACCCGACTCCGATCCCTTTTATATCATCTTCGGCCAAGCGGCACCTACGACGGAGCAGGATTCGACGTGGACGTGACATCGCAAGCAAAATGGACTCTACGAATGGAGTCGCAAGATTTGCGCGCGATTCCCCCCGTGGAGCTTTTGTCTTGCCTCGCCTCTGCCTCACCTCGCCTCGTCCCGTCTGATACTTTCGGCGGCGTTTCTGTCGACACCGCGACGGAGCGGAATGCCACGACTCTTACGGTGCATCCGTCGATCGACTTCTCGCTCGTCGTCATCCTCGCGATATCGACGCGACGGTGCGAAGAGAAGCGCCGATTATCGGATATTGTGGGCGTTCATATCGATTGCTACGCAGAGAGAAAGAGAGAGAGAGAGAGAGAGAGAAAACGAGAGCGCCTTGTCATTGTGCATTGCTTTCGGTAATAAAGGTACATCCGAGTCACCTCAGGATCCTTCCGCTGCCGCCTGCGGTGAAAGCAACGCGTGCTCGCGCAAGTGGGGAGAAACGATCGGCCCGGCGAAGAGGGATCACCGCGGGGAGGAAAGAAGAGGGTAGCGTGAAGAGAAAGAGAGAGAAGGCGGTCGAGCAGCAAGAGGGGGGGGGCGGTCAAATTTCTCCAATCTACGCCGCCGCGTGTGCGTTCGGTGCACACGCTTCTTCGTGTGTCTTTTTCTCGCGGGGTGATCTCGCGTAGACTACATACTTCTTCCTTCATCCTGGCGGCTGTTCTCATTCTCTCTTTCCTTCCATCTCTTGTTCTCCCGTTTCTCCTCGCTCCACCGGCTTCTCGAGGCGCGTGAAAATTTCAGTGAACAATGCACCTACACCTGTTTGACAGCGAATCACGCGGCATAGCTGACGAGCTGGTGAGAAAGAGAGAGAGAGAGGGAGAGGAGAAAGGGGGGTAAGACCCATTCGTTGAAACACGCGCAAAGTGTCTTATCGCGGGTAATTAACGAAACGTTTGACGCTGATGAGCAATTTAACGGTGGTAGAAGAGAGAGAAGGAACAATGCAAATGCTAACTGAATAACGTTCCTTTGTGATGTTCGAGGAACGAATCCGTTCTACGCGTTGCTTTGTGCGACGAGATCGACAGGTCTCGCGCAGCGATTTAGCGACAGAGCAGCGTTGATTGATGAATCCCTCTGTTCTTCTTTCTCCTCTTTCCGTAGTTTGTCCCGATGGACCTTTATCACGAAATCGATGGAACTAGCGAGTCCTTTATTTAAAATGCAAAGGCACAATGTTTTTGATCGGCCGAACGCCTGACGCAGTCGTTTTCATCGATGAGTTTTAGTCTCGACAAATGAGTCTGATCGAGGAATGTCACCTTTTTCCAGAATGTATTTTTCGATAATGAAATATCGGGGAATTTCGGTGACGTGCTTGATCGTTAAAGGTTCTTTAAAACGATTCGTTGTACTGTAGTCTCAAGAGAAATCTCCCGCGGACTGTCTATATAGTCTAAGAGAAATCTTTCAGATTTAATCATCGCACCACCGTGAAAGAAGAAAGATATTGAAGTGAAAAAATTTAGACGTGCGCATTTTCAGATACGCTTCTACATTATGACCTTGGTATTCTTTTCCGTAACTCTTTTCCAACGAATAAAAAGAGTTATAACTCCCGAAAAGAACACGAAAAGAACAGAGAAAGAGTCAAATTCTTATCTTAAATTAGAATGGAGAGAACTAGATTTAAGACTAATTAACAACGATCATTGATCCGTTGTCTCTTCCTAAATCATTACGTCGCCCATGGTATAAGACAAACACGAAGATTTAGTTCGGTGGTAGCTAACAGGGTTGCACGCTAATCGACGTTGGCGTAATCCTCTTGAGGGCGAAACCCAGCTAGAGACGATGTAATAATGTGACTGTTTCTTGTACGGGAGAATGAGGAGGGATGGTCGAATTTGAGGATATAGTTAAAGAGCGTACGTGAGTGAGTGAGTGAGAGAGAGAGAGAGAGAGAGAGAGGAACGAAAGGGTGGGTTTTGTAGAGGAACGGCCAAAGAGTGAGCAAAGGGATGGGAGAAGGTTGGCGGGAGGAAGAGGAAGAGGAAGAGAGAGAGAGAGAGAGAGAACAGAATGTAGGAGAGGGGTGGTTAGCAGAAGGAAAGTATTGATCTAGCCGCTATCCCACGTTTGCCGCACACCTCGACTTGTATATATTACCGTGTTCATTGTAACGCCCGCTTTACGTCACATTCATCACCCCCCATGAACTTGAGGCCACATACGTGGATGTATATCTGGTTGCGTGCGACGCATCATATCGATCCGCGTGATCGATTTACGCGTGCCTCCCTTCCCCCATATTTTTGCCCTTATTACGGATCTTCGGGTTTTAAGGAGTAACTCTCTTGTGTTCTTCCTCTCCCCTCCCCCTCCTCTCTCTTTCCCTCTTTCTCTTCAAGAGCACACGAAGTATATTCATTTCGTTTCAAGAGCACGAGATACAAGAGAACGCACGGTAATTACCGGAATGAGTGGATAGTTTCTTTGATTCGCGTTACCGTGCTTCGAATACTAACAAGTTGCAGTTTTGCATAACTATTTCCTATTATTCGAGCGATAGCGCCGTAAAACTAATTAAATACATGTTTAATTATCATATTTTCATGATCGTAAAGTCAATATCTGGATATATATGATTTGTCTTCGATCTCTCTCTTTCTCTCTCTCTCTCTCTCTCTCTCTCTCTCATCTATAAGTTTTACTTTCTTATATTTATAAGCTTCTAATTGTCTTTGTAATGATTGCTACACTTGATTTTTTTTTCTTCATCTTATCTTTGAAAAAGATTTGCATGGAATAAAAGTTTTGGGATTTTCTCTTTTCTCCATGTTTAACGTTTCAATGTCGATAAATCTGAGTTAACTTCATTAGTTCTTCATAGTTTCCTCAGCTTGAGTACTTAAGTACTTTACCCAAGTTACTTATTTGGTGAAGAACGATATTCCTCTGTTGAATATACTTCTAGCAAGAAATGATCGATTAAGAAATACTTGGCCGGATCTCTTAGAGCCGCAGGACATCCCTTTAAAACAAATTAATCGGCGCTTAAATTAATCAGCGCTCCTCTGCGATATGTCGCTCGTATGTACCGATAAATAGGTATTGGTGTGACTTCCGTGCAAAGTTCAAGGGGCAGCGGATTAATATATGTCGACGCGTTCATCCCCTTTACTCCGAAGGAACTCGACGCTTACCGTTTCATCCGAAGGGCACGTAACATTTTATAGGCCAAACGTTCACACGCCATTTAAACGAACAGGTTCACGAGCGATATGGTATTCACTTTGTACGTGAAGTGATTTGCGAAGAGAATACCTCAATAGAATCAAGTTTTTCAGGATAATTGTAAGGGTAATTGTAAGAGTTAGCATGAAAGAAAGAAAGAGAGAGAAAGAAACGGAGGGGAAGAGTGAGCAGTTTGTAAAATTTTTGATATAAAATATTTAGACTTGTAGTAATTTAATACATATAATGTGAAACTACAGTACGTATAGTGTGAAATTATAACGAGAATGTTGTTGCATTTTTCATGAAAATCTTGATAATTTTCCGGAGCAGTTACATCAATGATCTTGTTACGTAACGTAGAATAGCTGTGCGATACAATGAACAGGTGGAAACATTATATATTGTTTGTCGATACCGTTTACAGAGATGGTAGAAGCGATGAAGAAAGTGGCGTCGTTGGACGTTGAGCTCACCGTTGAAGAAAGGAACCTTCTCTCAGTGGCGTACAAAAATGTCATTGGCGCGAGAAGAGCCTCGTGGAGAATAATCTCGAGCATCGAGCAAAAGGAGGAGAACAAGGGTGCCGAGGGCAAACTAGAGATGATTCGTCAATATCGATCTCAAGTTGAAAAGGAGCTCAAGGATATCTGCGCCGATATCCTCGGCGTTCTGGACAAACATCTGATCCCGTGTGCCTCCACGGGAGAATCCAAAGTCTTCTATTATAAAATGTGAGCGTCCTTTCTATGTATTTAATACTTTACCTTTCTTTTCTGCTGGATTGAGTTTAGAGCCATTTAGAGTTAGATGGAAGTTAGAAGGACGACATGGAGAAATGTACTGATCCGTCGCTTTCAGGAAGGGTGATTACCATCGTTACTTGGCGGAATTCGCTATCGGAAACGACAGGAAGGAAGCAGCGGAGAACTCCCTGGTGGCGTACAAAGCGGCGAGTGACATCGCCATGACGGATTTGCCACCGACTCACCCCATTCGCCTAGGATTAGCACTCAACTTCTCCGTGTTCTACTACGAGATCCTCAATAGTCCCGATAGAGCGTGCCGCTTAGCAAAGGCGGCTTTCGACGACGCGATCGCTGAGCTTGACACGCTCTCCGAAGAAAGCTACAAAGATTCCACCCTTATAATGCAACTCCTCAGGGACAACCTCACCCTATGGACATCGGATATGCAAGGAGACGGTTAGTAGTGTGCCCTACCTTTTATAACGGGGGTAAAATCGTCACCTTAGGGAGACGGATGTATTTTGATTACGCTAGGACGCACGATGTTGCACGACGCACCGTCGCACCGCCCGCACGTGTCCGATCGATACGCGAGCAAATGCTACGCATTGTGCTAGGATGATCTTATCACAAATACTCTCCTCATCTCGCGCAATTTACGTTGCCTGTCCTGCACTTGATACGGCGCTTTTTCTTCTTTTTTTCTTTTTGCTCATGGATTTGCTCGAAATAGATACTTTCCTGCAAAGAAACTTGGACAGAAAGTTATCGCCCGACATCGAGTTCATCGATTTGCAGTTTCAATCTCTCAAAAGCCAATCTTATGTAACAAATTGAAGGAAGTACACGGCTTCTAGAGTGCATTTTGGTTAAAAAAAGAAGAACAAAAATTTGCACAACTTTTCTCCTCGTCTTTTTTTGAAAGAATATCATGCTCAAAGCAAAAGCGTCAACGTGATATTCTTGAGAGATTATGGAGTGACAATTATTTTTCTTATCTGCTGGCAGATAAACAGGCAGTTGTGAGCCTTAAAAGTACATTGGTCGCTGCAAGGAATTGGAATATTCTGACCCTTGTAAATTTTTCTTCTTGTTGTCACATTGCCAATCTGTATTATTTAACACCTATTGTTTTGCAAAAAATCAAACTGCGTACAACTTTTGAACATTAATTTGTAATTTAGAATCCGAGTCTGATCAACCGGGTGATAGCGCTGTTGATATCAACGATGCCTGAACGTAGTCACACCTGTTTTTCTAATGTCCCTCTTCCCCTCTTCCACACAGCATGCATATACCGGGTGAGCCGTACATGATCTTAACATTTTTTCGCAATTGTCAATTGTTTGGTAAGGAACGTAATGAGAGAAAAACGATAAACAAACGTCGTGACCAACAACCAGTTTGACGGTTCACGATGATTAAATAAAGATACGCACTTGACACGAGGTCAAGCACTAATAGACTCGTATCTATATCTGTTGTGCAGGTGAAGGAGAACAGAAGGAGCAACTGCAAGACGTAGAAGATCAGGACGTATCGTAACTTTAACTGTAGTGAGTGTTATCTTACGTATATAAAACTGAGACAAAAAAAAAACTCTTAATAACTCATAAGCAAAAGAAAAAAAACAATTCAGCAGGTGGCAGTTCGGGATGGGAAGGGGAGATCTTTTAGAAATTCGCGTGATCTTTGAGGAAAACAAGAAAAAAAACAAAACACACGCACCGTTACGATTATTTTGAGACAAAGCAAGCAACAGCAGCAACAGTAACAACAGCAACAAAAAAGATAACAAATCATTAATATAATAAATAAATTCATTCGGTTGTATTATAAAACACACACATACACACAATTGAGTTAAAATACGGAGTACGCAGAAAGTAATGAGTAAACAAAAAAAGGACACACATTCTGCGGTAAATAGAGACTGCAAAGCATTTAGGAGAGAAGGAGAGAGAGAGAGAGAGAGAGAGAGAGGGAGAGGGAGAGAGAGAGAGAAAAAAAAAGAAAGAAAGAAAGTGGCACTTTTTAATCGCCCCCGTTTTTTGCGTATCGAGAGGAAACACCGTCTTTGCACTGTGCATGCGTCCGATCAAAATTCTATCGACGTCGAGAAGATCGAGACGACGGTGACACCGACCATCGACTGGCAGCCTCGAAAAATTCCAGTTGCATTTCCGGATTGCGCACGGCGTAGAGTGGTACGTCGTTCTCGGGTAAAAATGTTCGGTCTCTGCCCACAATCTCAGTGAGAGTGAGAGATTTTGTGTGTCACACACAAACACGCATACATACATAAAACGCGTCCGCGCGCCTTATCTGTTCTTTGCAATAAAAAAAGAGGCACGGATGCTCGATGTCACCAAGACGCATCGCGTGTGTGTGTGTGTGTTCGTCTATTCTCATACCTGTACCTGTTCCACCACGTACCCGCTCCTATCCTCGAGAATTCCCTCTTCGTCCCGCTCCCTCTGCCCCCTTGAAACCTCGCTTTTTTACTGCGCGTATGGTCGTCTCGCGTATATAATGTAATAATCGCTACCGGTGTTTTTATTAGTGTACGCGTGTAAGTCGAGTTTATATAGAAATTGGGTTCACCTCAAGGTATGAAACACTGGCGTCTTCGCGGGAATAGCGGCGGCGCGGCGCCGTCATGCTACAGTTGCTAAGACGGACCTCGCTTTCGAGCTTGTACTCTGTAATAAGATACGATGTACTTCCGACGAAATCCGATTCGAGTGTAACATTACACACCCACACATGCGCACATACCCGCGCACACACTCACACACACGTACACAGCCGACTAAAAAAAAAAAAAGAAAAAGGAAAGAAAAGAAATTAAGAGAACAGAAACGCATCTTATAAATTTTTGGTACATAACCGATGGTATGTCAGAAGAAAGGAATGTACCGCCTCACTTCGATCACTCCTTCTGTACCTCGTTGTAAACACACACCAACACACATCGTTTGCCCGAGCTTTCGGTAGAGGAAGGGAAAATACAGAGATAAAAAAGAAAAAAATGAGTCTGTGTCGGCGCAAAGATCCGGTGAACGAGCGAGGCGGATGGTTAAAATTTCCGGCGCGGTGACTCGCAATTTCTTCGTTACTCTTACACGCGTCTCATACGCGTGGGACGAGCGCGTTTTTATCGCGTCAAGCTTGCGACGAGCATCGTGACGAGAAAAAAAAGAAAAGGAAAGAGCGAAAAATCGCGAGGAGGAACGAGAGGAAAAAAAAGAGTAAAAGAGAAAAGGGGAAAATTACGTTATAACGTAGGTGAGCCTCTTTTTAGCATTACGTTACTCACAGCAAAGCAAATAACTATCTAGCTAGTCTGTAATGTGGTTGTACGTTTTCATACGCCCGTTGTGTAAACTAATATCGATTGCTGTGGTATAAGTGACAGAATAAATGACTGTACCTCGACTTTTTCCACCCACGCGCGCACCATACACATATACACTCACACACATGTGTGCGCGCGTTTGCGCTCGTATTTGACGTACGCACGCATACACACAAAGGGATTGTCCGAATTCGTGTGCGACAATGTATATCGGGAAAATTCGTAGGAAGAAAATAACCAACATGTAACTTCGTACTTTGTGTCTTCTCGCGACTTTTCCGCCGTGGTGTGCAATTTTTCGAATTTTTCAGACATGGCGTGTGTGTGTATGTGTGTGTGTGTGTGTATGTGTGTGTGTGCGCGCGCACTCGTACACACACACACACATACGCGCGCATGTGCGCACGCACACATACACTCACTCAAAACACAACACAGAGATATTGTCTTTTCCATCCAGATACACGATAATCAGTCCGTGTCTGTAATTATCCATCTGCCGATTCATCGACGAGAGCCATTCCATCGACGTTTTTACGTTGAGACATTCCATTCTTCTTCTTGTACTAAGAAGTCTGTCGGAATCGTAGATTTACAGTGAAAAAAAATATACTCTTTCTTCAAACCGACGAGGTAAGCTTAGCGTTACGATTACTACTGACCATTTTACGCATTAAACCTATCTAGTTATTATAGAGCTAGAATTACCAAAATCCATTTAAGCTCAGTTTTCTCGCTGATAATGCGACGGAAGAGAAAAAAAAGATACAAAAAAGAGACTGGAGACGCCGAATAAGCGCAGCAAAAAAGCGAAGAAGTTCGACAGTAACAATAACAAAAGCAACAATAACAATCCAGAGAGAGAGACACATGCGGTTTGCAAGCTCCGCGCGCTGTGAAACAAGCAAAAAAGAAATTTGGTGTCCATCGCGCCCCTGTATTTAGGTATTATAACGATTATAAAATTGATGATCGTGTTACAAACGATACGTTATGAGAAAATAAGTCAAAGTAATATCAATTGACAACCGTAAAAAGTAAGTAAGTATATTTGCGAAATGTGTAATTGTAAGAGCGTAATAAGTAAGATATAAGAAGAAAAAACGAACGAAGAAAGAAAGAAAAAAAAAGAAACAGAAAAGACCAATCTCGACGCGAAGGATCATCTGAGTGGACAGGTAGGATCGACTCGTGTGTAGCACACGACGATGATCGAAGTTGCTTATTAACCGAGAAAGAGAGAGAGAGACAGGATTAAATCGCGCGAAAACTGTGCAGGTGCAGGTAAACAGAGCTCTAAATTAAGAACTGCGGAGCCAGAGCGGAAGCTATCGTAGGCTATAAACGCACGCGCATATATAAATATATATTTCATACTTTGAAATATACATGTGTATGTGTGTGTGGGTAGTGTATGTGTATATGTACACACACATACATCACACACGCAGAGTGTAACTGAGAGACGGGTGGCCAAACTTTGGAAGCGTGATCCGTTCATTTTGTCGCACGAAGTGATGCCGCAACTTGCTGAAGTTATTCGCTACGCTTTCGTCACATCGAGTGTCGAATCGCTAAAATTGTCCAAAATTATTCGTTATATGATTTCGTCACGGCAAGTTTACTGATATTGCCTGGATCATTCGCTATAATTCCGTCACGCAAAACGTTAACGCGAAAATGTCGAAATGTTTCTTCGATCAAAAATACAAGGGATTTAAATCGAGAGGACATGCGACTACACGGTCCAGTTGTCTCTTCTTTCGTCCTCGAGACAAGTAGGATATGCTCTTCTCGAGCTCGGCCGGCCGCTTCGGTTGCATGCTGCATGTGTGCGTGTATTTCAAAGAGTACGTATAAGTATCTGTGCGGCAACAAATGTTTTAAGAGAATTAAGTACGTAAACGCGTCAGTGGCAACGAATGGTGATAGTGATCTCCGAACGGCGATGAATGATCAGCCGGACAATCTGATTACTCATTCATAGGCTGGATCAGAGGTCGTCTTCTCGATCACTCCGGATTGATCGCTTTTCGAACGACACAAATTTCCCACGAGCAAGCTGAGCTCTTACTCATCTCTCGTGGATCTCTTCTGTTAAACAGCATTTCACAGCGTTGCGCGAACTTGAAAAAACGTGTTATTTTCTTCGTTCGACCAGCGATTGCGAGAGAGCCAGTTTCCTTCGTGAAGTTCTTTCGATTCATGGAGTCCAATTTTGCTCACAAAGAATCGGCGATATGCGCCGAGGAAACCAATTAAAGCTAGCTAGGATCGAAAACTGCGAGAAAACACGGCTTTTATCTCGTGTGTGTTCGAGCGAGAAAAATAACTCTTTGAATGTTACAAAAACCATTGTAAGGAGCTGACAGATGCTATCCACAACAATCCGAAGGCGCTGATTTTGAGCATCCGTTTTGTCCTACTGCACCTTTGAACGGTAAAACAAAGCGAAAGGTCGTGAAAAATCAGTCGACTGTCACTCACCTTCGGACGCGCACACGTTGATTCTTATTGTCTAACGAATTGAAATTTGCGTCGACGCAGCGATCAGTCGAAGGAGGGAGAGAAGAAGAGATCCGCTGATCACCATGAACGAATAATGAAGCGAAGCGCAGCGTGGCTCATCGCTCCTCGGAGGACTAATTTTGCGTTTTTCTTTTTTCTTTCTTTGGATCCGCATGCATTCTTATCGCTCTGTACTACAATCTCGATGCAGTTACATCGGATACGATCTTTTTTCTGTAAAACCACAGACACATAAAAGCTACAAATAAAGTAATTACGAATCTATGCTCTCGTAAGTTTTATTAAAAAAGAAAAATATATCTCGGGACTCTCGAGCTTCCGGCGCGACCGGCCAGTCACAGGAGAATCACTAGTCGCTTCTTCGGCCGCTCGATACGAAGGGCTTGGAGCCTAACGAGTCCGATGAACGCGTGTATTTTATATCCCGTTTCGTTGAGATGCGTCTGCGTGTCGATTTGAGACTTAACATTCTGTACAATCATGCAATCGCGGATTGCGACTGGCTGTGCTTGAGCGTTTCAAGCGACTGAGGTCGCCCATCGTCCTTCGTGAAGTCGTGGTCGCGAAAGCTGATCGATCCTGACAGCAGCCTCCTCGGTCCACGTCGGTTTATGTCCACCTGCCGCAGGATGCGCTCCAGATTGCCCTCCGATCCGGTCGTGATCGGCGACAGACTGAGAGTTGGCACGGTACGGCTCTTCACGATCCGCCCGTTCCTCGGCGATCTTCCGGCCTGGTCGTTACTTCTACGTCTGGCGGATTTCAACTTGACATTGCGCAACATATCCAAGGACACGACTGGTCCTCTTGGGCCCGGTATGGTGTTTCGCCTGTTGTCCTAAAATGTAAACAGTTATCTATCTCTGCCTTGAAAATTTTTCTCACATAATGCTTTAGAAATTAATTGCGTTAACGTTCTATCAATGGCTCTTGCTCACTGGGTTCAGCGATACCTTAATACTTTGCGGAGCTTTCTTTAGAGTGACTTTCAAGAGATCTTCGACGGTGATGCTAGGCCTATTCAACAACGGCGTGGAACACTTTCTCGTGGGTGTCACACTATTCCTGTTGTTCATGTTGCTATTTGGGGTTGTCGGTGTTATCGATGAAAATTGAAAGGAGGCGGAAAGGAAAGGAGTAGGTGGAAGAGGAGGGGGAGGAGGAGGAAGAACTGACGATAATGGCGGTGGCGGAGGTGGAGGTGGAGGTGGAAGTGATGACAACGGCTGCATCGATGATGCTGATTCTGTAGTGTGTTTTGGTGAAAGTACCAAGGAGGGTGGTGGTGGAGAAAGCGAAGATGGAAAGCGAGAAGAGAGCGAAGAACACGAAGTGGCCGAAGAGACTTGTCGCGCAGATTTCAATCGAATTTCCTCCAATGCTTCGTGCAACTTTTTCAGCTCCTGCGTTAGCGCTATATTGTTCTCATTCATTTTCCTGCTGATTTCACGAACGCTATCCACTTCCGCCGTCACGACGCCGAGGACAGCTTCGATGCCTGTCCGTACCTACAACGTAAGCCGAAGAACGATCAGTGGGAGAAAGTTTTTTCTGAGCAGTATTCATAGTCAGATCTTACAGAGTATTCCATAATTCGTGTCTATTATTTAGGTGTCTATTATTAGGGGGTAGCCATTACTCATAGAGAAAAAGTTTGACTTTTGGGTTTTTAACATTATATATTTTTGAAATTAACTCTCAGATTAAAATTCTGTCCGAGTAAAGTCTAGTTGAAATTGAAGTGACCCTTGTTACACACCAAATTATTACCTAACCAAATAAACGTGTAACGTTTATTTGGTGTGTAACACACAAAGAAACGTATAACTCATATAAAAAAAAATGGCATAACACTAATATCTTTGTTAAGCATGCCGTGCACCTGCACGAACTCCGTCGAGAGACGTGTTACTTTCTCCGACATTACGCACAGCATCTGCTCGTTTTCGGAACGTAACATGACTATCAGATGGCCGAATTCTTTCATTTGAAGACTCTGGCTTGAGATATGATCCCCGGACGAAAACGAAACGGACGAGACGATCACCCGTCGCAGTTTCTTGTAACCCTGAAAGTTGATTATTGACAAGTGAAGTCGTTATTTCAAGCTTGGTTAGCTCATAGAAACCTTCGGAAATTTACATTAGTCAGCATGTGCAACAGTTTCCTCATCAGCCAAATGCAGAATGCGGCCACTTTCCTGATCACTATGTAAGAAATATTTCGGGATTGAGACGGGTGACCCCGAGAACGTGGTGTCGCGATGCTTCGCGATATGCGGCACATATAAGTGCCATCTTGATATTCCACCTATATTCATCCAGAAATGAGCAATTAATTATTAATAAACTGAATCAAATCAAATTGATCCTAGCTAAGTATTAAATTTAGTTAAATTATATAAATATTTTAGTTAAACTATATTCAGTTAAATTAAATCAAATGAAATTTAAGTTAAATTAAATTATTAGAGTTACCAGAAGGATAATAGCGCGTTTGTAAATTTACAAGAACGAACGAAACGTTACTTCTCGCGGATGGCTGCCACAGCCATCGGACACAGCGAGCAGGTCAACGCTGGAGGTCGGCGTTGATTCCGAGGACGAGCAACTGTCCCAGCGCGTTTTGATGCAAACCGGCAAATTCAGAGGATATAAATGCTTCTCGCTCTTATTCTGTCGTTCTGGCGGCAACATCGGGTCGTTCGTCCTGTCGACCGCGCGAGCCATCGCCGGTTGTTTTTGCTTTCCTTTCGCTTCCTCGTCCTCGTCTTCGAATTTTAAGATCCCGCGGCACCGGTGTGTCGATCGTGACGATCCGCTGCAAGGCGTAACGGATCCCTCCTGCCGACACTTCCAAATAAATCTAATCTTTATCTGATGAACGATGAACGTAAAGTTTTTAACATTAAAGTTTTTGTTATCATTGTTACTTTGAAATATTAATTTTATGTGTATCCTCTGGAAAGTTTTCATTAAATAATAATAAAATAATAAAATAATAAAATATAATAATTTTTATTATATATATATTCTATATATAAAAAATATATATTTTTAAGTAAAATATATATTTCTCGAAAAGTCTTGCTTACTGCGTTCGTTTCGGTTCTCTTCGTTCTCCGCGGCGACTCGTCTGGTTTCGCTTGACATTCGTTTGCGAATACATTCTGGGTGGTCTTACGAGCCGCAGAACCATTGCGATTCCTCGTGCTCTTCGGCGACAATAAGGATGTGTGAAACGAGGCGACCGACGACGATGACGACGAGGATGACTGCGGCGGCGATGTTGTCATTGAAACGTAACGAAACTTTCGATTACTGCAGGAGAACCTGCGTTTGGCGAACAAGGGCGCGACGCCCTTGCCGCAGATCTTCCGGTTCAGCCGCTGCAAGTAAGCGAAGATCTTCCGAAATTCGCGCCAACTCGCGAAGGAGGGCCCACCGTTCCTCATCCCTGCGGCGTCCCGGTTCCTTTCGTCATTTTTCTGCCCCGTTGCCGTCCCGACCGCGCACACCTCGTCGTATCCGTCGACAGTTTCGCAGACCAACGACTCGAGCGGCTCAAACTCGTGGCTGAATTCACCGCTCTGCTGTGACTTCATCGGGTGCGTGGGTGCGATGCACCTGCTCTGCAACTCGCCGACCGCCACATCGAGCAGCGGGGTCATCTCGTGGGTGGTACGACATTCAGCGATCGCCGTCTCCATTGCTGACGACGATTGCTCCTCGCCCAGATAGTTCTCTATCTCGCGCGCGAGATCATCATTCATCGAAAGCGTCTTGTCCAACATGTAACAATCGTCCATCTTCTTGGACCCATAAGGATCATCTTCTCGCCTGCAAGTCCACTCCTCCTGGACGAGCGGTCGTCTCTCGCGCTCCCCGCCTGACGCGACGTTACATTCTTCGTCGTCGTCGTCGTGCTCGTATGCATCCCTCGGACTGAGTTTCACTCGGGAAATCTTCGAGATGATCTCGGGACTGAGTTCCTCGGGCTGCAACAGTTCCACCTGCGGTGACTCGTACAGCACCGACTCCGGGGAACGTCGGTGCGAGTTTATCGTGACCTCGGTCGGCGAGCTGGGGGAAAAAGAGGGCTGCTGCGTTGTCATCAAGCGAGCATTCTCCCGGAACGACTCGCGGACCTCGTAAAACGAGGTCTCTTGTCGTGTTCGTTTACGCCTCGCCATCGCACAATTATAGTCTTCACATTGCCAAAATATCGTCGTTATTACATATAAGGCAAAACATCACGTGCAAGTTAGTGGAATCGAACATAAATATCACCCAATTCGCTCTCTGCTTGCGGTGTCGACGTTGCAGCGATCAATTCGGCCCGGACTTGTCACGCCGCATTTTCGCGCACATTCGCAGCGGCGAAGGAATCATCGTTAACTTCAACGTTCGATGTTCACTCGATACCTGTGTCAAGGTTACATGCCAACCTGTGTATATTTCTATTATTTGTCTGGTGTTTATACGCGACGACGATGTGACTTTCCGTCGTGCGCGCGCAAATTCAGCAGCTAAGTTCGTTATTTCGACAATTTGTCTTCTCAGGTATTGTTCGATCGCAATTCAGGTATCGCTGGGATTGATTTTAATCGAAAATAATCTGATTTAATCTGGAATTTAGAAGAGAATCCAGATTTCACCTCGAGAAGAAACATCGTTGCGAACAAAACGGAAATATTACAAAAAGAAGAAAAAAATCACGCTTAATCATAAGAATATTTATTTAAGTTTTTACTACATTGTACAAGACGGTTCCATGAAAAGAAATTTTAATTACAACCTTTCGTGTTATTCCCCTTACCTATTAACTTTATATCGCATTTCTACTTCGCAGTTTAGCTTTCATCTATCATTATAATACGATATATGATTTGTATAGCTTAGCAACTTGCTAAACGTTTACGTACGTACATATGCATTCACATCGGCAGGTACCGAGCGAAGCGGGAGATATACTCGCGGATTTTCGTGGTCGCTGTAATCGACAGAAGGTTTGACTCTCGATATGATCGTAGTGACGATTTGTCACTGAATTACAAGGCCAGCAACGAAGGCTAATCACACTCCCTTTTCCCGAGCAGATTCGGCAGATCATGATTTATTTAGGTTCAACAAATTTCACTTCTTGTTTACGAAGTCCTCTCCCTTTTGAATGTTCTTCTTAAGCTCCGGGATTGCAGCCTCCAGCAGTTTTTGCTCGAAGCTGCTCAGTTTGCCATAGCCCAAGTTCTTTTCCATCCCGTTTTTCTGAAATTCAATATTTTGCAAGAATTCTGAAAACGTGCTTTACTTCACTCCTTATACCATTAATTAAGATAACCTTGACGAGGAAACAGAAACAGAAACTGAAGTTTCTCAAAAAAGAAGATTGGTTTCAGATAAGCGAGAATTATGCAATTAGCGAGGCACGTAAGTAAATAACGGTGTTCGCTTTTCTACTTACGCCTAAAAGCACTGGCGTGGAGAAGTATTTGGCGTCAGTGACGTTTGATCTAACATAAGAGCACTCAATGATACCGGTTTCTCCATTGAGAGCTCTGATCAACGAGATGCCGAATCGCGCGCCTGCATAAGCCATCGACAAAGTCGCAGATCCAGTGCCAGCTTTGGCCTTAACGACCTCAGTGCCAGCTTCCTGGATCCTCTCAGTGAGCGCTTTCAGTTTATCATCTGGAAATGAGACCGATGGCGTGCATTGCGAGATCAGTGGAATAATCGTAATGCCACTGTGCCCGCCAATAACCGGTACGGATGTTTTCTGCGGATCCAAACCCTGGAAAATCACAGTATCGTAATTTTCTTTATTTCCTTTTAAATGTACAAAAACATGTGAAAAAAATTAGAAAAAATACAAACTTGTTTAAATTGAGTTAAATAAAAAGTGAAATTAATTAAAAATAAAATAACAAATGCATGTGGTAAATTCGATTCTAAGAACCAGAAATTCTGTTTCCTTCGACTAAAATGCGTTTATTTTGTTCATCGTTTTTGATTCAACTAATCTTTTTTCTTTGTGTATATTACTACATGTTAGAAAAAATTATGGGAGTTACTGAAATTAAAATTATTACATATATCAGAAAAAGATTGTAAAAATTAAGTTATATATATTAAATCTTTTCTGTTACAGGAGTCGAAAAGAATTTTTCTTAGTTTCGAATAAAACTCAATTTCCATTGAACGAAAAAGATGAAATTTAATACCTTAGCTTCCGCAATAAACGTATTCGCTCGGACGATGTCCAATGTAGTTACTCCAAAGACGCGATTGGGATCGTAAACACCTGCTTTCTGCAGCACCTCGCTCGCGATCGGTACTGTGCTGTTAACGGGATTCGAGATGATCGCCACGCAGGCTTTCGGTGCAACCTCTGCCATAGCGGCAACGAGGTCTCGGACGATGGAGGCATTTGTATTAAAGAGATCGTCACGGGTCATGCCTGGTTTACGCGGGACACCAGCGGGTATGATGATAACCTAAGAATTATAATAAAGATTATTAACTAACTATTAAAGCAGAAATCAGGTTTGAATATAATGTCAGTAAAATGAATTGAAAACATATGAAAATACTAAGAAATAGATACAAGAATACTTACATATTTCATAATAATTTCATAATGCTATACCTGAGCTCCTTTGAGAGAATCCTTCAGCTGATCTGGACCATTGTAAGCTTTAACTTTTGCTGGTGTATCGATGTGCGAAATATCGGCGGCGACTCCGGGTGTGTTCACGATATCATAAAGCGATAACTCAGAAACAAGGGGCGATTGCTTAAGGAGCAGCGACATTGGCTGGCCAATGCCGCCGCTTGCTCCCATAACAGCGACCTTGGTATGACACTGCGAAAAGAGAAAATAATCAAGGTATTAACCTGGCGGCAGTAGAATGACTCGACAGAACAATTGCAATGTTTTTGCAAACGAAATTTACGACAGAATCGAAAAAGTATGAATTGTGATTCATTTTTGTTACAGCGAAATTTCCTAACTTTCGGTCTTCTCAAATGAAATAGATTAAATTTTTTTTTGCTTTTAAAGTGAAATATATAATCTAGTGTGGTGAAGAAAAGAAAGTACAGCGAATCCAAGGAGACAGTCATGAAACTTTTCCTCAGTGTAAACCCGTGAAAAGTGAAGATTTCCAAATGTTTTCTAGCCAGAAAATGTTCACTTCTCAGAGAGATCACGTTAGGGAAAAATATTCATGATCGACGCCAGATAAAAAGAATAGTTCTTCTTCATTCTTTTTCTTCGATAATAACTTTATTTACTCAGGTGATTTTGTGGGAAGAATCATGCATATAGTGTTTATATCTTTCGAGATCACAACGATTTTAGACAGATAGATTTAGATAGGATCAGCGCTTGAGAAAGTGCCTTCACGTGCCAATTTAATGTATCAACGACAGAGCCAAATAATTTGTAGTTGCATAACACGGTTGTTGCAATTGCGCTAGATATCGTGCGTTGATGACGTGCCAAGTTCCCACGTAATTGATAAGCGGCACACAATTTGCCTCTCTCGGATACGCGTCGGATATGGAGCGAAATTTGCGCACAGTGACGTTTACCGTTAATAACTGACTGTTTATAAATCAATTAGATCTACTTATGCTTCACGCACAATGAACGAAAATAAAAGCATAAGATAAAACAATAGAGGCAAATTAATTAGTACCGGGCATATTTAACAATTGTACACTATGCGCGAACGTTGCTCGATGTTCATCTGTTCGCAGATTCGAACGGTTTCTCATCGTGCTACTCACTCTGGTACTGGTGGATAATCGCTTCGCTCCTTGCTGAGCAGCGGTTATAGTAGGCCTCAAAAATCGCGGCAGCATGTTTGACGGCGACGACGACGAGTGTGCTGCTCCGTCGGCTTGACCAACTGGAAAGATTCGTACGGCGAGAAAACGTCACGTTCCTGATAACCTTCAAAGAGAGCCGTGCGACCTTCTCCGAGATCTGTTCTCCGCTGCCAGCAAAGTGTCGTGTATTTCAAATCAGCCGCGTATGTGGCGCCCTCTAAGTCGGGACTAATCACGAATTTGACTCATTCGAATCGGTGCTCACTAAAGCTGGCTTCACAGTCCGTCTTTGTATTTAAATTCGCCTTAAATTTACTCTCGGATGCTCCGCAACGAATAAAAAGTCCTGTACGACATTTAAAAATTAATTTAAAACTATCTCGAACATAAGAACAGACTGTATGAATTCTCCTAGCATAAAATCCCATAATTTTACAATTAGGCTCTTCAAAATTTATGATAAATAACAAATATAGTCTTGTGCTTCGAGTGAAATACTCATTCTAGTAAATTAAGCGGGTTTTATTTCAAGCCTGATTCTTTTGATTATAAATGTCATAATTATAAAATTCTTCCTATATTCGAAAAATGCCTTATAGCTTATTTCGCGGATCACCTTAAGAGGTCTCTGTGTCCCTCTTCAAGACCGTTAAGTCTCACCATGGACTTATCATGCACATAGACTAAACGTTCTACAAGAACCTGCGAGAACTTGATTGGAAAAAAATGTCCTGTTACTCCACAGGCATTCGATCTTTATCTAGGTCAATTCCTATTAGACACTTCGTTGAGCTGTCTTCAATAAGAAACAAGCTAAACAAAGATTGAGTGCCCGTGAAGGGGGAGAACAGCTATCTTTCAATCTTTTTTTCAAACCTCTCATAAGAAGACACAGTCTATGGTTCGTCCATCCTGCCGCGGCCTTTGAAGCCTTAAAATCACTCTCCTGAACCACACACTCCTAAACGGACATATTTATTTTACAGGCGAACGCACAATCCTGTTGAATTTCCATCGAAACCTTCATCTCCCGAGATGTCACGGTAAAGAATTTATCCTCTTGCTTTTGACTCATATTTCAGTAATTGGATAATTTAACTTCCGAATCTACGCGAACACCTGCTCATAATTCAAACATCATACCTCATCGTGCATGTTATCCTCTGCTTTTATATTCGCACGACCAGAAGATGACGCATTTCGAACACCCGCCAAACGAGTGCAGGATGGGCCTGAGGTCCCATTCTGGACGCGCATCGAACGCTAAATATGCCGAACAACAGCGTTATACATGATGATTGAGAAAAATGGAACTTGAAGTTAAAAGGTGTACTCGACGTTCGCGTCCGAAAGAAGATCCCTGGGGTTGGTTTGAGTCTAACGCCGTTCAGATAACACGAAACGTTCCAGATCATTCTGAGGACGTCCAAGGAACCGATGATGAATCTTTCCCTCTGCCACAAACTCGTGAAACGTGAACACGTCCAAATACCTTCAGGTTCGAACGTTTCACGAATCCACGCCGACGGAAAGATTCATGATCAGCTCTCAGCATGTCCCGGGGGTCAGCAACTCCCTACAGTGTGCTGAGTACACCTGAGGACAGTCTCAGGAAGTTTCGTGCTGCCCGAGTAAATATGCCTTTCTAATACCAGGTCCCGTTCTTCTGATACGGCCGTCACGTGTAACGTTGTGCCCAGCCTGAGAATCAGAAACGCATATAGCGTTCGTTACGCGAGCAGAGCACACGGCCGCTGCGCTTGTCACGTCAAGCAGCGAGCAGCAGTGACCTGTACGGTAGCATCGCGTAGAGGTAGGCTCTCGCGTGCCGCCGCGACGTTCAACATTCGTCGTCATCGTCGTCGTTTTTATCGTTGCCGTTGTTGTGACACTCAGCTTCGTGCCGCTCGGTCCGCAGGACAGCTCGAGCGCCGAAAGTTCATAGGGAGAGGTGATGCGAGGTGGCAGACGCGGCGGGGCCAGCCTCCGGATCGGTCAGATGAGCATCATCCCGAGCAGACGGTAGGGTTCTGAGGAGCACAGGACAGAGATCACCGTCGAAAGACTCGCGGAGCAAGACCCGGGCTGAGAGAGCAGCTCAGCTCGAGTTGTCCTTTCGTCTGTTGGGGCCAGGGCCAGTCACGTGACTCGTGTGCGCGTGTTTACCAAAATGGTGAACGACCGTGCGCGCCGCGAGTGACTCCTCGTTCCGCCGTCGCCGTCGTCGTCGCCCGGGAGTCGTGGCCGCTCTCGACGTTTAAATGTGTAAATAGCTGTGCCAATCAGCTGTGCTGCCGCCGCCGCCGCCGCCGCCACCGCCGCTGCTGGGCACGCCACACTGGCACGCTGTCTGTGACACGCGTACCGCGATACAGGCATCACGGCGCAACGCGGCGCTCCGCGTTCCGGGCGAGTCGATCCGCGCGCGTCGTCCCCGTTTGTCCTGCGGCGTCTCCGCGCTTTCCGTGAGCGAAAGTTCGAAAGTGGACGCAGGCACGCACGCACGCACGTACGCTCGTACACGCGCAAGCAGGCAGACAAGAACGAGCGAGCGAGCGAACGGACGGACGTCAGCGAACAGAGTCGTCGACTGTTACGGCGCGCGGGACGCACGTTACGACGACGCTCTCGGCGTCGCGTCCCTCGGCCGTGCGGGCGAGATTCTCCGCGCGAGAGATGCCGCGGCCCGACGACACCATCATCGTCACCATCACCGCCACCGCCACCGCCACCATCGCCAGCACCAGCACCAGCACCAGCACCAGCACCAGCACCAGCACCAGCACCAGTAATAGCATCAGCACCAGCATCAGCACGGCACGACGATCGTCGCTGCCTCCGGACGTGCGTTCTTAGACTGCGCGGTTCTCACCGCGCGATACCGCGGGTGAATCCTCGCGATCATGTCGCCCGCTCGTCGTCGCCTCGCACTGTCGAACTCGCTTGCCGTCAACCTGCTGTTTACACTGTGAACTCACCGTGGAATCTTTTGTTTCTGTTCACGTTGCGTCATCAGGGGAGTGTGTGAGCCGAGGCTTCCGGGGATCGGATTCCAATGATGCTGTGTGCAAAGTGTACCAGGTGTGTAATACAATGGCCCTCTTAGACTGGCTTGTGGTTAGATATGTGTGAATGTATGTGAAGGCCTGTTCTTCTCAGCTGTACTAAGGTTTGTTTTCCATTGCTGAACTGACTAGCACTGCCTTCAGTTGGTCCTCTCTCTCTCTCTCTCTCTTTTAACTTTTTCTCCAACAAGACTCTATTGTATATCTGTTTCTTCTCAAATTTGGAACTGTGTATACTAGTTCGGCGACAAAACAGACCTCTAGTAAGGTATCGCAACATGATTCCTTTTACGCTTGATTATATATATGATTGTTTCTCTGTAAAGACACAAAGTGTAACCTAGTTTAGTGAAAGAAAACAGGTCTTCTTTAGTGTGATAGGATTAACATCATTTGATTATTCTTCTTTCTAACAGTAGTCGCAGGTGATCTCTGATTGATCAGTGCGAATGAGAAGCACTTTGATAAGGGACATCTAAATGCCAGGAGGTGTCCTTGTATAGCATTCCGGGTGCCACGGCCAGGCATTCTTAAACATGGCCACGTATCAGGTCGACTACCAGTGGTTAGTTTACAATGTTTGTTTATAATATGCTTACGCCTACTTGTTTCCCTTTGGTGCCTAAGCTCATCAGTTATTGTCATTATTGCTTTGTTGCAGGGCTTATTCCATAATGGATTCATCTAGGATATCCACTTTCCTAATATCAATTTTACTGATAGTTTATGGTAGTTTTCGATCTCTGAATATGGAGCAGGAAGCAAGAGAAAGAGAAAAGGAGAAGGAACGTAGTAACTTATTGACTGGGATTACGAGTAACGGTAGCACCGGTAATGCGGATGGTGCCAATGGAGGAAGAGTTCAAACTCTAGATACAATGCATGCTCTCTGTCTACCTCTCGGTGCTTCCATTTCTCTACTCGTCATGTTTTTCTTCTTCGACAGTATGCAGATGCTTCTTGCAATTTGTACAGCCAGTAAGTAACAAAACTAATCTCAAGTGAACTCATATTCAGCTGTAGATTTTTCATGATAAGAGGTATATCTTAATTTGCAAGATATTCGAGAGATACACATCTAATCTGATGTAGAAATCTAATATAGAATATATAGAGTACACTTGTTTCTGTCAACTAAAAACAATGACGATTGCGTCGTTTGTTTGCAGTTATAGCTACAGTTGCATTGGCGTTTCTTTTACTGCCTATGTGTCAGTACATTATCAGGCCATGCTCCGATGGCAATAAAATATCCTTTGGTATCTGCGGAAGGTTTACCGGTGCCGAACTACTCTCATTTTCGCTTAGTGTGAGTATAGTGTGCATCTGGGTCTTGACTGGACATTGGCTGCTGATGGATGCGATGGGTATGGGCCTGTGTGTGGCATTTATTGCATTTGTTCGACTACCTAGTCTCAAGGTATCCACATTACTATTAACCGGTCTGCTGATTTACGATGTCTTCTGGGTTTTCTTTTCATCCTATATATTCAGCACAAACGTAATGGTTAAGGTGAGTTTTGTAAATCTTATGTATCTTTTATTGTGTTTATACATACAGGGTGACTTATTTTAAATGCCCACATGAAGTTATATATATGTATTTGCACTTAATTTCGTATCATATTCGAATAAATTTATGTCACTTCGTGTGACGAATCATAATATGTTTATAATTTGCATCTATGTTATGCTTTGCAGGTAGCGACTAGGCCTGCAGATAATCCAGTGAGTGTCGTAGCTAGGAGATTACATTTAGGCGGCGTGGCCAGAGCCGCACCGAAATTACCTTTACCTGGAAAATTGGTATTTCCATCGATGCATCAAGCGGGACACTTCTCGATGTTGGGCTTGGGCGACGTTGTTATGCCTGGTCTACTACTCTGTTTTGTCTTGCGTTACGATGCGTATAAGAAGACTCAGCTGTTGCCCGGTGGCTGTGAAACAGGAGTACCGCCGCCACGTCATCTCAGTCGAATTAGCTATTTTCATTGCTCCTTGATCGGTTATTTTCTTGGTCTACTTACCGCCACTGTAAGCTCTGAGGTGTTCAAAGCTGCGCAGCCTGCCTTATTGTACCTTGTGCCCTTCACTCTGTTGCCATTGCTGACAATGGCATATTTGAAGGTATGTTTACATTTTTGCTTTGACATATAAGATATCTGACAATTACCGTGTTAGTAATTGTGTGCAGATAGAGCGCAAGTTGCATAGTAAAGCCCTCTATTGTTTTTTGTGAACGTCACAATATTTATTAGGAAATTAATTAAAGAATTTAGCATCATTTCTTACGTATGAACATTGGTGTGGTAATTATCAGACAATTGCTTATATACAAGTTATCCTACTTAATTGATACAGGAATATTTCAAAAGATACTCAAGACATCGAAAAATAATTTGGACAGAAATTATTTAGAGACAATTAAGCTCATTATTAAGATAGTCCATCTTATATATTTATTCTCTTTGTATACATATGTACACGTAATAATATCGCGTAAGCAAAATATGTATAAAATTACACATGTTAATTTCAGGGAGATTTACGTCGGATGTGGAGTGAACCATTCATATCTCAACAACCTTCAAAACATATGGAAGTTTGACAAGAGTCATGGCTTCCTGTATATTGTACTGTATTGGATGCAAAAGTCTTGCATGAGATTCATCACCATATAACTTCGTACTCTTGTTTTCATCAAGATCATTTTATGTAAGTAATTTTTTCTACATATACACAACATGCGCATATGATACATTCACATTCTTTTTCAAGTCAATATGACACACAGAGGACAATTCAGATCTAAAGATCAATGCAATTTTTTGCGGTGTGAATGAAAATTATACCGCATGAATAATTTAGATGTAATATAATGTCACACGAGTGTAATGTTAGCGCTGCAAAGAAAACTTTTTACCGGAATGATATAGAAAGAAAGGTTGCGTTCAGCAGAAAAAGCAGCTTTACAACCGTTGTGAGATTTCCCACTGAACACCATCTGGCGACTTATGTTTTTCCAAAGTTCTACCTAAGCAATCATCTATTCTAGCATATTAAAAATACGCTTGATAAGCGCTGGTGAAAACGTAACCGCTTATAATCGTGAAAAAGAGCGTTCAGCAGAACCTTACAGCTGTTGAAAATGCAGCACAAAATGCTAATGCTAGCGCTAACTTCTGCTGAACGCAGCCGTTGACTCTCTGAGAATATTTCCAGAATGCCAAGTGACACATTATTATTGGCATTCTTTCTGTGTCTTAACTTGATGTTGAGGATATGAATAGATATTGTGCAGTAGATAACGCAACTGATAATTATCGTCTCATCTCAAGCTACTATATAACAACTAAAAACTATATATTATGTGGTTAATATAACGAACGAACGACAGTCTTTCACTTCTACTGTAGAATTATTATAATGAAAAAATGTAAAATGTTTTTTCGAAGTATTTACTTTCAACAATCAGACAAAGTTAAATGCTGCTGCTTTGAAATTTAGTTACGAATAGAGTGGAGGAACTCTTCGCAAAATATCATTTTGTTTTGCTACTCAACCAGAATCGAATTACTTGTACGTAATATGTATAGTTATGATTAGGATAATTTATACATAAACTATCGGAACGCGTTTGGATAAGAATCCAATACACATATGCGTGTTGGTTGTGACTTTATTTTAAAGTTGGTTTAATGCTGAGCAGAGTAATATAATACTATTATATATATGCATACATATATATAAATACATATTGATTATCATTTTTATATGTTTAAATGCACAAATTTGCAATTCGTGGTAATCAAGTGGCACGCTTTCTGATATCGTGTTTTCTTTTATTGCTTGCTTATTGTTGAAACAAATCTATCTCGGGGAATTTATTTAATGTTATTTTCAAAATATAAATAGAATATAGTGTGATTATATAATATGAGAACTGCACTATCATTGGATATAATTACAACGAGATTTGTTTCTGAATGTGAAAGTTTCTAATCAAGCTCCTGCTATGGATAGGCTGTCAGAAAGACTATATGTTTATTTAAGGACAAGACTGAAGATAATATGTATGAAAGCCAATTTATTAAGTAACTTCTGAAAGAAATAAACGCGCGCGAGATTTTCCATTCTACCTTTCTCTTGGATCCAATTTATGTAGTATCTTATAACTAATAATATATAATATATATATTCTCTCTATATATAATATAATATATTATATTATATCTAAGAAAGGTGGAATTATTGCTGCTTTCATATTGTCTCTTACTTTAAAAATAGGTTACATAAGACTCATAGTCACAAATTAATTAGGTATTTAACGATGGTTCGAATTATTTCTTTTATATTTATCGTATTTAGCGAGTTATTAAGAAAATCTATATATACATCGGGATGATAGTTCGTAACTTACGTTAATTGGATAAGCGCATTATCATATAGGATATATCATTACAAGTTTTTGGAAGCGATAACTTTGCATAGTAGAAAGAAAGAGAGAGGGGGGAGCTCTATAGAAAAGAAATAAAATAGAGAAGTTAAATTATTCAACTACCCAAACTAATAAGTAATTTAATCTCTGCGCACTTGTGTATCTTTTCAATGTAGAAAAGTAGAATTTGAGTTTTCCATTTCATAATTACATCATACGAGGAAGATTGTACTCCCCCAGTACTATTAGGTTGGATATGTTCCATTAATTTTGTAGTTGATTATATTCTCCATGTTGTCATTTTTTGTTCGTCTACCTGTCCATAGCACAAGCAATTCATTCTCCATTGTTATCATAGAATTGAATATCGAATAAATCATGTTTACATTTGACGATAATCATTTATATAAAACGTGTAACAGAGCGTATATTTTAATAATTTCTGTTATTTGATCAAAAATGTATTTATAAAATTCTTTAAATTATCCCCCAAACATATATTTGTATATTTTAGAGAATGTTTACGACATTGGAATCATTGATTTTCTAACTATGTGTCTTTTTTTTGTTTTCTTTTTTCTTCAACATAGTATTTATATTTCTATGATGTATATTTTAAATTGTTTCTTCCAACGTATATAGAAATAACTTAAGTTGTAAACTTTACAGTAACAAAGTTTTGCGCCATGCCTAAATAAATTTTCCTTATCGAACAAATAATTGGACGTGATGAATTTTGACCAAGACAGTATACTCAAAGAATTTAAGAAGAGATTTAAGGAAAACGAAATTTGGAAGTTTAACTCCTTTGAAGAGTTTTCTTCTGATTAGAGGCATTGTGCAATACAATTTTATAAATTATATCGCAACACGAGATCATAATAATTTCGTTACTAAAACTATTTTATTTCTCGTTTTACTCACAAAGATTCCTTTGATCGATAAATGTTTTTGTACAAAAGAAGTTGAGACGTAATACTGTAGAAAGTATTTATCGCGTAAGGCTACAACTTAGTTTATGGTAAAAATGAGAGGTGTGTTAATTGTATACCTTTATTTTTTATAATATTAATAACAAATCACGTCTTATACTGGACATTTTTAAAAAGTCTGACAATTCATTTATTGACTAGGATTACAAATACTAAACATGCTCATTATGTAAATTTCAAGAAATGTATATACAAAATAAGTACTCAACTGTCCTTCAGTTTTCCCACAAACTAAGTGATAGAGTAAAAGATACATACATATATATACATTCATATATATATATATATATATATATATATATATATATATGTATGTATGTGTATATATATATATATATATGTATGTATGTGTATATATATATATATATATATATATATATATATATATATATATATTAGTGATACAACGTATAATAGAAGGATAAACAGAACAAGGAACAGGTTTAAATAAAAATCAAGAGTTAAACTGTATACAGAATATAATTAAATGCTGAATATTATAAGTAATATACTAAGAGCACTTGCTTGTACTGTTGCAATTCTTGACTTGCATGTGTACACACACATACATACACGTACATATATACATACATACACACATATATACATACACAGCTATGTACATTTTTATATATAATAAAACCTGACCATTTTTACATGGTCATGTTTGAAAAGTAAAGTTATTGACAAAACAAAAGTCCGTACGTGTCTTTCTTATTTCATTCTCGTTTGAAGATATAATTTATCGTTTCGATTGTTTTTCTAATGAAGCATGACACCTTTTACTTTATAAGCCAATAGAGATTATAAAATATAACATTTTCTTTTTCCTATTCATTATATCTTAAGTTTGATGCATTCCTTATAATCTGAAACAATTTAATGGCGACTGCTTATTTTACAGATATTTAGCGATGTATACATCTCAAGTTTATACGTTGGTTTGTCCTATCGTTACGCTGTCCAGGTTCCTCTTTATACTCTCTAAGTCCTTCATATCCGACACCGCACTTTCACATTTGTAAACCACCAAAGAATGGTAAAAGTGAACAGCGAATGCGACGAATACGATGAGCACAGGAATGACTATCACGGTGCTGGCAGTGGCGGCGGTGAAGGAGTAATCCCAGAACTTGACCCAGCAAAGAATAGCTATCTCCACGAGAAAGAGGAACAATCCCAAGACCGTGGAAAACGCCCAAGCCAGTTCGATGAAGCCGCGCATTCGCTCGTGCGGCGATTCCGTTACGAGCCTTGACACTTGGAGTTTACTTATAGCTTCGACATTGGGTAAAAGATACGTGCTTATCATCAATGCAAAGATATGCACCGATACCAAGAAAGTAGTGCACACCGCAAACATTACGAACAGCCATTCCGGCACCGCGGTTGGTTCGTTTATTTGTAGCTCTACCATCGCTACCTAGAAAGAAAATGAAAAAAAGAGAAAAAACTATGAAATATAACACGCTGCTGTGGCTGCTGTTTTCTCAAGTAGTAGTTTCCTCAGAATCCACGGGAATATTGCGAGAAGTGAAGCGAATTGAAGAAAGTGATACTCGCATTATATAACTGTATACAGACGTGCATGAAGATTACATAGAATTGTCGTCGACGTCAATTTAGCCATTTTCAGGAAATGTTGTGTAATCCGTGTACGGCTCACTGCGACAGCATTTGATTTCCAGGAAAACAGTCCTATCTAAATAATTATCAAGGAATCATAATTCATCGTTCATATAAATATTTCACCTTCACCTTGAATCTTACGAGAAATAATTTCTTTCGCGGAATTTCAATGTTCAACCGTAATGCTGTAGGTTTTTATCTCGTATTTTTCTTCGACTTAAGATAATATTTTTCCAGTTGACTTCGGACGATTTATTACTTTACGGAAAACTGACGTATGTGGATGGCGGTAAATAGCATCAATAATTGATCAATAATTAATAATCATAATTAAGGACCCGCGCGAAATTTGTTTTCTCAAATATCTCTGAGGTAGGCACGAAAAAGTGAGAAAACGGGCTTTTTGAGGCTTAGCTTCAAGAAGCGCGACAAATAATGACCTTCCCTGACATTGTTGTCAGGGAAAAATTGTCAAGAATTTTCACGTGGAACATTATCGTGCAAATGCGAATTACGAGATACCTGGTATAGCAAAATCTGAGGCCACTTCCGCATATTTGAATGGGAGAAAAGGAGGGAAATCCCACGGAATGTAAACCACCAAGGAATGGCAAAAACGAACCGAGTATCATGAGGAATATCACAATGACGGTGCTGGATCAATCTCACTATTAACAGCGAGGAAAATATCGTAAGATTTACAATGCTAAAATACCCATATGAACGCCGAGTTCTGATTTCTCGCGTGATCATTTACATAGGATTGTTTCCCTGGACGTAAAATCACTATCGCAGTGGCGGCGATCAAGGGATACCCTCGGAACTTTCCCGAAGGAACGTAATCCCACGGAATGAGATATGTAACTGCGGATGACGAGGACGTTCTGATGACGCTACATGCGATGCGCAGAGATACAACTGCCGACTGCTTGAACATACCATTGCAAAGCCGCTGAGCAGCTCGGACGTGGTGGCGGTTGCTTTCAGCTTGGCCCTGCTCATATGCAGCCTCCTCCATGAGAGGCTCTCGGGCCCGTCGTGATCCTCGACCTGATGCGAAGGTGGTGTCGGCGGCGGCGGGATTTGTGAGCCCATGCACGCACAGCAACACGTGTACGGCATGCCGCTGCCGCCGCCATAGATGTGACTGTTCGAGTGCGGACTAGGATACTGCAGGTTGCTAATTGGCTTCATGTCCAAGGATACATATTTGTTGTATTTGTTCCTGGGCGATAAGACCAGTTCGCTCTGTACCGGATACAACGTGCTCCTCGAGCTGTGCGTGGAGAAACTCGACTCGCTCGGCTGTGTCTGCCTCGACAGATACGCCACGGACATCGGCCTGGGTCTTTTCCATGTCGAGAGCGGGATGTCGCTCTGGGTGGACTTGTTGAACTTGCCATTTCGCACGCCTTCCGCCGACATGTCGTTGAGTGCGACGCTCGATTGCGCCTGCCCCGTCGTGCTCGTCGCTATCTTCTCATGCTGGACACTACTGACGAAAGCACTCATTTCGGACGGATTCATCTATATAAGCACACACTGCCGCTGAAGATTCACCGGTGATTCCGTTCACGATATCACGATAAGAACGTTGCCACGCATTCCGCACGTTGTCAAGCGCACCTTGCCAGTTGGATCTCGAACTCTTCGTTGAGCAAGCGAATGTTCCGAGAAGTATGCAGATATATCAGAGTGTATCATACCGCGGACAGTTCACCTCTGCCACAGTCCATCCCCGAGCGCAGCCGTGCGCAACGATGTACGCTCGCGAGCATAATCGGTCGGATTTATAATCCGAATGCACCGACACGACCGCCGAATAGCGGTTTACAATTGCACCGTGGAATTGTACAAGCGACGACACGAAAGCGCCTTTTTTTATTTGTATCAGCACCGTCGTTGCGAGCGCAGTCTTTGAGTAGACGACGTTGACGACGACGTGTTGTTCGAAGATATCGGCGGACATGCGGCGGAAGTGTGTGTCATCGCGCTCGCTCGCTCGCATTCGGAAGACTGCGAACGACCGTACCTGTCGCGCGCTTCAGCTCCGACTGCCGAAGACCGAGATCGCACCGAGCCGAGCCAAGGTGTACGGGCACAATGATGTACCTCTATCTGAATCATAACAATAGTATTAATTACCTTCGAGCCATATCTGCGACATAATAACCGGCCGCGCTCGTAGCCTCCCGCCGTGTGTCTATGCGGAATGTATGCCACGACGATGTATGATTCACCTCTCACGTGCTCGTTAAGAGCGCACGATATAACCGATATAGTCGGGACCAGTAATGTTCATTTTTCCATCGCCGAAATGAAAATGGACAGCGGATGGATCACGGCGAGGAAAGAGGAAGACTACTTAAACAAAATACAAAAGCGTGCTGGACCGTTGATCGAGATTAATTCATCGCTGAAGGCGACAGGTATATGGCATGAGAAAGGTATGGCACTATGTGTGTGTGTGTGTGTGTGTGTGTGTGTGTGTGTGTGTGTGTGTGTGTGTTTACTCTTCGGAATCGCGTAGGATATTTCCTCGAGATTTTTCTCAATTGCTCGACGTTCCTCCAGTTGAGTTCTCAACTGACCCAGATAATAGAAGTTTCCAAAACACGCCTTAGAAGCCATCAAGAAAGGTCTGAGAAAGTAGTACGGCCTTTAGGTATCTTAAAAGCCCGTCTTAATTGTCGTTCTTAGTGCCACGTGTGATTCTCAGGTCTAAATTTGGAGCTAGATTTGGATTTCTTAGTGATATCATACAATAAAGGTGACATTCATCATTGCGATTTTCAACTGTGAACCCGACTGACAAGGAAAGGTTTGTAATTGAAATTTGCCTCACGTGAGGTATGGAGCTCTGAATTTGGAATTGGATTTAAATTTTCCATTTGAATCGTACAATAAACGTGGCGTTGCATTTGTCTGAGTCAGATCTAATCTGAGTCGAGTTTTAAGTAACAAACGTTTAATACAGGTCTGAAATATCTCTAAGACGTCTTTTGGAGATTTTTACGATGCGGACAGCGCAGCTGAACAACACGTCGCGCGAGGTATCGCCGTAGAAAAATTAGTTCTCTTCGTAAGTATACGGTGCGGAATAAACGACGGTAGTATTTATGGAGAGCTTGCATCCCGACAGGTGTAATAATCACTACGTTGCGTTTATTTGTGCATTTGTCCACGTATACGTATATACACCCGCGCGCCTGTGTGTGCGCGTTCCACCACGTAATCGTCGGAGTATGTCGAGAACGCCGATGTACATGTTCGTCGAACCACGTAAGAGCATCGATTTGCCAATCCTGCTCCCATCTTTTCTCCCCACTTTGCTTTTTTTTTTTTGCCAGAAGGAATTACTGAGTTTTCAGCTAAACCTCGGACGATTATCTTTCCGGTTAATTTAGAACTTTACATTCAAACGGCGTCGCAGCCGTCAGCACCGTCCGCGTGCTTTATTTGTCCAGCACAGGATATTCCAATGACTCATTGATGCGTTTGTATACGAGGTTCAACGCGATATGTAAGACCTACTTTGACGATAGATTCAGCACCTGGAGGCGAGAGGAAAATATGTAAACATACGCCGGACTGAGATCCTCATTCCGAGTTACATGGACGTTCATTTTGTAGAAATTCTATTTCTGGACACATCTAGGATGATCTTAAGACACTTTGTGTATTAAGATTTTATATCGCCTATTTTAGTATACGCAATAATCTCTCATCGCCTCTCTCAGACTAAGACAATAGATTTTATCCGTGAGAAATGTTTCCTTGAATAATCAGCGCTTCTTCTCACCTGATTATTCCAATAAATTGTCTTAAAAATGTAGCAGCTACTCGACTTCTTCGCGATGCCGAATGTTATTTTCCTTCTTTCGAGGAAAATTATTCTTCTAAAATTAATATCTCGTATCACAGCTTAAAAGCGGTAAGAAAAAAGTATTTCTTCTTCCTCTCCTTTAATTTGCATACTCAGAACAATGAATGTACATGACAAGATTCGCGTGGTACTATAATACGTTATGATACACGCACAAACATTACGTCTGCTATTTTACAGAATTTTTATCGAAACGCTGTGTCTTGTGTGCGTGACGAGCAAGTTGCCAGTTGGGCAATTTTCTAACATGACACAGGTGTAGCGTAATTTCTTTGTTAGATGTACAGAAAAATCGTATACGATAGGAGGATATTATTAAATGTTTGATTTTATGCATTTTAACGTTTTCATTGTATTTTAATTACAAACTTTAAATATTTCGTCATGTCGATATCAAAGTCATCCGCGTTGCAATACATTTTCCTAAAGGTTTACCTTGATGGGGTATTTCAATGTTCTGATAGGCTTCAAATAATATTAAAATAGTAATCCGCCGAACTTATATTTAAATTTGGAGGACGATGCATTATCTTTAAGATATTAGCTCAGCTAGTATCGATAAAATTGAAGTAGATTCTAACTATGTAATTCAAACCTTGCGTTAATTGATTAAAGTCGACCTGAAGTTAGAAATTAAGTTGGTCAAAGATTAAAACTTGACAAATCAAATTCTTACGAGATATTGTGATACACGCGCGTTTCACACATACACACACACACATACTGATATCAGTATTGTCAAATAAGAAATTAAGGCAGCGAGCGCGATTTAATTATGTGGAACACAATTAACAATCCTTCATGATCCGATTAAGATGAATTATCGCTTTCGCGTGAAAAGAGGCAGATAAGTTGCGAATAATAATACAAACACGCATGTACTTACAGAAATAATACCCGAATGTAATACCCGTTCCTCGAGTTAGTATACCGAAAATCTTTTCTTTCAGATAACAGCGATGAGACAATGCTGTGTGATATCACGCAACACTGAATAATTCTTGTAATATAGCCGCCAGTACTCCGGCGAGTCGAACTAATCGTATTCGCGCACAGGTAAAGGTTTTCTGATTCCTTCGCCTTTCACGCATCGGCCTTTCGCAGCCAATCCTGCGGTAAACAGGTTTGTAGTCTAATCATTGGCAAAAATGCATTCAGTGCGTTGTGAACGATGTGTATATACACTTTTATCGTGATGTCGCAATGTTTACACTCGGGTCCTTACGAAAACAGCACGTACTCACGTTTACTTTCCAATTGAGAATAATTTCGTTGAATCGGATGAGTGAGTAACTTTCGCGAGATCGTTCAAGTGTGTGTATGTGTGTGTTTATAAATTTCCAAAATTTTGCTACAAGCAACATGTATATATTTATTAACATCGTTTATTGAATGACAAAAATGAACGAAATAAATCAAGCATACTATACCGACGTATTTGACCATTTTTAAATGGCTGTGTATTAATTATTGCCTCGAGATGTGCACAGTTTTTACATTCTAGCCCTCGACAAGTATTCACCGGAAGCATGACAAGTTAACAGTTTTTATCTACATTAGTCATGCTCTAGAAAAACTTATATTTTATTATTTGCGTTTAACTGAAAATGTTATTCAATAAGCATTTAATGACTTTTTTATTGCTAATTGATACACTCATCTAGACTTATTAAAAATTTAAAGAAACACAAGCATTAGGCGCTCGCTTCTCTCTCTTTCCGTAGCCTTTTTGTTTTCCTCTCTCTCTCTCTCTCTCTCTCTCTCTCTCTCTCTCTCTTTCAACAAATGTCAAATTTATAACTATTTTTTTTTTAGACAACATAAATCTTCAAAAGACATCTTGGTGAAAGACGTCCTGGAGATGTTCTTGGGATGTAGAATCTCCTCTGGACGTTTTTAGGATATCCTTTGAAAATCTGCACTGTCTGAATACAGACAAAGTAACTTATAGTGTTTTTAAATTATAAAACGGGTTCGAATCGTTCCGAGTGCGATTCAACCCAATTTTGTATAAACTTATAAAAGCTATAATTTAAACAAAATAACGAGTTTCTAATAATTCCGTAAATCCCTTATTCGCTAGCTCGTTGAAGTAACAGATCTAATGAATATGGTAAACCCTTTATTGTCCTGTCAAATAATGGATTAATAAGTGTGGTTTGAGTCTTGGCTAAATATGAATGGAGTTGGCTAAATTTTATGGAAGCCGGTAATGGTGGTTATGGTTCGAGTCTTTGCTAAAAAGCGAATTTTATTCTAATTGGCTAAATGTGGATTGAATCTTGGCTAAATTTTATGGAAGCCGATAAGTTATGGTTCGAGTCTCTGCTAAAAGGTAAATTTTATTCTGAGACTTAAACCATAATTTATCGGCTTTCATAAAATTTAACCGAAATTAAACCAGGCTTTTTTGTAAACTTTTAAAGTTGTATTTGATAGTACTCGTTGAATTACGTAAAATAGCATCACCCTCGAATTTTTCCTTTCATCGGAAGTATCCGAAAATAATTACTTTACAATTTTACAGTGATATTTCTATTTTGATCATTTCCTACTCCCGCACATACTGGAAAATGCATACTGGAAAAAGAACAAATATGAATTTTGCCTAATAACTGACAATCTAAAAAGAAAACGAATATATTTTTTCAGTTTTGCCTATGCTGTTTTAGAGTCACTAAACTGTCCAATCAGACGTAATCGTTGCTGTAAAACTTCGCTTTGGTGAAATTCTGGGTGCGTTCAGCGGAGAAAACTGCTCAGTGAGCGATTAGTGACTATTGGTCCTTACTGTTAGATTCTTACATTCAGACCAATAACGTTGACGAATTACTCAACAATTGGGCAACTGTTGAATGTGTGAACCCTCTCTCTCTGGTGAGATTATCCTCGTAATATTACGATAGTGATTTTCTTTTTAATAGTTAGCAAATATTGGTTGCAGTTTCCCGCGCACGATATCTCGTGTACGTTTGCGTTTACCGCTTATGAAGTCGTGTGTTGTGACAACTACAATATTAAGGAAGCACAAAACTTATTAGTATTAATTATTACTCATATAATAGCTGATAGAGTGTGCTGCAGAATTATAACTCAGATTTTACAAAATCTTAAGCAAATATTAGAAAACAGATATTATGACTTCCTTTAATTTTAGCGAACTTAGCAAGCAACTGAAAGATACTGCCCAGTTGAATCCTCGTGTCGGGGTCTCTTTCGCCGGTCGATCTCTTAAATTAGATACTGTGAACGATGGTAAGATTGTTATTAGACTAAAATAATGATAATATTAAAGCCATCATACTTGAAAAGAACATATTCTATGTAATTGCTTATAATTTTTCATGCCAAACCATGTGGTTCTAATCGGCTAGAATTTTATTATTGTTGGTGAATTTTGCCAAAAGATTTATTTTATCTTTTTTGTATAGCTCTCCAAGTGGTGGAAGCAATAAACACATGTCCCTGTTTGGAATATTTGGATTTAGAGGGAAATACACTAGGTACAGAGGCTGCAGAGGCTATAGCTGAATCTTTGAAAGAAAAGGGAGTTCCCTTGAAAAGAGCTTTATGGAAAGACATGTTCACTGGCCGTTTAAAGACAGAAATTCCAAAGGCACTAGAATTTCTGGGTACAGCATTACGTGTGGCTGGTACTCGACTTACTGAACTTGACTTGAGTGACAATGCTTTTGGACCAATTGGTATTCAGGGACTAGCAGATCTGTTGATATCACATCCATGTTACACCCTCCAGGAATTAAGATTGAATAATAATGGTCTTGGTATATCTGGTGGAAAAATATTGGCGCAAGCGTTATTAAAATGCCATGCAAATAGTTCTAAAGAAGGTGAGATACTGCAGTAAAATATAAATAGCTCTATATTGAAAATATAACTTTACTATCTAATGAAATATATTTTATTGTAGGCAAGCCACTTGCGCTGAAAGTTTTTATTGTTGGTAGAAATAGATTAGAAAATGAAGGTGCACAAGCATTGGCATGTGTATTTAATGAGTTAAAAACATTAGAGGAAGTTGTGATGCAACAAAATGGTATATACCACAAAGGCATTGAGGCAATTGCATATGGTTTGTCTGCTAATCCTAACTTGCGAATTGTAAATTTGAATGATAATACAATCGGGTTGAAAGGAGCAAGAGCAGTTGCTAAAGTTCTACCAACTTTCCGAAATCTGGAGGAATTGAATCTTGGAGATTGTTTATTGAAGACAAAGGGTGCTTTAGTCTTAGCAGAGGCATTAGCAATTATTGGCAATCATCCATCTCTTAGGAATTTGGATTTAAGTCATAATGAAATACGTATTGATGGTGGAAAGGCTATCGCTCAGGCTATGATAGATAAAACGCTTCTCTCTAATCTACAGTTGGATGGTAATATGTTTGGGACAAAAGGACGTGATATGCTTGAACAAATTCTAACAAAATTGGGAAGAATCGATGCATTAAATTCATTTGATGAGGACGAAGATGATTGTGATGATGACGATGATACTGATGATAATGATGATGAAGATGATGAAGATGAAGGGGAGAGTGAAGAATGTGAAAGTGATAATAATGAAGATGCAGGAAGTGACAAAGATAATGTTGCGCAAAGTACAGTAACGGTTACAGAGTTTTTGAAATCACCAATAGGTGAGAAATTATTGCTACTACAAGGTGATAATGTGCAGGCTTTTATTGATCACGCAGAGGTATGTATTAATATGTATTACTAACACATCTTGTTACAGTTGCTAGCTACAACTTTCAACAAAACTTTCTCTTCTCATTTTAGAATTTGGCCATTCAAAGTGACACAACTACAGAACAAAAATTTATAGAAGAACTGACGCGAATAACCATGAAAGTATCGTCATTATGTGATAGTGGCTATATGAATGTGAGAATAAAAGCAGAATCTTTGTCAGATGCATTATATATACAGCTGTTCTCCTATGCTATAGAAAAAGATCAAATTTCAAATTTGACTAATGCACTGCTAATCAATCTGGGTTTAATTAAAGTATGGCACATTAAAATAATGTTGAACATAAACATAACAGAAACGTTTATATAAATAACAATAAACATCTATTCTCTTTTCAGAGTGAAGACAAGGACAATGGAAAAATTGATTGGAACTTGGAAGGATGTTTTAAAGCCTTAGAAAAAATTTGCCAAAGGGATTATTTCTTAGAACAAACAAGGAGCACGTTAAAATTATTTTTAGATAAGCCAATAAAAACTAGTCGTGCAAGGGTAGTAGATCCCTTCCAAGATTCCAAAGCTGCTCTTAAAACTGTCTTAGATCGTATTCAAGTTACATAAATTTATTTAAAATTACTATTTTAACATAAAATATATATATATTTATTTTTATATGTTGCATGGGAAAGAGATTAAACATTTCACGCAAAGTTCCAACTAAGCTAATACTATTACTGTGTGTAAATTCTGCTATAATCTTTTCTAGACTTCTTTAGTATAAAAAGGTTTTTAAAATATCGAGTAAAACTTTCTATTTTTAATACTAAACTTTTTTTAAACAAGACAGTTCTTAATAGACAAACAAGATTAAATCACATAATCATCTAAATGCAAGAGATCTGCATAATCATCTAAATCAAGAGAAAATAAAATGTTTATTTCTCCTAAACATATTGCATGGAAATTCCTAAAACTTTATAAGAGGCGATTTATGTGTATATATTATTTAGCATAAATAAGATGTATTCCTTTTCTCTTTGCGATATTCTCTTGACCTTACAATAGTACAATAGTTTAAAGAAAAATGGTACATTATCAAGTCAAATGGTTTAAATGAGAAATACATTTATTATCTTACATTATATGTGTACTTGTCTTAAATTTTTACTTTATAATTTTCAACTTAATAAAAGTATTGCTACATCTATTGTACTACGAAAACATTAAAAATCGTAAAGTTATATATATATATACTGTATGTATGTGTATGTATATATATATATATATATACACACACACAAGGATGTAAAATATAAATTTTACATGTAAAATAGTGGTTGATGATGTATGATTTGTAACTGATGTAAAGAACTCAAACAGGTATCCACGGGCTTACTTGAAACGTGGAAGGTGCAGAGAGAAAGAGAGAGGGAGAGATCATTGAAATATTTTTTAATTAATTTGTAATATTGAGAGTATAGATTATTGTGGAATAAATAATGCTTACTGGTACAACTCAACATGAAATGCACTTAGCAAATATTAATCTTTTATAATCAAGATGGATATTTTTGGTTGTAATTATTCCAAGACATACTACACGACGGCGGTACATATCACAAATTTATCTGTTTTTATTTAATAATAAAATTAATAAGTTTTCTATTAAATTTATATACTTGCATCTTAATATTTTATAGCAAATCATCAGATGAATTGTAATACAATTTTAGTGTATAAACTATTTATGGATCTATCAGATGCAGCTCGTCCGAACAGAACGTTAAAAATATTCTGATGAATGTAACTCGCCATCCGATTATGAAGGATTAATTACTGCTCTCGTTTTTGTTCGCGTTATTGTATCATATAAATAAAAATCTGAAAGAATTGTGACTTATAAAATAAAATATCACGAAAACTTATTTCGTTGTAATCGCGGATGCTGGATCCCAGCCTGGTTGAAAAAGATCGACAATTAATTGGGCACAATGTGATGACGGTTGATCTTTCATATATATTGTTGCCTAAAAAGAAATAAAAAACGATATAATGAAAAAGCACAATTTTCTTACTTTTTTTTTTCGTTACACCTCAAGTTTCTATATATATCATTTTTATATGTATGTAATACGTACAAGATAAAGAACCAACTGTAATTTTTCATTGATATTACAGTCTTGTCCTAAAGTAGACGGATAATTTATCACCCCATCAGTGTTTTGTAAATCAGCTGCTATTAATTTTAGGCAAGATTTCTCTCCTATTTGTAAATTTTCCAATAAAGATACTACAATAAACACAAAAATTAGTTTGCACAACTATTATTATGAAATATAATTTTTATATGAACAAATACATATTTTATTATATATAATTATAATAAAACACAACTGGTTGTAATAACATATCTTTCACTAAAAATATCTTCAAGTAATATTATACTGACGTTAAACTTACTTCTCTCGGAAGCTACGGCGGATAAAAATCTTGTTAAAAGCGCACCGGATTCGGCTGTGTCCGAAAATAAATGCGGATAACGTCTCAGAAGCAATTTCGTTAGTAACATATTACCGCGATTTCCCGCTAAAGTGTTACTAGGTATACAAACTACTTCATCTTCTGTTCTTCTTACTAATAATACAGTCCCGTTATACCTATAAGATGTAGGATATATTAATATATATGTACAATATGCAACGATACACATTGTCGATAATTTAATTGATTGAAAGAAAATATAGAAATATATTATAGACATTATATTGGGACAATATTTTATAGAACATACCTATTTAATTGCTCTGCTATATTTAGATTGAAATAATCTCGGATTATACTACGGACTACACCTTCGAAGTACGGGGGCATTGTTTTAATAGCTAGTGGAAGTACATCGTCAAATGAAGCATCTAATATCTGCAGAGAGATAAAAAAATTTTAAATTAATTTACACTATATGCAATATATTTGTGATAGATATTGATGACATCGATATATAAAAATGAATCAAACACTGCCTACCAAACTCTGAATAGAGGGATAGTTCATTGCAGCCCAAGTGGCGGTGTATCCTCCAATGCTCCAACCGTACAGGATAATTTGCCTTTCGGGAAACTCCAAACGCTCGATTGCGAAGCGCATTATGCAATCGATAGCACTTTCTTCTTGGTCTGGATATGGTGCGCCCTTTATGGTCATTGTCATGACTTACTGTTACCGTTACACGAGTAAGTTGGCCGAAGGGGAAGCTTTGCCATTACTCCAATTTTACATTTACCATTTGCATACAAGCGACAAGAACTGTAACATCAGCAAAACTTCACTGTCGCAATAAATTATCGATAAGGTAATAGCAATTCTTCTCCCGCCAGTTATTTATTTATTTAACTATTTTGTTATATGTTAGACTTACAGTACTGCCACCAAAACCAGGATGATTCCAACCTAATACTGAATAACCCTTGTTCAGAGGAGTAGATATAATACCAGTTTCGTAGAAACCACAATTTCCTTCGCAAGTTATAACTAGTACACTGCCATTAGCGCTTCTGCAAAGTTACATGGAAAATGAATCGTTGGGTAGAAGCTGCTAATAATGTTGTTAATCGTTTATGTTACTTGTTGCGTCGATCGACGAATATTGCATCAATTTGATTTTTGTTAGACGTCACCAATTTGAATCTTTCCCCACCTTGTTTTATCAAGTCCATTCTACCTTTCAGTAACGTGGCACCTTAAATATGATACATAATATAGTTTTAGATACCAAAAAGAAATATTACTGAATGTATGTTAATGACATCTATGTTTTACCTAATGCCCAATTGATGATAGATAAACTACCAGGATACATCATCGTAATGGCCAAAGTATGTGCTACCACATAAGAGAATAATTTACATGGTATAGCAAAGAGGAACTCTTTGCCACTTTGTTGCCTCAGACGTCCGCTAGCTTTACCAATCTTCTCCAATGTTAACTTGTCTGCAGCTTTGTCACTAGAACAAGAAAAAAAAAGAATAAAATGAAAAAAATATTTATGCTGTACTATTCAGGGAGATGCGCAGAAGCTATCAGATATATGTAACTTTTGGATTCTGATAATTCTAATAGATTCTGTCTATAATCTGGATCGACATCTCTTTAAATAATACACATACCAGACATTGATAGTTTTCTAAGCTTTGGAATGCAATTATTAAAGATTTGTAAAAACTATAACTCAAAATTTGACTTCAACTTTACAAACAATTCTGTTGTTAACAGTGAAACTAAAAATCTCAAGAGTGCCTTCTAGGATATTTGCTGAAATATATGTCTAACCTTTGTAATTTGGACACATCAAAGTCCACAGGCCAAGCCCAGAATTCAAAATCATACTTATGAAGCTCCTGCTTTGTTTTTTCATTATATTGTGAATGAGCTTCATCCAATATTTGTGCAAATTTCATATATACAGGATTATTAACACGGGAGTAACCACGTGCAACCAATGAGGCAATAAAAATTGCACCAGCACTAGCTGCTAATTTACTCAAACAAATAGCATTATCCAACAAGGAAGAACTACATTCATATGCAAATGTTGCGACAAGCGGTATGGTGTAGAGGCTTATGGACCACATCGCAGCAAACTGTAACATCACAAAAATAATTTGGAAACTCATAGAAGTTTATAAGTGCAAGAAACTATGATTAAATTAAATTGACAAGATACATATGCATAACTCGCCTCCGCGGGTATCGAGATTATATTCGCGCAGAAATGTCACGATGAATATCGAGCAAATCCCCAGTAGTATCTTAATCGAAAATCACGTAAAGTACTTACGGAAACTATAATTCGATTACCCCATCGTTCCAAATTCTTAGGCTCGTACGATTTCTGCAACGTATATACAAATAACTTCAGCTTTATACAGGTTTTTATGCAAAATGCTGAATCGTACTTACGTCAACTATATGACCGTTCCATGTTACATCGTAGATCTTGAAAAGCCGTGGGCTGAACGTACATTTCCTCAAAGTCTTGATTAACGACATGTCGTTCACTTCACTTTTCGACGAGTAGTCTCGATCGCGCATATAAATATGTATTTTGGTGATATGTCGCTGCTAATTAAACGGCGATACGGGTCAAATTTTCAGACAGCGCACATGACATGAGAAGGCTGAAACATTCCCAATTTCTGCCACGTCCGTCGAACAAGCGTCATCTAGATAGACGACAAATAATTCCGAAGCGCCCGGAGAAGTGTGCACATTGGTGCAATATCATACTGAATTTTTTGTCTACGTACAATTACGTTTCAATCCAATGCCCATTCTCTCCTGCCCCTTTAATTCGACAAACGAGAATTTCGCAAGCAATATTGTCGCATTACGATTGGGAATTTTAAACCTGCCAAATTACATGTTAAATATGATCGATATTAAGACGGAGCATATTTCATAACTATGTACTATTGCGCATATATGTATCATGTACACACATATATGCATCCATGTACGTACATCAGATGTTCATTTTCTGTTCTTATTTTTTTCTGTCGGTGTAATATCGTATACTATGCCCATCATGAGTGACATCATTGACATACACATGTATTCACTCGTATACCTGACAAATGTGACGTGTCAATCACAATGCTAGCACGAGCCACAATATGAATATTTACGAATAAAACTTGTCCTCGACGAGAGAATAATATCTGATATATTCTAGCGCGAATTTCGATGTTTGAAGACTTCGCGGATTGTTTCTCGGCCGACAACGAGGTAAGCAGCAACCGAGAGCGACATGGTTGTCAAATTCGTCTGCGTTTGACGACACACGCGACAAAATCGCACTATTCGTGGCCGTTTCATTTGCGAAATCACAGCTTCGCGCCAGCAGTTCGGTCGGTCGTGCGGTCGATCGAGCTGCCGCGCCGCATGATTTTCGGAACGTCGGCGAAGCGAAGAACTTGCTGGAGAGAGCACGGTGCAGCGCGGCGCAGGCTAAGTGGAAAACCACGACGGTGATATCGTGTTCGTGTGTGATAACCGACGATTCACGGTGACTTCTTACAATATGTCAGATTGGGATACTGCGCCTATTACTTTACGTAAACGCACGCCAAAAGCGTCCACGCTGAAAACCGAGAAGGTAATATACGCCACGTTTTTTACGCGCGTGTAATATATACGTGGTTCGTAGTGATAGCAGCCGATGACCATGTATGCGTCGATTGTGATGTAACTGTATGTTTATTTACAGGCGGTGAACGATGCGCGGCGGCAAGGTTTCACCGTGGAGACACAGGCAAAATGTGAGTACCGGATTGTCTGTGGATGTTCGATCTTTCGGATGAGTTTCTTGAGCAATCTAAATCGGTTGTCACTACAAACAAACAAATACGGAGTTTTGTCCTATGAAAAGTAATAATTTTGCATACTCTCATGTCGGGAGCAATGATTCGGAATTGCGTCACAATTTTCCAACAATCAAGTCAATTTTTATTGACCAAAGCATAATGTTTTTGAGAGAAGAGAAAATATTTTTGTTAATTATATTGTAAATATAAAATCCATCAATACAGATGAAGATAAACAAATCTTGTATCTGTGTAACTGTGTATAAATACAAATTTTCAGCTAGCTAGAAAATGCTCCAAATATATATTTTATGTGTAGATTAAATATGTGGAAGCTTATATGATTTATTTTAGGTAATCAGAGTTGCCATTTTTATTAATTTTATGTTAATACCAACAGCATCTAGTGTATTACAACATATTATGAAATATAACAGGCTCGAGACAAAATAAAGTTCTCTATTGTATTCCACTACAGAGGTCTATATTATATTAATATAAATTTGATAAATAATCTCATTATTCCTGTAGCAACGATGTAATAATTTTGAACCAATTTTTTTAATTAGGGGGTGGTGGTGCAAATAGACAACACGTAACTACGAAGAACACAGCTAAATTGGACCGTGAAACAGAAGAGTTGAAGCATGATAAAATTCCACTTGACCTTGGTAAACTTATTCAACAGGGTCGGCAAAGCAAAGGATTGTCTCAAAAGGACCTAGCAACGGTAAAATATTTTTGCACTCTATATAATTATAAAAATATAAGTATAATCGTATAAAGAAATTAACTCTGTCCACAGCATCCAGACACGATCCATTGTGCCTCTCCATATCACAGCTACCAGTTATAACTTACAAGCCCATTCCATCTCAACTACTTCCAGACCTTTAATTAGCAGCATTTTATTTATTTAATTTTAGAAACTAATAGTAGGGCGTAATATATCGTAATACACAGGTACTTTTAACATTTAATCATTCTCATCTATATTTTACAGAAAGTTAATGAGAAGGCACAAGTTATCAACGACTACGAAGCAGGACGTGGAATACCAAACCAGATGGTCATTGGCAAGATCGAGCGAGTATTGGGAATTAAATTGCGCGGTAAAGATCGTGGCAAACCGTTAACGACCCCCGGGACAAAGAAGTGAATCTCGGGGGAAGGAAACTATTTTACATTTCACAAGTTCTTATGAAAGAACTTCGGCGGAGACGGTAGTACGGAAAGCCACAAACCCCTACCTTTCTTTCTTTTGATTACTTTGATATTGTGCATTACAGAGTAGGTTACAATTACCTTGTTCTTACGTATGGAAAATAAAAGAAGATATTTTAGGATAAAACAAACAGATATAACAAACTGTAATATTAAGAAAAGTTTACTGAGTTACCTCCATAATTAATTTGTTACAGATTTTCAAGTGTACATTATTGATGCTACTATTAAGAACAAAATATGCTTGAGTGGTAAAATAAATAATTCTTAATTTATAATAAAGTATCCAATATTTGTTTATTGAACACCATGTAGAGGAATTGTATGCAAGGGTTTATTAAGAATTTTTAAAAAATGCAGAAATATATATATATATATATGTACATATAGTTATATATATATATATAAAAAAAATATAGAGGAAAATATAAAAAGAACACCTATCTTGAAATAACACTGTGTGTATACTTGTATTCTTTATATTTCCATATATTCTCTAAATATAATTCTCCCTTCTGAATGATCTTTATACTCAGTATCTATGTTTCTTTTTCTCAGTGCTGTCTTCACAGAATATATGAGAAAAATATTGCAAATAAAGAATTTTTTTAATATTCAATTGTATTTGCGCGGTTTTCATGGTATAAATTTTTTTTGCCCATTAATCCTTTCTTAGTGCAAAACTAATGTCTTGTATTCCATCCTTGGTAATAATTTTGATAGTTATTCCATCACCTGTGTATATATCTCTCTCAGCTGCAGAAGTAAAAACATCCTTTAGAATGGCCACAGCTTTTTCTTGAGTTAAATTCACAGGAGTGATGCCTTCTTGATTCTTGTATCCAATCTGATAAAAAAATAGTACCATGTATTGATAATAAAAAGTAGCTTTTTTCTATTTTGCTAGAAAAAAAATATAAGTTTAAGATTAAGATGTACCTGATTATCAAGAAGTGGTTGCAAAAGCGCACCGGCTGAGCCACCTGCTCTATATGTAGTTTTCTCACAATGTCCAATTGGATCATAACTATATATACATCCTTTTCCATTCTCATCTAACCCAGCAAGTATATTACTGACATAATATGGAAAGAATCTTTTGTAGTAGAGCATTGTGGAAAGCATCTGTGCGGTTGCTGGAGTTGACATTTCTTTTTGATGTTCATGTTTGTACATCTAAAAGAATATGATGTGTAATACACATAGCTAATTGTCTTTCACATAACTAATGATCACTTTGTGCATTTACACATATGCATCTGTTATTATATATTTTACACAGCCTGAATATGTTGCAAATAAACAAGATTTATACCTGCATACGAGCAGACAAGAGACGAGTTAAAGTCAGGGTATCGCACCAACAACCAGAACATCCTAGAATGGTGGTTTTTGATAATGGAAATAATTTGTCCTGCTGCCTAGTGTAAATCGAAAATCCTGTACTGAGACGTGTGTCTGCAGCAACAACACAGAAGTCATCCCCTGCAAGAGCCACTACACTCCTAAGGATAAAGTAATATATTCAGAATATATCATAGAGCATATTCTATTAAGAGATACGACAACATAATAATTAAAAATATCAATCTGTATCAAACTATAGAAAAAAATAGTTGTCTAATGTTAACAATTAAAACCATTAGATTATTGAAAAATAAAAGTATAGGTTATTTTTATTTAAATTACCCTCCGTTGTCGGCATAAGGACTAAAGCTCACTGTTCTTGCTCCTTGTACATCATAATCAGGCAAACGTCTTTTCCCATTGTCTATCAACAGAGCCATTATTGTATTTGATTCAGTCTTAAAATGCGATCGCTGACACACACGTAAAAATGAATGACACTACAATTTCCAGCAAAGATGGAGCATGACATCAAAACAGCCATTGACTTGCGAATCCTGTACGTTCTTCTCTTTGACATGCGCATATTGGACGCCATATTGGATGAAGTTACCGGGATATACAAGTTTCAATAAGCTCACAAAGATATAAAATGTCTCAATTGTATGAAGAAACTATCCAAAAAATATATATTTCTTAAATAAAAAGATGTAAAATATCATATATAAACTAATTATAATTGACTACTATCTAATCAATTTTCTGTTTCTCTCCAATTCTATTCACAGAGTCCTGTGCTTACATGTTGCATATTCAGCACTAATGTGATTCTTCAAAGATTATAAACTGTGTTCAATTTACTTAAAAATCTCCTTTAATTAATACATTGTATTGTTATTTCGTATGATTAATTTCACGAATTAGATGATTGCATGCACAGCGATAAATTTAAGGTATAGAATATGGACAAAAATTTGCAAGAGCTTCTGTGATTTTTCGTTCAATTGAATTTCCCTCCATTTCAGTCTGCTCGGCGAAGCTAGGCTGAGTTTCGATTTGCACTGCCAGCACTGAAGATCTGTAGTATAGGTGACACAAACTATGTATTTTCAGTACTGGCAGTGAATATCGGAACGTAATCCTTACCCATTAGTTATGGCAAAACTTTGCTATCACAAATTTAGTTTTTTTTTTTATTATTGTTGTATTGAACATATTTTCGGACGGCTATATATTTCCTCCGATTGAGCTGTGCAATAAAGCTTGTCCACAGATTTGCATCGAAATAGTAGTGAATTTGGTCGGAAAGTTCCTTTAGGACGTGAGTTTAGCCATTTCAGTATCCTCGACTATTTGAGTACAACGGCAGATCGTTGAACTCGATACCACTGTACTCATTTATCATTTTAACATTCACAGCCTCGATACGTGTACATTGTAGGATCGGACTTGTAAATTATTATTCATTATTGTGATGAAAATCGTATATATTTTGTGTGGAATGCATACACATGCCGCAAATAAGTGCTTCTTTCACAATACCGTATGTAGAAGATCAAGGGAGGGGGACGTAATTTACATAAGTTAATGTCCGATATCAATTTCACGAATACATACGTTTTATATTTCCTTCGAAATAATTGTAGCAAATTTTTCCTCGAAAGCTTCGAGTTTGTGCCGACCGGCATTTTCAGCATTCCACATAACCGCGCTGTTGCGCCGTCAGTTGCTGATTTGACTAAGCTGCAGTTCCGGAAGTGACGCGCGTCGCTTCGTTACGTTTACATTCTGTTCTCGACATCGCGTTCATTGTGGGGAGCCATTACCCTCGTCCGCACTAAAGCATCGTGCCATATTCCCACTCGCGCCCTAAAAATTACAACATTCTCGTAGTTTTAAGTGAAATATTATGAGAGTGAAGACCGAAATGGACGACGACGAGAAGGGGTGAGTACATTCATATTGCTGTGACTATCTCGGACATCTACCAAGCCGTGAAGATGCGGAGCGCCTGCTCGTGGAGCCATCATTTTTGCTGCGCGAGAGCCTAGTTTACGTGTCGTGTGTTACGATCGCCCGCGATTTTCGGAGTCTGATCATTCCCGGCCGTTTCACCGTTAGCGAGGTCACGTCAGTTTGGAACGATTCCTGCGACGGCATTATCGTCGTGCTACCGACGAAAATACCTCGCGGCATGGCTGGTGGCTCGTTTTTTCGGCGGCGGTGCGAGGCTCGCCGCGCGAGTGCGATGCAACGAGTGCGATACCGGCTATGCCTGACTCGCAACATGTTCGCGTGCCTCAACCTCACAGTCGGGTTTCGCGGTTTATAGGCCTCAAATTTTTCCATTAAAATCTGGCGTCTCTTCCGTTCCCCCTCCGCCACCCTCTTACTCGCTCATTCTCTCTTCACGAACCTCTTTCCCTCCTCCCCACTCTCTCTCTCTCTCTCTCTCTCTCTCTCTCTTTCTCTTTCTCATGCGTTCTTTTATGGCAGCACACGGTACGCGAAAGCGATCTCACCGTTCGTGTCCTTAGGCACTAGATTCTCTATTTTTATGCTCTAATTCCTGATAGACTGTCGGTCTGCTGTTGCTCGTCTGGAGGATCTTGGCGCCTCCAAGGTTAAGAGTATGCGACTTGATCAATTTATATCGATTTCGTACAGCCAACCGGACAAATGTAGCTCTAAATTTTGATTGAATTTTTCAAACACTAACAGGCAGATGCAATCGGTTATTTTGTATTTTTTAATGCCACTAGCCTTATGCAGATCTATGCTTTAAGTGACATTTTATTTTGGTTTTTAGGAAAGCTCCTAGGGCACTGCCTATTTTGAAATTTAGATATTTGAAATATTGTATAATATTTTTGCTAGGATGTATATGCAATATGTGAAGTTGCTTTAACTTCTCTTTAGTTATCGTCATTCAATCTCAGTTTATTTGTATTTATTTGTCTTTGTATGTGGGATATTTATTTCATGATGTAATTTTTTACATTTTGGAAAAAAACTAATAGATAAATTTAAATTATAAACAAATTGTTTTATATGTTGAAGCATTTGCACACACATGTAAGATACTTATTTTCAAAGTAAATTATGTATATAAATATTAATAAACCAACACATATGATTATCTGTTTATTATCTTGCATTTGTTTTAGTTACAATATTAAATTGTTTTATATTTAATTAAAGATACGAGTACATATCAGGATATTTATTATTTTATGATAAGCTACATTTGTTGGCATTTTTAAATAATATGTAGTAAACTTTTCTATAAAACTTCTGTTCTCATTTTTATTGAAAAAGAAAAATATATATGTATATATATATGTGTATATATATATATATATGTATACATATATATATACATACATACAGTTTCTTGCAAATAAACTTTTTGTTTATTATTCCTGCTATGCTAATGATATAAAATTGAAAATTCTATATGATACTTGTGCACTTTCTAATGTAGCAATCAACTTTTTTTTTTTTTTTTTTTTTTTTATAGAATAGAGGCATGGATAAATTTATGGTTTACTTATAGCATACAAATTCCATGTTTAATAATTTTTATATTAAAATTGATGTATTTTCCTTAAATTTTATTCATTTCATTCAAAATAACAAATAAATGATATTTGTCATATTAGTAATATTAAGACTTTTTCTTACTCTATTCCAGAAAATTGTTTGTTGGTGGGCTGTCATGGGAAACAACTCAAGAAAATTTACAACGTTACTTTGGCCGATATGGCGAAGTAATAGATTGCGTAGTTATGAAAAACAGCGAATCTGGGCGCAGTCGTGGGTTTGGTTTCGTAACATTTAGCGATCCAGCAAACGTTTCTTTGGTTCTCCAAAATGGTCCTCATCAACTTGATGGTCGTACGGTATGTTCATGTAATGTGTAAATTGTCGAAAATTATATTCAGTAAAATTTTATACTTTTATTCACAATTATTCATAAAAGCTAACAAGAAAGTTAAGTAAAGTCTGATTTTAATGATTTATGTTATAGATTGATCCAAAACCTTGTAATCCACGCACTCTTCAGAAGCCAAAGCGTAGTGGTGGTTTTCCAAAAGTTTTCCTTGGTGGTTTACCAAGCAATGTGACTGAGACTGATCTGCGGTCTTATTTTACTCGCTTTGGCAAGGTTATGGAAGTAGTGATAATGTATGACCAGGAAAAAAAGAAATCAAGAGGTGAGTGCAAGTTGCTCATATCATGGTTCATTCACTAGCACTGTTTTTAATGGTTCTCATATTTTTCTTTTTTACAATTTTCACTATTATTGCATGCAATTTTTATTGTTAAAATTATAAGTTCATATGTAAGTCTATATTTTTCATATTGCATTTATTACATATATGTATAATGTACATATATATCTGTCTCGAAGGAAGAAGAAGCTGTGAAAACCATTAATCTTATACCAAAAGATAACTTTAGAATAAGTTATACTTTTTTAATCTTTGTCAATATATTCTCATCAGAGTTTATGATTTAATTTTTGAGGAGGATGACAAACTTCTTTCCGCGACGAAAAACATTGAGTTATTTTTCTAAATAATACAAAATAAAAAATTCATGTGATATAACTTATAAAAGTGTTTTAAAATGTTATTATAAATACAATATGAATATAAAGAGTTTCAATAGAAAAAAGTTTGAATTATTAGAAAAATTTCTCGGTCGACATACTAAACATAATTTTACAACTAAAATTAAATAAAAAATTCTTATTAGAACATATACTAATTGCCAATATGGGTTATCTTTATAGTGATATTAAAGTCAGTGAAAGATGCAATGAGCAATAAACACATTTAATTTAAAGATATTTTGTATGAACTATTTCTTTACATAAAGATTTGTTTATTAAAAATCTGTCTCTTATTTGTTGTTTTTAACGTCTCTTTGCTTCTATTATTGATTATATGTAGTCAATACAAACTTTTAATCATAGTTCATAGTTTTTTATTTAATAATTCTTATATTTTTAATGTAAACATATAGGTGACTACTTATCGTAAGATTAAATGATAAAATTTAAATTAATCTGATATTGCGCATTTATGTATTATTACAATATTTGATTCTAATTTATTCTTTGTAACACACATACACATCTCTTGCTCCTTTCACGATTATGTTATATACACATTTCTGTATTTCATGTTAAATTAAACAGATGCATAAATTAAATGTAATATTTCGCTAAGTTTCTATTAAGTGTAAGGCTTTTCTCCAGACTATACTACTGTAAGTTATAAATAGCTTAAGTTTGCTGGCTATTAAATACATTTTAATTCAAGTTTTACATTAAAACATTAGATTAAACTATCAAATTCATTAGTGCTATTTTTGCTAATCTTCGGTTAAAAATTATATTTATAGATAAGTGAGGCTCTCTGATACATTTGTTGGAAAATTAAACTAGATATAAGTTAGAGATATTTTCTTATTATTTTGAAATATTTTACAGCTATCGCTGCTTTTTGGATACATTCCAAATAAAGTCGATGTTTCGTTTATTGTAATGTAAATTGCTTATTTTATGGATTCATTACATGTAGAAACGATAAATATTGAGACTGTTGTGTAGTAGATTGCTATTGAAAATTTTATATTGCGCAATTATAAAAAGCGGTTATAGTCTATTCTACTTATTAAGTAATATAAATGAAAGAATTTTTATTGTTTAATAAATGCTATATATTATAAGAGCAGACGGTGAGAACTGTATAACTTTTTTAAATGTGTATTTGCACATTTTAAATATTGTAAAAGAATTGTTTTCTCGCATTATTTCGGCGAGCATTTTGTTGATTATACTCTCACGTTTGGACGGCAGGATTTGGCTTCCTAAGTTTTGAGGATGAAGAAGCAGTGGACAGATGTGTAGCGGAGCATTTCGTCAATCTGAATGGAAAACAGGTATAGAACATAAATATATGATTAAACCGCGTTACTAATTAGAATATAATTTTTACAGCTAATAGGAAATAAGTATATATATACATACATAAATATATTATTAATATATTGCTATATAGGAATTCTAGTCGTAAATTACTTATTCACCCAATGTGTATGTGTACTTTATTATATGGAAGTGGCAAGGAGAAAATTTAATTATTTAGTAAATAGCAGTATTAAGTAATAAATAAAATCATTTTTAAACGTTTATGTTTTATATATATACATGAACTCTTATATAATATATAAATGTTTAATATCTTTTATTTACTACTTAATACTGCTCAAGTAGAAAGATGTTTAGTATACGATATAAACACAGTACTCAAGTATAACAACTTTCTCTACTATATAAATATAAATTAGAAATAATATTATTTTTATATGTAAGGCAGCATATAAGTGCGAATACAAAATGTAAATTTAATTAACAATAATAAGCACTTATTAGCTTAAAGTATACAGTAACTTGTAATTATAAATGATAGCATATATACATTTTTACGCTTTTTCTATTTATTTATTTTGTTTTATCCGTTCAATGCAGATTTGATGCTTTATCTTTGTTTGACGAGGGGAGAAAAATTCCTTACGACTGTAGATCTGTGGTATTTGCTCTTTTCAGGTTGAGATTAAACGTGCAGAACCGAGAGATTCTTCAAGCAAAATGAATGATAGCCATCAGGGTCAATGGGGCCCGCCTCAGCAGGGTGGCCCACCGATGGGTATGGCGGGGAACATGGGACCGATGGGTGGACCGAACGGACAGATGGGTGGACCGATGATGGGGGGACCGATGGGCCCGCCAGGGAATATGATGCAGCAGTATCAGGGTTGGGGAACCAGCCCTCAAACTGGTGGATACGCTGGATACAGTACTCAGTATAACGCTCAGGGCTGGGGAGCACCACCAGGACCTCCGCAGCAGCAGCAAATACCTCCGCCTCCACCGCATCAATGGGGTAGTAGCTATAACGTTCAACCTGCGGCAGCTACTCAAGGTTATGGAAGTTACGGTGAGTTTTACAAATAATTGTGAATATCCATATACGAGATATATCTTCTTCCATTTATTCCATTGTGATTTTACGTTAATTTGATTTTTAACAAAGACGATTGAAATCTTGAGAGAAAGAAAAAGAAAGAAATGTCTCACTTTTGTTATTAGGTATTTACAATTAGTTAGCAGGCAAAACAGATGATACCATAGATTTTCATTTAAAAATATTATCACTATAGTAATAATATCTAGGACGTTAACATTGAATTAATAATAATATTTTAATTAATCAAGTTCAACTCGCATATCTATCAGTCTCACATCATATCACTTTTATTTATTTCATGTCTGAGTTGATGGTCATAGGTCTGTTTAACATTTTAACACAAGGTCTGAAGAGATATTTTTCAATGTAGGAATTAAGAATATCATTGACATATTACATATAATTTAGCGTATTTTATTACTTTAATCATACGTGGTACATGACGATAAACGAGGTTGATATTTCAACTTTATATTTCGAAAGTAAAATATCCTATATGAAATTATTAACAGCTGTGATATTTGCGCAGCTAAATTTCTTCAAGAGATCGGCAATTTTTCAACTTGAATCGATTTTATTAATTTAATTGAGTTGTTAATTTTGCACATGAAATATCAACTTCATTTACATTAAAATTATTTAGGCTTATTACGAGTAGCAATAAGGTGGTACAGATCGTATGTCATAACTATAATTATTAACATAACATTTGATCCTACTCCCTTCCTCTTCCATCCTGCTTGGAGAAGTTAGAAGAAGAAAGAAAGAGATAAGAACATGAGAAATCTACAAATCGCAATATAATGCGATTAACTTTTGTGACGCCCCCTGGAGGTTGATAATATAGAAAGAAAATACAATAGGATGATTTTGATGTAAAGAAAGTAAAAAAAACAAAGGTAATTATGTCAGTCCAGACTTACATGTTTGTTAAATTTGTTGACATTATGTAACGAATATACAATCTTAATTAATTAATTAATTAATTAAATTTGATATACAAAAGATGTCTAATGATACTTAAATAATTTCTTCTTATTAAGATTTTCCAAATGTAACATTTTTATCTCTATATCAATATAACAATGATTTATGAAAAATAATATGTTTACATCATATTCTTACAAAAACTATAAGAAATATAATGTAATATGCATACATGTGTATATAGAAGTACACACAATATAACTTCAATGATTAAATATCTCAAATATTGCGAATCAGACTTGAACGATTGGTCTGGATTGACGTAATGCATATTTTACATGTCCGAAATATTAAACCTCATAATCTTATCTACGAAGTTTATGCTTGATTCTCTTCAAGTTTGAGCAAGCGATCCTCTTCACTGCATTGAAGCTGACTCGTTTACATCTTTTCCTATATTTATTATAAAACTACACTTCATTTATTTATAATACACGAAGTATATAAATTCGAAGCACCATTTAAAGCACGAGTTAAGTTCTAACGGTACAATAATACGCTTAAGTAGTGAATACTAACATTGCTAATGATAATCGTCAACATGCGTACATTTGGTGATAATCAGTATCATATTCATACGTTATAAAATCACATACAGATTTAGCATATATTTTTTGTAAGAACAATTTTTGCGTCCGATCACTGTATTATCATCTATCCTCTTATCTCTTCTTCATCTTTCTTCTTCTTCTTCTTCTTCTTCTTCACGCTATTTGTTAAGAGAACCAAGCATGAACGTTTAAATTGTCGAGAAGAGCGACACATTCTCGAATAGCGCTGAAAAATTATAGAGACACCATAATATATTTTTAACAAATAAGAGAGAAAGACAATAAAAGAAAAATAATATAAATTAAAAAGAATGATAAGAGGTGTGACGGCGGTCGGTGACACATGTTTTGTGTGGTTGATGATCGCAGGTGGGCCGGCGACGGCCGCTTCAGGGGGCTACGGGCCCACGGCGGGTACTGGCGGGGCTGCGGGAGGCGGGCCTGGGGGCTCCTGGAGCTCCTGGAACATGCCACAGAATGGGCCTCCTCCTGGGACCCAGCCCCCACCCCAGCCCCCTCAGCCCAACTCCTCGCAGCCCAACTCCAACTCGAACCCCTCTGGCCCGCAGGGTGAGTCTTCAAGCTCAGTCAAACAAACTCTCCTCTTTCCACCCTTTGGCATCGGATAGATCCATTTGACCTAACCGAGTTTAGCTAAAGCAACTTGATCTATTTTGCATCGATGTAACTTCATACAGTACTCGTTATTTTTTTTCTTTTTTTCGTTTCATATATTTGGTGAAAAACATTAATGCTTGTCAAAAATATATATACATATACATGTAATGTTTGTCGCTGTTCCTTCGTCTCTGACGTGATAGACTTCCTTCAGTTCTCAATGGCTTTCACTAATTAGTTTTTCATATAACAGCAAGTTTCTTTCCGTCTTTGGACTGGTAAGGTTTTGTTTTTCTGTTTGAAACAGGATCGGTTGGGAAGATCTATACAACGCGCTAAATCGCGTGTATTAATATTTTTATAATTTTTATGTATCGGTCATAGATGACTTTAATGATTATTGCACAAACAGAAATTGAGAAACTATTTTAATTGCTTTAGTACACGCATTATAAGCATGTGGCTCTCAGTTATTTCATGGCAAAGATTGCATTGATATATCGTTTTTGACTATATTTTTGATAACTAATATACTAGGAATTTGTCATATTCAATGCATCGTGTAATAATAGCTAATATGGAGGTTGAAGGAAGTAGATTAGATTTGCATATTGCGTCGTATAAATACATAATGTCAAGCTATAAAATAGGGCTCGGAAGTTAATGTATTTTATTCGAAACATAATTTGACATTATCTGTGAGATAAACAGTGGCTTTTGCTCGCAGCTCGATTGAACGGGGATAACGTGGGCGTAGCCGATGCAGTCGTTACATATTTTCAACCTTGGGATTGAAAACAATGTCGTATGCTTGCTGTGTATGCTTGATGCACTACTGCTCGCTGTTATTCTTACCGTGTTTTGCTCTGTAATCTCATGTTTTATTCGCGAGTCGGCTTTATGGGTCACGCCTAGAATATTAGTGACGATAATTTCTGAGCCCTGACAATAAATTGATATTTTATTTTTATCCAGCAGTCCCTGAAGCATCCCGATGTATTCCTCTCCTTTGCAAACTTTTTATTATATTTTATTATTTTATCTTTTCCGCGTTTTCATGCTTATAGTATGTATAGATAGCAATCTCGGAAGCATGTACCAATCAACAATACAATTTAAAGCTGCACTCGATATTGTAAGGAATATGTTAAAGGGAACTAAATTCGTTATTCTAAATCTAAATTTAGATCTAGTAAATGAAAAGTCACACTGTTACATATGCGTGTTTTTTTTTTTCTTTTAATATATTTAGAAAAATATTTATGAATAAAAGAAGTATTTATTTTTATCATTATTTTATAATTGCTTAATATACATAGCTATAAATTGAGACAAAAACTTTTAAGCATATTTTTGCAACTTTCGTAATATCTTTTTCAATATATATATATTTTTTTTTTTATTATTAGCCTACACACTTGGGGGATACGTTGGATGTTGAAGATACGAAAAAAATATTTATAATTGCAAGATCTATATATTATTAATATCATAATAGATTTTTCGGGTAGAGTTCTTTCAAGAGACAAAGGATTTTTCCTAAGATTTGAGTATGTCATGGAACGACAATAATCGTTACAAATACTCAAGATTAAAGCAAATAGAAAAAGGAGAAAAGAAATTAAATGATTAACGGTGACGTAGAATAGTACGATCCTACTCTCTCTCCTTTCAGTCCCTTTGTCGTCTATGTGAATAATGACGAATTAATGTCGTTCTGTACGAAAAACATAATTTGTTATTGATGTTTGATTATAAGAAGTTAGTTACTCTAAACGTGTCATGATAAAAAGGAACAGAAAGTTGTTACAACCGACATCAATTCGTCTCCAAATCTTTGAGATCGTTGTAATATTTTTAATATCTGCTTGTTGTGTGTAATACGTGTATGTTCACCTGGTGTTTTCTTATCGATTGATCATAGTTCGTTTAATTAGATATAGAGAATTAGATATAGAGAAATATTCAATTGATATAAGTCTTGTATTGTGGCAATTACTGGCAATTATTTGCACATACCATGTGAATGTCTCTTTCCAATTTCATTATTTAAGTCAGTTTTTCTAGTTGATGAGTGGGATTGTGAACACACACATACACACGCACACAAATGTATAGTGCTATCTCACATTTCTTGTCAACTCGATTGTTTTTTATCGTGTTTTTCTTTTTTTTTTCTCTTTATTGTAAGGAAACCGCAATTATATAACTTTAGTAATCTCTCGAGCACCCTGTGGTTCCAATTATTTTTACTGTCGCACAATTATGCAACAGTACAAAGTATCTTACTGTTTAAAGTACTTTACTTTGTTAACACGTTTTCGACAACAGTACAAAGTACCTTATTGTTTAAAATACTTAATTTTGTTGACACGTTTTTCTCTAGCGAGAAGCTGTCAATGATTAGGCAAGCGTGATATGGTGATTTGGTGTTACGGACGAATGTTTCAGGTGACATATACTCGCGACAGAACACTGGCTCAGGTGCACCCGGGTCCAGCAGCAGTTCGGCCAAGACTCCAGATTATACTGGGTATTCCGGATACAGTAATTATGCCGACACCACTTATCCTCAACGTTCGTATCAGGCCGGAGAAAGTAATCAAGGTGGGTATGCCGCCAGCGCCCCTAAACCTGGCCAACAAGGCTTTGATTTCAAAGAGTGGCCCACCTCATGACCATTTTAATTGAGCCGTGGCGGAGAAATGCGCTAAATGGCTTGGCCTTGCTCGTGGGTTATTTCTTACTTCGTATTCAGAACAACTGCAAACTGTACGTCGATCGTGAGCCTGCGCTATGAGACGAGACATTCCCTGTCGTTTTGTGTCACTCATCGTACATCAGGAATGCTATTTAGAAATTTCTATGATTTAAAGAATTCTGCGCTACGTGATGTATTTTTGTAGAAAAGCCGTAATTAGAGCAATGACTACTTCGTCTAGGAAAATACATGTTAAAAACAAGATATAGAAGTCAAATACAGCAACGATAGACGGCAAAGAATGTCTCTTATTCAAGCCAGCATGTCGTCCGCGAGCGGTCTATTTCCCACTTCTGTACGGAAATCTTTCTTTTTTTCCGTTAATGTCCAAGTGTAAATTTTTAGAACGAAAAACGGAAACGTGAAAAATAGAAGGTGTTAGGCTATTTCGAGATTTGTTGATTTCTTCGTTGATCGATCGCTCGCGTGAACGGCCCATGATCAGTCATATAATTGGATTAAATAAAGAAGAGAGGAAAGAGTAAAAATTCTCTTAAAATAACGTAAAGTAAATAAAGTAAACGGAAGCAGAATTAGGATACATACCCATGACGCAAGCGAAGTTTGTATGGCACTGGGATAGAGGGCAGAAAGCGCTATATATAAAAGTATTATAAGAATAATAGACAATGAGCGCGATTGATAAGAAATAAAATAAGTAAAAGCGAGTGTAAAGAGTCAGAAAAAAATGCTAATCATTATCGTTAATGGCATTTAGACGGAGGTGAATAAGATCTTGTTTGAGAAGTTTTTTCTCAGGGGATGCCTATGGCATAAGTTCCGATGCTTGTTCACCTCCCGGTAGCACCAACGGTAGCACAGGCGCTTTGATAACAGATGATAAAAATAAACCAGAGAAATATTAAACTATAGTCTCCGAAAGTCAGCGAGTGACTTGTACATTCGAGACACTCGTCCCTCCACGATCTTGTATTTATTAATAAATAGTTGTTATACTGGGTAATATTGCAAAGAAACAAAGAAAAGAACAGATTAACGATTAATTAATATGATCATAAGCATAATTAAGATGATCACAGGTTGACCTATACTGATATAGTAATTGCAAATCAAGAAAATGTAAAATATATACATATATATAGATCATTTTAATATGGTGTATGTATATCTATAAATTTTGAATGCACGATGCGGTTTTTGCGAGCGTTTCCCTTTTTTATTTTCATGTCATATCACTAGTAGTATATTAATACGTATTTCTCTCAGTTCCTCTTCTACTTTTTTTGTCTTGTTTGTTTTGATTGCGACTTTTCTCGATTCTCTAGTTTAGCGATTGTACCTTTCTACTTCCATTGATTTGAGGACAATATCAATACAAACGGAAGGGGATAAGGAGGAAAATAAAACAATCATGGATTTTTATAAATTGTATCATAAGAACTTAATGGTCGTTGTTCCATTCGACTATACAGTGCACCAGATGTGAAAACTGGTTTATTTTTTACCTCGGATTTATGATAGTTATTATTAGGCATGTCTATAAGGCTATACAATTATGATTGTTACTATTATCATTACTTCTATATTATTATTCCTATTGTATAACTATTATTACCATATTACTACTTATCACTATTTACTATTGCTATTGCTCCTATCGCAATTACCAGAAAAGCACTATTCTTACGCTATTATTATTGTCTACAAGAATTACAAATATTGTATGATGATGCTTATAAGTGTTTAAATTTTAGCTCTCGTTAGAACGAGATAAAAATCATATTGATAGTTAAGGTGGAGGGAGGGGTTTTGTAATCGTGTGGATATCTCGATGGGGGACATCGATCTGAAAACTCTACCTGATTAAATATATGACTTAATTATATTTACTCTGTAGGATTTACCATAGATCTAAACAAAGAATATTTCGGAAGAGTGCTCCCCAATGCTCACGTTTATTATCGAGTGGATCGCGTTGTGTCTTATTACTTTTTCAATCAGGATTGCGAGTATTATAATAATGTAATTAAAACTTTACCAGATAAAAATATAATTAATAGATTACAGTTACGAATCCAACAATTTCGTTAAGTGTTGTAAATGTGATCTCATATAACGTAATTTACCATTGCCCAGGTTCTTTTTCTTGTCCATCGAACGACAGCGTAAGGCTTCATTTATATTTTAAGTGTAACACGAGTGTTCTTATCTCTCGTTTTCTTTTATCTTCTGTTATTTGTTTCCCCGTCATGTCATCGATTATTATGTATTCTGATAATAAAGTCGAATCGCATTGCATTCAGTTGTGTAGAATAAGCTGGATCTTTTCTTTTCTTTTTTTTATTTCTATTACCATATTTATTAGCATGTCGAGAGATTTCGAATTTAGAGGCACATTTTGTATTTTGTTAGAAATTTTATATTAACAATTTCTCTGTCACCAGCGACAGCGTTGCCCGGAAAAGATATTGTGTAAATTCTAATCGGTCGAGCGAAAATAATGAACGAAACATTGATAAACGCGACTGGGGTGTAAGCTTTTGAGGTCGTCGCCGACACATTACACAATTAAACATGTAACGAAACGTAAAAGTGACTTGTTTAGAGAGTTGGATCGAGCTGTGGAAAGCTAGATCCATACATAAATACAAGCGTGCTAATTGAGGGAGCTTGTTGAAGTCAACTTTTGTCTTGTTATGCGTTTCATTTTTGCGTTTGTGTTGATTTTGAAGGTTTAAGCGAGTCGCGTTTGCCATTGTTTCGCTCATCGCTTCCTTTTGTACGATTGATTTGGCGTGCGATATCTGTCCCTAGTGAGAATCTTGAGCGCGAGAAGAGGGCTGGGACGACGATAGGATTTCACTCGCGTCGCGTAGTAATAGTTCGCGCGGTGTATGTGGTGGCCGCGGAGATTGTTACGTTCGAATATCGCAAAAAAACGGGGGGAGGGGGAATATATTAAAGAAAAAAGAGAACTGAATAGAACAGATAGCCCGTTGTGCCGCCACAGCTGCCTTTGCCGCAACTGTGTATATACATATATTTTAGACTACGACGGTGATGTAGTTGAAGTATGCGCGCGAGCGAAGTGGTAGCAACGGAATTAAGCAACAAAGGAAAAAAAAAGAATGGGAAGAAAAAGAAAGGGAAAAAGAAGACAAAATGAAGGCAGGACGGAAGTTAGCGGGACTATTCGAATATAATTGATGATTACACTAATAACAAATAATATATTTATATTTGACGCAATATTATTAGTATTTTCAAATACAGAGACGAGACGCATCTAATTAATGTAATACGTAGTATATAGGGAAAGAGATACTTTGATTCTAGCCGTTCTTATTACCTGCCTCATTCGCGGTTGCGCGAACTATGGCTTGCTCTCAGGGTTGTTGTTGTTGTTCTCCTTTTTCATTACTGTTTTTTTTCTTTTTTTTTCTCCAAAACTTGTTTTTCTTCCTTCATTTATCTCCTCTCACCGTTTTGAGTCACTCACTCCTTTTCATTTTTTTTTTTTTTTCTACGCCAGTATCTAATACTTGGTTAGGTAATCCTTTTAAACAGACGCTAGGTTCTCAGTATTGAAAGACCTGCGAAACTTTCGACAATCGGTCATTGTTTTGGTGGATTGAATTACCCTTTGTTTCTTGTAAACTAGACGTGTTTGAAAATATCCGATATCTGCTAGAGACCGCTAGAGATCAGATTTGCATTAATGACGACTTTGAGAAATGAGAATGAGAAATGAGAAAACGAGAAAGAATGTCTCGAACATCGGAGGCTTTTTTGAAGTTGTACTATCATTCTCCGATGAATTTCGGGGACAAGAGTTGACGGTAGCTATGTTGGTTATTTGGAATTGTATGAAACGTCAGACAATGCAAGAAGAGAAACTAGTAGATTCTGTTACGATTCTCGTTGGAACGGACAATTTCTCGCATGACACTATAGTAGAATACAGTGAAAAAATCAAACATACGCATCTTATATACATAGATATATATCGCAGTGTAAACTGTTTCTCAAAAATGTATCGTGTCGCTGCCGTTTTGATCATTAAATTGTATATAATTTTAACAGTTTTAAATCTGTTGCATGTGTGAATCCAATACACACATACACATATATATATATATATATATCGATATACATACAAAGACGAGATCAATTACTATATAAATTTTCACTTGTATATTTGATTTTATACTAAGACTCTGTTCTATTTATTTTTCCCCTTTTCTTTAATATGATAAATTATAAAGTGACCGATGTAAATATCGCCGATTCTTGAGAGTACATCCGCGCTTCTAGTCTTTTACGTTAATATTTCGTTCCTTAACAATCGACGAGAATCCATACAATATGTAACATTTTCTCTCGCACACAGTCGTATGCAAACACCTCTCTCCGTTTTTCATGCATTTAGGCGTTTCGTGTCGACGTTCTTTCATCTCAATTTACATACGATTAATAACACGGTATATAAAAAAAAAAAACAGGAAATCGTAAATATTACAGCCGTTTAAGTTAGGTATTGTTGTTTTTTTCTCTATTAACTTAACTAGATAATGCGCGGATTAATTGTATTCGTTTCATCAATAAAAACATAGCATGCGAAGTTAGGTTTTGCAAAGCAAGTTAAGTATTTTGATATTTAAAGAAATGTCTTTAAATGTATAGTAATTCCGGGGACATTGTGAGATATGTCTATTCTAACGTTAACGCACGTTTAGCGTCCCGCACACTAAAGACTGGTTGTATAATTAAATATTACCTAACTTAACTACACGTATTACACTCTCGTATCATAATCTACCAAGGAAGCACTTTGACTATTAATACACATGAGTTTTCCCCTGCTGTTTTTAATTAATTGTTAATA